CGGCAGTCAGATTGTTGATGGGGTCAGATGATCAGAACCTATAGGACTTCCGGGTTGGCGCCTCTGGCAATGGCGGATTTCCTCTGATCGGGAGGAATCCGCTCCGTGGAAAACAGGGTCTGAACCGCCACGGCGAGGCGGAGACCCACTAAAAACCGCAGGCGGGAGAAGCCTGTGGACGTGGGATTCGGCTGGCACCTTTTGCGCCTCCCCTACTCGCGGGGAAACCCAGTTTCGGGGATCCGGAGCAACGTGGGGTGAGTGGCGCGGTGCTTCGAATCAACTGCTTCTTTCACGGAGTGAAGCCGCATTGCTGTTGCCGGAGAGCGTTGACTTTTTCTAAACTCTAAACAACTACCCATGAGTAGAACGGAAAATTGGATTTCTAAACTTCTTAATTTGGCATCGAAATGGGAAGGTCTCAAACAGGAAGTCCGCCTTCCTCTTTTGTAAATAGAGTAAAGCAAAGACGTTGCAAGCTAAAGCCTGGAAAGTTTTCTGTAAAGGATTAAATCTCCATCGGTTAAAATAACTAAACTCCCCTTGGAAGCAGGAGAAGAGGGGGGAAATTCTATTGTTTAAGCCTGCAGGAGAGAGAGTGAAGAAAGATAAATCACCACCGCTTCGAACCTGGGAATGGACTGTCAGTAAGATTGACGCTTTGGGAAAGTTCATTGACTGAGAACAAAACGATGTTGACAGATAGTTAAATAAGAGTAATACATTGTTTCAATTGCTTCCTTTTACATTTAAAAAGGAGGGGGGAAAGTAACTGAGAATTGAAACTAGCTCGGTGGCTGGATCTGTGCTTAAAAGGATGGATACAAATAGAAATTGTTTCCTTTAGAGGGAGCTTTTGGAACTGTTGCAGGAGTGGAGCTGGGGAATTTTCCAGCTGCAGAGATTAAAGAGTGTGAGAACTAGAGTTTGACCTTGGACAAGAATGTCGACAGAAGAAGCCCTAGTGATTGCATTTTGCAAGACAAGTGCTTTATTGGAACAGCTTCATGAGAAGATGGATGTGAGGATTACTAAAACTGACAACTTGGGACAAAAATTGACCGAGTTGGGACAAAAAGGGAATACTTATACAGAAATTACTCAGGAATTGACCCAGGAATCTGTTTTGACATGGCAAGCTGTGGAGAAGATGAAGGAGAAAGTTGTTGTTGAATCGCAAGTAATTCAAGTGGAGGGAGCCCCGGCCTCCCAGAGGCAATTTGATGAACATAAGCTGTTGCCTTTTATGATTGAATTTAGAGAAAGTCAGAATTGGTGGGATGGAGCCCTGCTTGGATTGGAGAAGGAAAGTTGGCTAGATCCTCCTATGCAGGTATGCTCTGGCCTTTGGGACTTGGATTTGGGTCAGGGGGAGAGTGGCGCTCTGAAATATCTTTTGGACTTTAGTTCTGACTATGGAGAGTGGGCTGACCTGTTGAGAAGGAATAAAGACATTGCTAGGTTGGAGCTCCCCCGAGATCTACTCCTCAGTGCCAAAGGAAGGAAATTAAGACCAAGATCAGCAGAAGACAAAGTAATGTGCATGGATATATATGAAGAAGATCTGCAGAAGGGACAGGGAAGAGAGTTAAGAGCCTCGGACAGAAGCTCACCAGGTTAATGGACTATATGGTATTGATAGAAAGGGCTGACAGAATCCGAGACCAGGGAGAGGAGACGGTGGAAGAGGATTGGGGGGGGGGAAGCATAAAATTAATTTTATTTAGAGAAATGTTGTAAAATTAATGAGTGTTAGAAAAATGTTGGAATGAAATTATACGGCTTTAGTAGAAATGTTATAGGGAGTTAAGTACAAATAAGTTTTAGGGTATTAATGGTAAGATAAGGTTAAAATAAATTATGATAATTATATGATAGAAAATAGTGAAAGATGGAAAGGATTTGCTGAAACAATTAATAACTAGAATACAAAAAGGGAGGTGTGAGGAGGTCGATGAAACAAGTTAATGAAAGATAAAGATATGGAAATATTGGATATGTTTTTAACTGTTTCTGCTTTTGTTTTTGTTTTGATGTATTGTGTTTTTTATGCTTTTCTTTTTTATGTATATGTATTGTAATGTGTTGATTTGTACTGTTTATTTTTTTTATTTTTTTTATTTAATTCTTAAACTTTTAATATATATTATTTTTTAAAAAAAAGATGATCAGAACCTATAACGCTAATTGTGGCATGACTACACTGGCTACCAATTAGTTTCCAGGCTCAGGTCAAAGAGTTGGATTTGGCCTATAAAGCCTTATGCTACTCAGGAACCCTGTAACACCTCAAGGACCACCTCTCTCCACATGAACCAGGCTGGATCCTGTGTTCTTCATCTGAGGCCCTTCTTCATCCACCCACTCCATGAGAGGTTTGGAGGATGACAGATGAGAACAGGCCTTTTCATTGGTGTTCCCTAGCACAGCTTGTAGAATGCTCTCGCCAGGGAGGCATGCCTAGAAGCATTTTTATCCTGTTATAGGTACCAGACAAAAACTTTAGTTTCCCCCCAGGATTTTGACCTTCTTCTGAAAGATATTGTGGCCTATTTTAAAGGAGTGGGATTTATAGTCCTGCTTTTTGATTAGCTGTGTGTATCCTATTTGAATTGTTGTGTTTTTAGGTTTTTTATTTTATTTACGGGGAAAGGGGGTGCACACACACAAAAACCCTTTTGGCATCACAGTGCAGAATGGCATCATAGGAATGGGTAAAGCAACAAAAAACTAAAAGCAATAATACACTGTCATTTTTAATGACAAACTGCAAAGTCTTTGGGGAGGGGATTTTCTTGAGAGGTGAAATGTTAAAGACAGAGCTATATAGCTACCATAACATGTAGTGTGGCCATGATTTTCTAGGCTCATCTAGATTTTTCTAGTTCATCTGTCTCTAAACTTTTTATAGCAATGTAAAGTTAGTCAGCAGGGTCTGGAAAACATACTGCATGTTATGGAGCTTTAACCATTCTAAAATTAAAATGTGATTTTCAGGAAACTGTTTCTCAGAAAAAGCAATAATTTCTTACAGAGGTGACTAATTTGGGACCCATGGGCTATATATGGCCGCCAGAAGGATTTTTGTGATCCTTAAAAAATATATCCAAAAATGTGTTTTTTAAAAAATTACTCATATACCATGACACACGTATCTTGAAAAATTAGCTTGTTTTCAATAGACAAGTGAGATGTTCACACATTTCCACATTGTCATCAGTGGTGGACGTTGACGTCTCAAATTTCAGTGGTGCCCTGTGTGATGCTCAAAACCGGCACCCCATGCCTCACCTCTCGCCTACCATTTGATGTAACAATTGTGGCATTCCAGAAGCTCTGCACTCACCTCACCTCTGCTCCCCTTGATCTGCCTTATCTGTTATGTCTGCTTTGGCCTCTACTGTTTTTAGAAAGAGAACATTAGTATGTTTTATACAAAATGTAAAAGATCACATTTCATATATTGTTCTTTTAGAACATATTACTTAGCATCTGGAACTGCATACCACTAAGAATGTGTCTCTAACTCCTCTAGTCTAGACAAAATCCTAGAAATCTTTTCATAGGCCAAATGCTTTGGATCAAAATCCAAAGGATGTCAAATGTTTTCTTTTTTTCTTTTCCCCTCCCTCTGCCCTTTTTCTGGTTTAATAGTCTTTTCTGGTTTAATATCTGACAGGCCTTTTTGAAAGAGATTTATTTTCTATAGCTCACTTAGGAGATACTATGGCCAAAACAAGTTTTCTGCTTCCAGGAACTGTTAATAGTACTGAATATATTGTTCATCGCGGGGAATCAAAGTGTACTGAAACCCACTCAAATATGGCATGCTCATTTGAGAAAACTGATTTGTGTAAATTTCTTCTGATTTGTGTAAATTGACTTGGAGAAGTTCTGATTTGATTACTAGACCATCCTTATGATAATGTGCCTTAGGTGGGCCTGTGTTGCTGGAAGCTGGCACAGCCTATCCTTGAAAAGCACAGCAAGAAGGAACTTAATGAAAAGCATCTGAGAAGGCTGCCAATTGTGATGCATTCATCCAGCAGGACAGTCAGAGATCTCTAAATCAGTCTGCTTCTACTGTTCATCTGAGGGGGAGCCACATCAATAATCAACATGCAAAACAAATCAAGGATAACAAGCAAAGCTGAGGCAGGGCTGCAAGAGCATATGCCTCTAAAAGAGTAACACTAATCATGGGCTTAAAGATAGGCAACTCACGGAGGCCAGAGCTGCCTCTGCTGTAACAGCAACATGATTTCCCACCACCTGAGATGCCACCATGGCTATGGCTTCACACTGAGTAGGGTTCACTTTTTCTGGCATAATGCCACTTCCAGTTTCATTTTCAGGCAATATTAGATGCCCTAGACCAGACCATGGTCCAGAACCCAGAAAACAGATGTCTTTAGCTATCTTCATCCGCCTGCAAGTCACAGAATTCATTGCCCCACTCAGGATAACTAGGGCACCATGAGCAGCAAGGGCTTCAGATTTGTTTGGAGCAGTAATGAAGGGCAAGCTTGTTAGCACAGCCACCTTAGCAGCCATCTTCTCAGGAAAACCAGTTCTTGTATTCATTTGAATACAAACAGAAGTGCCAACAGCGCTGATAAGATCCTAGTGATTCCATGTCTGACTTGCTGCACCTAAGCACTAAATTCCTGCCCAAGGGGAAAGGGAACTGCATCCCTTAAAACAGAATTTAAGATTGGAAAAATGTGAAACTGGGGGAACCAAAATTGACAGATTTGTCCACCCCTAGTTACAACAAAATCAATAAAGGATATTTTGGCACCTTAAAGAACAACTATTTTAAATGATACAAGATTTTGTAGGCTTGAGTCCATCCGGTGTCAAGAAATCTCATCCGTGAAAGCTTATGCCAGCAGTAGACTATAATTCCCATCAGCCTCAGTCACTATGGTCAGTGTTGGGGATGGTGGGAGTCCCAAAAATATCTGGAGGGCATCACATTGACTACCTCTGGCTTATGCCACAATAATAATAAAAAGATCTTTAATGTGCCACATAACTCTTTGTTCAAAATGGAAGGTGTTGCAATATTTCACTAATGAACGAAAGTTGCAGGAAAGTTTTCTGAGAAGTCAGAGTTCTAGCATTATGTTGTAATACTGGTGTAACTATGAAGAATTGTTTGTGCAGCACTTATCTGAACCAATACAAAAGGGCAAAAGTATTCTGTAAACACACCACCACATGATACATTCCTGGAAGACAAGAAGAAAGCAGGAATCAAAAGGACAGCTGCAGCAGGGTGAAGATCAATAGCAAAAAAAAATTTATTTGCTTCTCAGTTTCTGTGGAATATGCTTTTTCAGATCTTCATACTGTACTTCCCATTATATTTTACCTCTTTCTCTCTCTGATGCCATTTGTGTGGCTGCAACCAACTGATTTTGTTGTTGTTGTTAGAAACACCACTCTCCCAAGGCTATATTAACATTTTATGAGGTTTTGTATTCCTGTGGGAGTAAAATGCTTCCACAGTTCACCTTTAAAACAGAAGTCTGTAAAACAGTAACTTATAAATAGAAGTTTTGGCCAACTGTGCAGTGTCTTCAATCAAGGTGTTTCATGAAAATATATTCTATTCAAGCTGCTTGATGTTGACATCTATATTGTGGTTTGTTAAGTTACAGTACCTTGTGAGGTCTGAACCAAGAAACTGTAGTTTGTGCACTACTTGAAAACTAGGTTATAGGATCTGATCCTGGAAGATCCAGGCTTGATCCCAGTTACTTCCCAGAGAGTCAGAGGCAGCTGCTCATGGTAGGTCTTATATTACTGGTCACCCATTCCTTCAGAAGTAATCTGTCAAAGGCCACATGCCACTTGTACAGGATGAGAGCCCAAAGTGGGCAATTTGCAGGATTGCATAGCAAATTTGCTCACTTACACCCCATATCTCTCCTCCTTTCTCTGCTCCCCCTCCCTCTCTCCATCCAGTTTACATTCTCATACTGCCTTGCCCTCCTCCACTAACACAGATTACAAGTGACTGCTTGCAGTTGGCTTTCCTTCCATTGTTTCATCCATTTCCATTTCCCCCTTTCTACCTTCCCCCCTCCCCACCCCAGGCTTCCCCAACCCTCCAGTTTCCTGCCAAGTTTTTTTCACCCAGCCTTATTGTGTAGCAGCTACATCTTCTCTACCTCTCTACCCCTATCTCTCACATTCACAAAACAGGAGAAGAAATGACCCCAAGGAGGTGAACTGGGCAGCTATAGTGAACCTGCAGTGTCCCAGAGAACTGCATTAAATTAGACTGGCAACAACAGGTTCCCGAGCACTGCACTAGGGCATGCATGTAATGGATCAGTTTTAGGACTTACTGGTGTGACCTTGACCATTTATGCTGAAAGTTATTATGTGTTCTATGTTCTTGAGCAGACTACTTGAATCCAATAGATCTTGGTTAATCAAGTCACATGAATATTGTCATGCAACCAGACAGGTTTCTTAGGGTCCTTGGAGATTATGGCAAAGAATGTGCTGTCAGTTGACCCATCAAAGATCCTATAGAGAAGAAGCTTGTCCCTTCCAAACATTATTTATCTGCAAAGTTGTTTCCAAGCTGAACAAGTGTTGTAAGCCTGCAAATGAAAAAAGCTGATTATTTGGGGTTGCATTTTCCACCTTGCTCAGGATGAAAGTGTAATTCAGATTATTTGCAGCTGGACAGCTGGAAATACGCGCCCCTTCTACCAGCATCTTTTTCTTTGCTAATGCCTACAAGATGATGATACGTTTATATGTTTGAAAGGTAGACTTCTTTGATAAAAGTATGTTCCACTGAAATTTATAGCTTTCACATGCAGACCAGATGAACTAGAAATAGCAATCTGGCAAATATGATCTCTCTCAAAATAATGCTTGACTCATTCTGTGATTGTTATTTCAAGTTTCAAACCCCAAATATTTATAAATTCGTTTTTATTGTGCTTCTTGCCATATTGGTACACTAGCATGTGTACAGCACATTGTCAAAACAGCAAATGATGCGTCTTGGAAAGTCCACACCTCTAAAATAGACACCTTATTTAACTAGGTGTTTTGGGACTATAATTCCCATCATCCCTGACCACTGGTCCTGTTAGCTAGGGATGATGGGAGTTGTAGTCCCAAAACAGCTGGAGGGCCAAGTTTGGCCATCACTGAGATAAAGGCATGACTTTACTGCAACATATTTTATTTCTCCTATCAATGGGGAGCCTGATCCAATCATGTGTGAATAAGTGCGAGAGAGCAAGCGTTCATCTCATTGTCAGAATCTCACAGGAAGAGATGGTGAGTGGGAGACCACGCTCCAAATACACACTCTGAGAAAGGCGTTTGGAAGCCGACGAAAACCACGTCTGTTAAAATTACTTTTATTATAAAGGAGGAACAGAATAACTTTTCTCCAGCATAAAATGCCCTTACAATACCAAATCCTGTCTTGTGCAATAAACTAATACTGCAGTCATTTCCCCCAGTCCAGTTCCTTAGGATGTTGTGACGTCCCCTGGCTATTCCTGTGAATGTGATGTAGCTCCTTGGCATCGCTGCTAGCCAAATCCCAATTCACCTTACAGCTCTTCTCTCTCCTGCCATTATTTTTCCTCCCTGCCTCTATCTACCACAGTCACACCTGGAACTTGGCTGCAGGGTCCCCTCACTGAATGTGCTTCACAAACTCACAGCAACACTTTCTTCTTCCTTCCTAGCCCACTCTTCCTGCTCTTCTCTTCTCTTCCCCCTTCCCCTGCCTAACTGCCCCATTGTCACTTTCCCAACATTCCGATTCCCTTGGCAACAGTTGCCATGACTGCCCAGAACTCTCTCGCCCTCAGCTAGTTACGCACGCACGCGCGCGCACACACACACACACACACACACACACACACACACCTATCCTCTGTTTTTCCCCAGGCGACTAGCCTTATGAAATACACGAAAACCAAAACAGAAATGTTAAATGAAAATATGACTATACCTATGTCATCTGTCCCGGGGCATTTCTGGGTGGGGGTTTCATATTGCAAATGGGTTGTTCAAATGTCATCATTACAGCAGCTAGGGGGTGTGGTGTTAGCGTTGAATTATCTGCAGAAAGAGTAAATCCAGATAAAATGGGGGAAATCCAGGCTGGCATTTTGATGGCAATGATGTTATGTGAAGCCTACAAAAAATAATAATAATGCATGAAGTGTGCCTATCCCACAAGAAACACCCACCTGGAAGCACCCGGAAATACATTTAAAAAGTGTGGCTTAACAAAAGTTTCCCAGGTTCTTTAACTGAGCAATTTCTGAGTTCAACCAGAGAGAGCTATTGATTAACACTCGTGTTCTGCAACTGTTTGCGAGCCTGTTTTTGTAAGCCTGACAGTTTGTTATCTGGATGTGTTTTGCTCATTAGCCTTAGGTCAGTGTGAAGGATCTTTCCAAGATAACACAATGTACTTTGAAATCTAAAAACCTAAAAAATAGTAAGAGTAGGTTTTATCTCTGGACTCTTTGAAGAAAATTAGGAGAAAAGTATCATGAACAAAATGCGCATAAGCAGAAATCTGGATTTGGCAATCTCTTTTAGAGGTGATGGTTTTTTCCACTTCTGTAAGTTGCAGACCATAAGTAAATTATGAATTTTGTTCCTTGGGCACATTCTAAACACGGCAGCATTAGTTAAGAAGCTCCTTAAAGCAGTAGCGCAGTCCCTTGGGGAAGCAAACAGAACAAGGTTAACTTTCTTGCTTAGATGCTTTGAAGACAAAACTGCTTGTGTCGGCTGTTGCCCATGAAATCTCATGCTAAATTAAAACCAATTTGTCACAAAGATGCTGTAGTCGGCTATAGCACTCTGAAATCCCAAATACACAGGGCTGATATTTCCTTGCGATTTTGGTCAGCTCCTTGAAGATCTTTCGCTTCCTCTCAAATTATCCTGTCAATGCTATGGAACGGTTCACAGGCCAGGAAGGTCCCCAAAGATTGTTTAACGCAACCTCTTCCCTCAGGCAGATTCCTCCAAACATTCTTGGACGTTCCCATTCCACCTCATGATGAGCGTGGTGTATTATGAAGCGAAAGCTAGAAAGGTTCCCTAAGGCAGGGAGGCCTGCTTGATTCAAGGGATGCATTATTCAAGTACAAAAGTGCTTGACTAGAACATCACAACTACTACTCCATTCTAAGGCAGTTTTTGTATGCCTGTTTTTTTTGGGGGGGGGGCATGTGCAGCATGAGGACAGTCCACCGTGGCTCCCTTTTGAGAATCTATAAAACAACCATCTTGCCTGGGTGATCAAATAATCTTTTCATTGGCGCCAAACTTGTGTTAGGGATTCTCTGAGTCTGACAGCTTATCCTCACTGAGAGGAAATTACTTGAACCATTAAACGAATTCACCAAAGGATGAGTGCAAAAGAAATATCTTTCACAGGACTGAATGGAATCATTTTTAAAAAACATTGCCATCTGTATCACCCGAACTTTCCACAGCAAACCAAAACTGTTCTGCACGTAATTATCTTGGTCTTAGGTAGGTGAGAATGGAGGTGGGAAAGAGGAACGCGGCAACAGAATGACACATTGTGCTGTCACACACATGTATTTTGCTCCCTGGTAATCGACATGGCAGCAGGTGACAGCAACTTATGGCAGGCAATTAAAGTGTGGCTGCAGAGTGTCAGAACGGGATACCTAACTTGCAGCGGTTATCACTGCCCCAGATTTGATCTCCAGTCTCTGAACTTCAAGAAAATAGTTTCCTTAAGTCCTAAGAAAAGTGCTGCATTTTTCCTTTAAATTCTAGCTTTGGAAGTGTGCTTACTATTCATTTATTCCTAGGGTCCAGGAGAATTTTTAACCATCCTGTCTACTTCATTACTGCACTCCTGTATTCAGTGTAGGTGATATCATTCAGTGTAAGTTGGAACAAGCAAAGCATACCATGCCCCAAACAAGTTTCATTTAAAATAAAATAAAATAAAAATTGCTCCATAGATGAAACCAGGCCACATGTGCCCAAAGTTTAAACAAGCAAAAAGGGACATCAGTCATTCTAACCTGGGAATGTGGAAGTCCTCAGATATGGAGAAATTGCTGAGATGCTTCCAAGTACCATCTCCAATGGTAGGAGTTTTGTGATCTTTGCTTAGTAGTTTCACGCACAGAGTCAGCTGTGATCCCACCTACTGCCTGAATGTGGCCTTCAACAGGGGGGGGGGGAGTTTCCCACTACTAATCTATTGGCTGCAAGAGCTGTATACTCATTGCCCCTCTTCCACTCTGAATTAATTGTAGAAAAGATCAAGCATGTTCGCATTAGTATTATTCTAAAATTCAAAAGCTCTTCAGAGAAGAGCAAAAGCACGTGATCATTCATGCTCCAAAGAATATGTAAATAGCAAGTAAAGACCTTAACTTTAATGTCATGTGAGCTGTAAGCATCTTCTACAATTAGCCATATGCTTCTTCTAGCTTACAACTTTAACTCCATGCACCGATATTTTGCCTTTTTCTTTTAAGACTCAGTTCTACTATGTTGCAATTTAGGTCTGAAGCTGAGGTCAGGGGTAAATATCACAACTAAAAGAGAAAGGGAAATAAACTCTCCTCTGCCCTTTCAAAAGCTTAAGCAAGTTGAATTGTTTTCACCTGTAGCAACAGGAAGGTAAGGAACCAAATGAATTCTGCTGAGAAATCAAAATCTGGGGGCCACTACAGAAAAGACTCTGTTCCTGATGCTGCCGAGCTTTCTTCAGATAGTGGCATCTCTTGGAGCAGAGCCCCTCCTAAAGAAATCAGCATTATGGTTAGGTTTACATGGGACAAGGAGACCACATGTGGCTAAGCTGTTTAAGGCTTCAAAGATCAGTGTCAGGGATTGAATTGCACTCAGAAACCAACATGAAGACATCAAATATCATTCATCACCAGAGGTATGTACTCAGAATTTTGGGTTCCTATTAAAAGCCTGTTTGCTGCTTGGGGGTGGGGGGGGGAGCTGCTGTTTTCAAATGTTTTTCAAGGGCAGTCCTGTGTAAAGTGCATGTTATTAGAAAAAGGATTTTCTTGCTGGTCAGGTAGGGCTGGGGGTAACCCTGATCTGAAATCCTGGAGAGCTGCAGAAGTGTAGAAAATACTGAGCTTGATGGATCAATGGTCTGACTTGGTGGAAGGCAGCTTCCTATGTGTCTCATTTTAATCATTCTCTATATACATACTTTGCTTTGCATGAAATCTCTGTGTGTAAATTATATATTCTTGCATTAGCCTGCCCTCTTGTGGTATTCTTAGCTTCAGAACTGACAACTCATCTGGCAATTAGGTTATATCATGATACACTTTAAAATCAATGTTCACTCTTCTTTCTCCAAAAGCTCCGGGCCAATTTTTCACTGACTTTAATAGCCCTTCTAGCAGGTGAACTGATTAACGAACTCTGCACTAATACAGATGTCTTTCCACCTGAGCTTCAGGTGGCCTCTCCATCTTCCTGCATTTGCATGTTTGCTCAGGTTTGTTGGTTTTGGTTTGTAGTCATAACTACCTTTTCAATAGTTAGATAAACTGCTTGGGGGCAGGGGGTGAACATGTCACATCACAGGGGTCAGCCAACCAGTGCCCTGTGCAATTGGCTTATGTTGCAAACAGGAAGAATCAGATTTCTGGGATTTGGTCCTGAAGAGAAGACTATAGTTCCTCTTCTGGTGTCCCACTCGTGTGATGAAAAAAGTGAGGAGAGATCGCAGCAGCCCCCACTCATAGAATGATATGTGTACATAGTCCTCTATTGCATGAATGGCAAATACAGTGTTACCTCTGGATGCGAATGCAACCTGCGTCTGCACATGCACATGCACAGGTCGCAATTCGCCACTTCCTTGCATGCGTATGACGTCATTTTGAATATCTGCGCATGCACGAGTGGTGAAACCCAGAAGTAACACGTTCCATTACTTCCAGGTCGCCGTGGAGCATAACCTGAAAATGCTCAACCTGAAGTATATTTAGCCTGAGGTATGACTGTGTGTCACTGATTGGGTGCCTGTTCACCTATACAGAACTACCTGTACCTTCAGGTGTTTGCATGGGGCCTCCTGTCAGAATCACTACATGAAAGGAAAGGGTCCATAGGGTCATTAATCTTATGAGCAGAGCCCCTGAAGGGGGTGGTACATGTGTGTGGAATATGGCAAGTGGAATTTCTCCGTGGGGTTAATAACTCAAAGTTGTGTATGTCATGCACAGCCTAAGCCTTCAAAAAGAACTCTCTCTTTTTTGTTCTCGTAGTAGGTGTGTTACTCTCTTGCATGCAGAAAGGGAGGAGCAAATATCCCCATTTCTTTCTGCAACAGCATTTATCTTCTTAATCTTGGTAGAACTGATTTTTCTTTTGTTTCAAACCCTTGACGATAAAGTACATAGTATCTCAGACATTTAAAAACAACGAATAAAGTATCTGAGCTTGCATACTGTGTAACAGTATGTAAAGCTACTTTTGAATATCACTCACTAGCCAACTACTAGACTGGAATGTGACTAAAATAGATTTGTTCCTGTCCTGCATTTGCCAACACAGGTGGGTGGATTAAATTATCCTCTAACTAGCAAGACCAAGAAGCTTTCCAATAGGTCAGAAAAGGTTGCTAAGAGAGCAGGAAGCTGTCCAGCTATAGAGTCACATGGAGCTGAGACAGATAAGATGGTACACCAGGATTGTCTATGCACCACTTGCATTAGTTCTGCCCCCCCCAACTAACCCTGCCACTCAACTCCTTCCTGGAACATCAGCTGGGCCCTGATCAAGAAAAAATGTGTTTGGCTATTACCCCCTTTTCCCAAAAGTCTTGTTCCTTGTGGTCTAAAACTCTGCTTGAACACCCTTTCATCTCTTTTCTCAGGATTGTGGGGTTAATTTGGGGGTGAGAGGTGGAACCAGCCAGAATGCATTTGCCCCCATAAATCTGGAATCCTTACAAGTGAGGCACTTTCCTTGGTGGTATACTGTATGAGGAGGTTTACTGTATCTGTCTCCACTGGCCCCCTCTTGATTCCCATATAGAAATTAGGGCCAACAATGGGACCCTCCTCTGAGCAGGAAGATCCTACCTGGATTTAGTTGTAGTTCCTGTAGGGTAGAGGTGGAAACTTTTTCCAGCCTCTTGAGCAACCTTGCAAGGGACATATGCTAGTAGTGGCTGGGGCCATAGGCAAAAGTGGGACAGATATGGCTATTACATTTATACAACAGGATTCAACCTCAATCTGTTAGCCTGGGGGAGAGGACAGAACCCTGAGGCACCCCACAAGTGAGAGCCCAGGGGTCTGAACACTCATCCCCCACCACCACTTTCTGAACATGGCCCTAGCCCGCCGGTGATCATCGACCAGCGTGACCAAGGCAGTTTCAGTCCCATGATGAGGCCTGAATACCAACTGGAAGGGATCCAAATGGTCCTCTTCTTCCAGGCGTGCCTGGAGTTGTTCAGCAACCACTCGCTCAATCACCTTTCCCAAATGGAAGATTTGAGACTAACAAATGTAATAAATAATAATAGCTCACATAATCTTCTTTTTCTCAGCAATAAAAAATAAAACATCAGACCTGTTATCATTACAGGTACACACTTGTAACAGGCCTGTATAGCTTTTCAAAAGTAGCTATCATGTTGAAGAGAGGAGAGGCCTATTTATTTATAAAATACATCTAATACATAATAAAACCATGTGAAAGATTGTTAATTATCTCCCCCCCCCCCCCGGATTCCGAAATGTGAGGAGAAAGTGACTTTTTGGTCTCACTCATCTACTGAAACACAGAGTGCATCCATTGAAGTCTCAGCAGAGTTAAGTCCCTCTTCAAATTAAATTTAGCTTAATCCAATAAAGAGTTTTCCAAGGAATATTCTCTTTCTATATCAGGATGTTGGTTAACATTGGCCAAAGAGGTTAGGTCTCTTTGTATAAATAATATGTCCCTGGGGCATTGCTTATATTCCAGTTTAGTACCGTGCCATCAACATAGTACCCAGAAACCTCTGTAATTGGATGAATTGAGCAGTTTTGTAACACCAAGCACTTAATCTGCTTTGATCTATGCACATAAACATAGCCTTGGAAGTTGCATATGATTTAATTTTAGCAGGAAATTAAATAGACACAAAGAGCTCATCCTTTCTGGGAGAGTTACAGTCACTTCTCAACATCATCAGCATAATGACGTGAGCGCTGCTTTTCTGTTGCCTTGTTGCTGAAGATCCCTGAACAGAGCCCTTCTAGCCATTTCTTAATATGTGCAGAAAAGCCTGAATTGTGGCCATACTGACTTCCAAATATCAAGTAAAAGATCCAATATTAAATATTAGTTCCTATCAAATAGAATCAGATACCAAATGTCAAGTGTCAATAATCAAACCCTGACAACATTTTTTTTTTAAAGCCTGATGGCCATTATAAAATTACTTTAGGCTATATATGAATCTCTGAGAATACTGGAAAAGTTGTTTGGTATCCCGGTGGTCCTAATCGGAGAAACTTGAAAACCAGATCTCAGTTTGGGAATATTCTACAGCCTACAGCATGCTCCCTTTCTCCCTCCTCTCCACATGAGTAAAATATCACAGCTCCTCATGAGCCTCAAGCAATTTTTCACTCTATTTTCTCTGCATTGAAAAGGATCTCCCCATGCTCTCCACTGTCAAAGCATCTGCACTGGGGACTGCAACAAAATCTAGGGAAATCTGCAGATTGAATTCCCAAGTGACAGTATGGTTAAGATATACAGTAATTTGCACACCCTGGGACCTTTGGGTGAATGATAGATTATAAATACTTATAACAAAGCAAATCAAATTAAATAATTAAATTCAGCTGCTGGGCATGGAAGCCATTTCGAAGTTTCCACTAAACTAGCAAGTCGCAGGCAAAAAGTTGGGCTCCACGTATTCTTGGTGGCTCAAAATAGGAGCAAACGGAAAGTGCCCAAGAGACTCATCCTTTCATACAAAGTCTGCTGTGAGCCAAGATATCAGTGGAAAACTGAGGCACTTCCCCTCCTCACCTCCACTTACATAAGCAAACCTAAGTTTGTCACAATTGCAGTGTAGAGCTGCAGCCAACAGAGCACCCCAAACATAGAGCTGAAGCAAATTAAGTCACACTGGCTGAGCATATCTGTGTGACGTTTGTGTTTACAAAAACTTGTTTGTTGCATTTGTACTCTACATTTTAGGTGCTGTCAGAGATTGAGATCTCCTATCTAAGAATAGCTTTTTCCTTAGAATGTGGGAAGCCAGCAGATTGACCGTTGAATTTCCCCAGGTGACAAGGCCACTACTCTCAAATGTATTGGCTCGATCATTGAGCTTTGCTTTGACAAATAACAACAGGAGTGATTCTCCATGTTTTTTGCCTTTTAATGATTTTTTCTCCCTTTTAATTAAAAATGGATCAAAATGTTCAAAAGCATGGTTGAATTAAAGTCAATAGTCTATATAAACAGAAGTCATTTCCCTTCTCTTAAAACATCTTTGGCACATGCCATGAAAGTGTAATTTACTGAAATGTAACTTGTGCACCTTTTCTTTTTTAAAAAATAAAAGCACTGCAAATGCATAGCAAATAGGTATTTTAAAAATGAAAAGCAGAGCAGCTGCCCCCACGAATCTGAGAAAATTGTAATAACTTTGCTTTCTACAGGAAGAACTTGGATTTTACATACAGTATAAAAGTGTTCTGTGTAGAAGAGCTTTGTGGTACCATTAGTAACATGTGCTTAGCATTTACCATGGCAACTGCTACTTCAGTAACAAGGAGCAAGCTGAGATCTCCCAGAACCTAGCACACAAGTTTTCATCAATTTCCTATATGCCTGTAATATGTAACTAACGGCTAACTTCCTTTTGTACTATACACATAGAAGAAAAATCAGTTAAGGAGATTTGGTGGAACTGCAAGATATACTTGTAACACATGTCTGGGCTTCATTGCTCTGTGTGGAAACTTCAGGAGAGCAAGAGCAAAACAATCCAGCCTCTCAGGAGAAATGCACTAAGAATTACATAAATTACATTTATTTCTTTAATTTGCCCCAGCAAAATGGCTATCCTTTCAAAGTCAAGCTGAGGGTTAAAAGACAAATGGTGTGCTTTTGCTGCTGCTTATTATGGTTCATCTTCAATGACTTGCTTCTTTGTCTAACCATTAGGAATCACTATCATCTACAAGGATTCCCAATTGTTTGTGTCTACCCCTGGATGTTCTCTGCAAGCAGCTTTAAAGTATCTGCAAAACCTCATGTCAGTTAAGGTAAATATTTGTGGTTTCTCTGTTTCTTCTTCCCAGTGATCTATTCCTCCCTCCCTCTCTCTCTCTCTCTCTCTCTCTCTCTCACTCACACACACACACACACACACACACAATGAGCTGAAATGTTTTGAAGGCTAAGAGACAGTCCTTCGAAATCAGGTATGTTCCTGAAAGGACCAGCTGCTCATCTTGCCACTGTGGAAAACTGGCTTCTGCACATCCTTTTCCAACTTGGTACCCTACAGATGTTTTGGACTACAACTCCCATCAGCCCCACTGAGCCTGCCCAATGGCCACAGATTGTGGGAGTTGTAGCTCAGCAATATCTAGAGAGCACCAGGTTGGGGAAGGTTACCTTAGAGCACAGTTAGCCAATGGGATGTCTTCCAGAGAAGGAGCATAGCTCTTAAGGGGAAAGGCTATAGCTCTGGGATTGGCGCATATGTTATGCATGCAAAAAGTCCCAGGTTCAATGTAATTTAGTTGTCAATATTTGTTTTTAAAAGTATTACTAGTTTTACCTGTGTTTTGTTGATTATTGTTTTATGTAACTCTTAAAATAATTTTGTGGATTTTAGCTGTGTTTTATCAGTAATTCTATTATGCACATCACTTGGAGAGTTTTGTGATTAAGTGGTTTATGAATCTAAATAAGTAAAAATAAATCCCTAGCATGCTCAGTGAAGGCTGGAAAAGGCTCCTGCCTCAGACCCCAGAGCAAGGGTAGGCAACCTAAGGCCTGGGGGCCGGATGTAGCCCAATCGCCTTCTCAATTCGGCCCGCAGGCGGTCTGGGAATCAGTGTGTTTTTACATGAGTAGGATGTGTCCTTTTATTTAAAATGCATCTCTGGGTTGTTTGTGGGCATAGGAATTTGTTCATTAATATTTTTTTCCAAATATAGTCCAGCCCACCACATGGTCTGAGGGGGACAGTGGACCGGCCCACAGCTGAAAAAGGTTGCTGACCCCTGTCTTAGAGACTAACATATTATCCTGAAAACTGAAAGGTTGCTGACCCCTGCCCTAGAGGGCCATTGCCAGTCAGGGACAACAGTATAGAGTTAGAGGGTTCATTGGTCTGACTTACTATAAGGCAGCTTCCTATGTTCAGATCTTGTTGGATTACAACTTCCGTCAGAACCTCAAACTCACAATTCCTTTGTCCCCAAATAGAGGAGAGAATTTTGGATGCCAGTTTTGCAGAGCAGAATTTTCTTTGATGCTTACCTCAGCTGTGGGGGTGGGGAGGAATCCATCACTAAACCTATTTTGCCACTTGCAAATAGGTTGGGGGATTTGGAGAGGCTTTTTTTTTCTTTTTTTTCTCGGAGCTGCAGAAGTACTAGTCTGCAGAGGTGGCTTTGCATGGGATGGTTGATCATGTAGCAGCGTGTTTGCGGTCGTCTCTCTCACAGCACAAGCCTATGCATATCTACTCTGACATAGTTCGATGACATTTACTCAAAGCTAAATTTTATAGGGGACGTGGGTGGCGCTGTGGTCTAAACCACTGAGCCTAGGGCTTGCCGATCAGAAGGTTGGCAATTCAAATCCCCACGACGGGGTGAGCTTCTGTTGCTCGGTCCCAGCTCCTGCCAACCTAGCAGTTCAAAAGCTCGTCAAAGTGCAAGTAGATAAATAGGTACCACTCCGGCGGGAAGGTAAACAGCGTTTCCGTGCGCTGCTCTGGTTCACCAGAAGCAGCTTAGTCATGCTGGCCACATGACCCGGAAAAACTGTCTGCGGACAAACATCAGCTCCCTCGGCCAGTAAAGCAAGATGAGCACCGCAACCCAGAGTTGTTCGCGACTGGACTTAACTGTCAGGGGTCCTTTATCTTTACCTTTAAATTTTACAAGGTTACAGCCTCAATCTCTCTATTTCCTACATGTGTCTTACACCTTCAATAGAGAATATCAAATGCTGTAGGTCTCTGTTACACCAGCATGCCTTTCCCCACACTGACTTCAATACTGTATGTTTCTAACTTGTACATACGGTAAATGAAAACTCTTGTTCCTCTGGGTTAAAAACAGCAAACTTTTTAAACTGGTGTAAAAGAAAACAATAGTGCCCTCTAGTGATTTGCCAAGCACTGAGCAGAGCTGTGTAATAATGCATCCCAGGGAATTTAATCTAGGGCCATAAATGGATTAGAATTTACTGATTTGTTGCATAACAGATAGCAGGACTGTGCAATTCTCACTGCACTGTATCGTTCATAAATTGCAGAATATCATTGTGATCTGTCAAATTACAATCTGTCTATATCACAGTCCTGGTTATTCAAATCAGTTCTGAGAACACTTACAAGTGCTAATCTGAAAGATTCCCCCCCCCCATCCATATATGAAAGGTATTTCACTCCTCATAAATTAAATAAGATATATCAGCTGAACCTATTTTGTTGGAGATGCAGGAAATTAAAAGCAGATTATATCACATTTTCTGGAGGTGCATCAAAATAAGAAATTTCTGGGGCAAAGTCCTTAACACAGTACAAAGAACAGACCATATCAAGAAATCCAAAATATTTACTTTTTTGTTTACTAAAAACAAAAGTGAGAGACATGGACTTGCAGCCTGTTTCCAGCTTACTTCTGAGAGCTAAGATATACCGTATATCGCACAATTATGGAAAGAAGAAAGACCCCATACATTGAGAGTGCATACAGAAGTCCTGGGAAATTGTTTTGTTAACTAAATTGACCTACCAAAGGAAATAATCAATTAAGCAACAAGAAGATAAATACATGAAAAATAGGCACTTAAAAAAAATACTGGAACACAGAAAAATTTGTGCTTATGTGGAAATCATAAGTTGTTCCTGTGCTATAAAAAAATCATTTTGTGTTAATTTGGGCCTGGCCTCCTCCATCCCAATCCTAAATACTGTGCACATGATTTTTAAAGGAGTATTTGTTCATGTGTGCACATACATAAATTGGAAGAGGAGAAGTAGTAAATTATATACAGGAAAGTTGATGGCATTTCAAAGATTCTTAACATAATGATTATTATTTGATTATATTTCATAACTCCAATGTAAACTATATCCAATTCAAAAAATTCACGCTTGTATGAGATTATTTGCAAACCCTATAATTAATGATTCTTGACTGCACTAGTTTGATTCACTTTCATAATTATCCTTGATGCTTCATAATAATTAAGTGTTTAAAATAAGCGGCATATGTAAAATTTAGAGGGTTTGTTCCAGAGATTTTGACACCCCTGTAGTGAATGAGACAGTGAGCCGGGTTGCCAAATCTGCTTCTCTAGCCAGCTGGTGGGTTGGACTACAATTTAGATTCCTTGTAGTTATTTAACAAGGTTGGCGATGATGCCGGGACTTTTCTCTTCAGCACATTGAAGATTTCCTGCCCTGACTGAGGATTAGAGAAAACTAGGAAATGATGGCCTTTAAAGATGAAGCTCAAACCTACAAAATAAAAAGGATCAAGTAGATCAAGATATTGGCAAATCCACATGCCCTGATTATTCCTCATCAAAAATGCCTCCCTTATTCCCCAATCCAGTTGATTCCCACCCCCCTCCTGACTAAAACCCATCCAAATACTTTACATTCCCTGACAGTGATGATGGCAATTTTAGTTCTCCTGTTGTGCACCTTTCTGTTATGTACTGAAGTTCTCACCCTGGGCCAGCAGGGGGATGCTGTAGATAGTTCAGGTCCACATATGCAAATAAGGGATTGAAAGTGACGTTCAGTGATTGGATAGTTACAGAAAATGGTTACTGTTGCATTCTAGTGGAGCTCTATATAAGCAGGCTGGCTGAACCCTTCAGTTCAGTTCTGTTCTGGCCTGTGAATAAACAAGAGCTGTTTGAAGAATCGCTGTGTTGTCTGATATGTTCACCCACAACTTAACACTTCCCCTGCTGTCTACCCTTCTGGAGCAGCCAAAACAGCACACACTACAAGAATACACAAGAATAGCTCATCGGGATCAGGCCAATAGCCCATCTAATCCATCACTCTGCTCCCAGAGTGGTCAACCAGGTGCCTATAGGATAATGGGAAGCCTGCAAGCAGGACCAGGGTTACTCTTCCCACCTGTGATTCCCAGCAGCTGGCGTTCAGGCAAACTGCCTCCAACAATGGAGGAAGAATTGTTGGAATTCTGCCTGGGTCAGAGGAATGTGCCACAGCGTAGGCACCGGCAGATATTCCTGTCGACCTCCCCGCGTCTCCACTCTGCTGATAAGCAGGCGAGGTCCGGCGATTCTTCTCAGATGTATGAGAGGAACACACCGTTCTTCCTCTCTCCCCTTTGGTGTCCCCAGGGAGGGGAAAGAAGCAGACAGAAAACTATTTACATCATTTATTTCTGCCTCTTACATCAGTACAGAGAATCATGTCTGCACTCAACAACAGCAAGAAGAAACTCCTCCCAAGTACATCCAGTACGGGTCATATGACACACACACACTGAGCTAACATCCGGTGCTCAGTACAGAATGGACTGCCCCTTTGTTCCCATGGCAACAGTCACAAACATCCTGTCTGGCTTTCCAGCCACAAGCAGCTGGCTGAGCTGCTAAAGCCTTTGCTTGCTGCAGCATTGGTGCTTTATGGTAACATACTCCCCCTAAAGTATCAATGTGTGCTGCGAGCAAAGCGTCATCCAGAGAAGAAAACAAACAGTTGTTATATTTATAACATTCCCCTGTTGTTTCAGTTCCACCCTTGGAACTACCCGCCACTGGTTTAACCAATGTACCTCTCTGGTTGTGTGACTTCGCATTACCTTGGTTAACAACTCTCTGTTGTGCCTTTGTCTCTGACTCAGACACAGCTTCAAGCTGTCCTTGGTCGTTTACAATAGCAACATATGCAAGGTTAGCAAACTCCTTTGAATACCTCTTGGGTGGTACACCCTTCGTTGCTCTTTCAGACCTGCGTATGAGGTTCTGACCTTCTGTGCTCACTGGTTCAATCTTTGGACTCTGTTGAGAACCAGTAGCGATCAGTGGTTCATCCTCCTCTTCTGAGGGTCTAGTCATTATGTGAGATTTCCTCTCAATGACTGTGACAACTGAGCTGTCTGAGCTATCGCTGTCATCATCAGTACTACTGAACTCAATAAGATCAAACTCATCATCATCATCATCATCAGAATCGTTTCCTGTGGGAAATGTCTGTACTATCCGCTCTTGCTTTGGAGCACTCTCTAGGAACTTTGTGAGAATCACCTGACCAGATTCAGACAAAATTACTCTGTAGAGACCTTTTTCATAACCTACGAAAATGCCTCTGGCATTCTTTACTCCACCTGGAGCTTCTGTTCTCACATGAGACCCGAAAACCTTAAAATAGGCAACAGAAGGTTTTCTATTGAACAGCTTCTCAAAGGAGAACATCCCAACCCTGTTGAGACTTTTCTCAACCACACATGAAGATAGGACGCTAGCGATTCAGCCCAATATTCATGTGGCAAATGTGAACTCAGCAATTGCGCATTCATCCCCTTTTGCAATTCTTTGTTCACTTTTACACAGACCCCCCTGTTCCATGCTTCTTGCGAAACTGCCACTTTGTGGTCTATCCCTTTTCCATCCAGGAACTTCTGAAACTTCTGCAACAGAAAAATTTGCTTCTCATCTGTGAAAAGACAATCAATGTTAGCATCATGCATACTTTTAACCTTGTCACAAAACTCCTGAAACTTTTCTAAAGTTTCTTGCGGTTTCTCCATCATATAAACCCAAGAATAATTAGTGAAACAATCCACACACACAAGGTAAAATCGTGCACCGCCTCTAGATGGTTCTAGAGGACCAATCACATCAGCATACACCCGCTGAAATGCTCTGTCGACCTTCTTGGTCTTAGTCACCTTCCTGGTGCTCACACTGGTCACTCCTGCAAGAGAGATTTCGTTAGAAACATCAGAATTACATTTCATGTAATCACTTTGATCAAAAGTCAACAAATACAGTCCATCTTTCTCTTTGGCAGTAAGAAACAGTTCTCCATCTTTGTAGATCTTGCAGCTTTTAGCATCATAGGACAGTTTCAGTCCTTTCTTTGCAATCTGCGACACGCTCAGCAGATTAAATCTCAGTTCTGGAACCAGGTAAACATCACTTATAGTCAAGTTCAGACTCTCAAGATACACAGTCCCAATTCCAGTTGCTTCCAACTCCTGACCGTTGGCCTGTTTCACAGTGAAGCTTTGCTTCTTCAACGTCGAAAACAGTCCTCTGTGCGGGCACATGTGAACCGTTGCGCCCGTGTCAATTATGAACGAGTTGCCAACATCTGGCGTGGTTCCTTTCGCCATCATAGCCTTTGCAGGTTTCACCTGGCACTTGGAACGGCTTTTGCCTGACGCCTGAGGCTTCGTAGAGCTGCTCTTTGCTCCTCTTGACTGGCGCGGCTTCTTACAGTTTCGCTGTAGATGCCCAGTCTGCCCACAATTGTAGCATCGGACAGCATTCAATGCTACACCATGCTCTCCAGTAGCATCAGCAGTGGGGGAATTAGAACTCTGTTCTTCCCTCCCCCTGTCTTTTTCTTCCAGTGCAGCAAGTCTGTCGTGTTCATTCAGGACCACAGCACAAACTCTCTCCGCGGTCAGCTGCGCGGCCGGTAGGGAACCAAGCTGACTGGCAACAACCTTGTAGGTGCGGCTAAGGCTGTTTATCATCATGAAGCAAAACACTTCCTCCTGAAGACGGAAATTGCGTTCCACCATCTGTTGACGCAGAAACTTCATTTCTGTCAGGTGCGCTTGAACATCTCCATCAGGCGCAAGTCTCAGATTGGTCAATTTCTCAAAATACAGCAACGCTGAAGAACCAGCATCTCTCTGATGCGTTGTACGCAGCGTGTCCCATACCTCTTTCGCATTTTCTAAATGCTGAACATGCACCAACTGATCATCTGAGACACACAGAATTATAGCAGTCCTGGCCCTTACATTCTGTGACTCCCAACCTCTGGTTGGTGCTGCAGGGATGGGGTTTTCAATTACATCAAAAAGCCTCTGATTCTGCAGCAGGGCCTTCATCTTTACAGACCAAGATGAATAATTGTCATTGGTTAAGGGAGGTGGGCAAGGCAAACCTCCCCTTTCTTGGCATCCATCTTGAAGCCAAGCCTCTCTCACCTCCAAACAAGCTGCAAAATCCAACAGCAGTTTTTTCTTTCTCACGCAGGCAAACTGCAAGTTGTTTGTGCTTTTGCACCGGGCAGCTAAACTCAGGCTGCTATTGAAAAGTCCCTTCCAAGAGCACATAAACTTGTAGCCAAAACATTCTCTGATTTTGTTTCGCTTTCCCAGGCTCACTCTCAGAGTCCAGCCCCTTTGCCAGTAACTTTCCAGGACCGTTACCTAGCAACAATGCATTTCAATAGGACATCTTATCTACCACAAAAATTTGTGGAATGCAGGCTTCAGCCTTCAAGCTGCAGGCCTCTTCTTCCGGAGCTCTTGTTTTCTTTGAAACGCAGCTCCGTGAACCAGGGAATTAATCTTCCTGCGTTCACACTTTTAGCCCGAAATGCAGCATACCTTGAGCTCCGTTGCTTGGGAAAACACCTCTTCTTTCCACCAGCTGTCTGTGGAGCCTCTGGCTTCTTTCAGACGCTTTTCTCTTCCTCCTTGGAGCAGAGGAGGACAATCCACCAGCCTCTCATGCAGATGTCCGATGAATCGGAACCATCCGAAGGCTGCCAATGTTGGAATTCTGCCTGGGTCAGAGGAATGTGCCACAGCGTAGGCACCGGCAGATATTCCTGTCGACCTCCCCGCGTCTCCACTCTGCTGATAAGCAGGCGAGGTCCGGCGATTCTTCTCAGATGTATGAGAGGAACACACCGTTCTTCCTCTCTCCCCTTTGGTGTCCCCAGGGAGGGAAAGAAGCAGACAGAAAACTATTTACATCATTTATTTCTGCCTTTTACATCAGTACAGAGAATCATGTCTGCACTCAACAACAGCAAGAAGAAACTCCTCCCAAGTACATCCAGTACGGGTCATATGACACACACACACTGAGCTAACATCCGGTGCTCAGTACAGAATGGACTGCCCCTTTGTTCCCATGGCAACAGTCACAAACATCCTGTCTGGCTTTCCAGCCACAAGCAGCTGGCTGAGCTGCTAAAGCCTTTGCTTGCTGCAGCATTGGTGCTTTATGGTAACAAGAATATCATGCAACTGTGGTCCATGAACCCCTTCATTCAGAGGGTCCATGGCATGTCCCTTAAAATACATTTGAAAATCGTACAGCATCTTGCTACAACAGGCAGTAATGTTGAGTGTCTGCCAAGAATCTCGGCAATTTTCAAGTAGTCTATAGAGGAAAGTTTGGAAAACATTGGGTCAGACCATGCTTATTGCAAAATGATCTCTGTTGCAGCAAGGCATGCTGGGATGAAGGAGCAACAGCTGTTTTCCCTCTTGAAATATAAAAGCCAGCAGCAATTTGGCTTTGCCACTAGCATTAACCAGAGCCCAGCAGAGAACAGAAGCAAAGAAAAATGGAGATATCTTTATATTAGCAAATCTGAAGTTTAAATTTAGGTGATGCACAAGGCATGGAATATATTGAAGCTAATTTAGGTAGTGATGGGTGCTGAGCATGTTGTTTTTCCCCCTCTGGGACAAAGGTCTGTCATTAGGCAATAAATTGAAAGGTGGTTGTCTTAAACTTTTGGAGCAGCTGCTTTTGATATTCTCTAGTATTCAAAATGTAGCCATGGTGCATATTTATTTATTTATTTACAGTCTTTATAAATGGAGCTCAGGGTAGTTAAAGTCACAATATACAGTCATAAGTGCAGATGTAGCGTATAGGCAATGTACCTTTTGCAATTGCCACATAACATCATTTCCTGGCCAATCCTTCAGTGTAGCAGCACCAATGTTCTGCAGCTCCCTGGCTGTTAGGATTAGGCAGGTGCTTTGATTGTATTGTTTTCCATGTCTGCTAAAACGGTTTTTAAAGGCAAATCTATCCAAGACACATAATTTATGATGCCTTAATAGCAGGATTTCCAATTGTGCCTTTAAGGTATGTCTTTTAATTACAGGCTGCCTTGTTGCGCCATAGTCCTGTAGAAAATAACAGATGCCCCATATTTGCACAGAATAATCCAATGCCACAGATTCATAAAAAAGCCCTTTGCTGTTGTTGCTTTCCAAAATTCTGATCTTGTACGCTGCAGGATCCCAATGGCTTCTATAAACCCCCACCAAGTTGACTTGTGTATGAATCATTTTAAGCACCATTATGTTGATACAGCACAGGGACAAGGCAGCTATTTCATAAAATGTTAATGTTTCAAAGGCAAGCCTGGATAGGGGCTAGAGGAGCTTGTCACTATCGAAAATAACGATTACCATCAGCCTAGGGCAGGGAAGTTTCACACCCAAGAGCCATACTGGAAACTTAGTTACTTTTCATCATCAGAAGAGGCCATGGCAAGATTGCCACTTTTTGTTAATGTACCAGGGAAATCTCCCAGTGCATCTCTTGCTAGCTGAGCCCTCCAGTTGACTCGGGGGATAAAAGGGGGCTCATCTTGCCAAGCCAAATTTATCCTTGCTCTTATACGATATCAGGGGCTCATATTGCATCCATTAATTCCTTTTCAGCATCTCTGGACTGCTTTTCAGAGAAAAACCCAGCTGACATATAACATAAAACATTGCACGACAACATCCTGTTCCACTGCAATGCAGCCATGTTAAACAGCAGTTTCAAACATCTCACAATCCAGTCCAACACCCATATAAAGCTAACTAAGCCACAGGAAAACCATTTTATGCCAAGCGTGCAGAGTCCTCCTCAGACATGTTCAGTCTGAAGAGGGCTTCTAGATGTGCTGAATGTGCTCAAAAATCCCAGCAGTCCAGAACCCTGTGTGATCACGGTGCATGATTATGGGGAGGTTTCTACATGTATTCAACCAAAGCTATATTCAGACATTTGCATGTAATGTAAGACAAGCCCTCATGTTGGGGTCAGGACTTGCAGGCACAGTCCCTTCTCCCCTCCACGTTTTAAACCACTGGGAAACTGGCCCAGTCCTACCTGAGATCTAGCGTGTTTTGTGTTTCTGGTCTTGGTCTTCAGTCCTGACTTGTTCAGTTCTGCCTCCTCAGGTTGTGCTTTCTCTTTGGTCCCTACTCCTGGCTCATTCTACCAGGCCTGCCTTGGGGTTTCCATTCTGTTCTGTATTGCACTCTAGTCCTGACTCCTAGTTCCCAGTTACGGGCTCAGTCCAGGCCACTGTCCATGCCTTGACACTTTATTTGTATTTTCTAAGCATAGGAATACAGGGAGCTGCCTTATATGGAGTCAAACCATAGCTCAACCTAGTTCAGCATTGCCATTACTGACTGGAAGCAGCTCTCCAGGGTTTCAGGCAACAAGCAGAACTTCCCAGGGATTGGACTTGGGAACTTCTGCATGCAGAACATATGTTCTACCACTGAGCTATTGGACTTTCCCTTATATCAGATCAATAGACAACAGAGATACCATTAAAAGAAAAAGAAACTATACAGGGATACATATGGCATCAAACCATTTCCTGCCATGGTTTGAAACAAAGAACAGCTGATCAGAACACCGTTGTTCTTTGAATATCCTCACTGTGTGTGTTTTGCTGACAGTTATGAAACTATACAGGCTCACAATTTGTTGGTTGGTTGGTTGGTTGGTAGCCCACAAAAGCTTACATCATAATTAATGTGTTAGTGTTTAGATACCACAATAGGTATTTTGTGTTACCTTATTTCATGCGTTATTTTCTGGGAGTAGGGGGCCCTATTTTGGAAATTGCACCAGCCCCCCCCTTTAATCTAAATCATAGTTAAGAGTAGACACAGTGAGATCAATTTACTTTAGTGGACCTACCCTGTTTTAGTTGGGTGCAACCAATAGAATATAAACTAATATGATACATGGCAATTCAGCAATTTTCAGTACTCATGGCTGTAGTGTAGATCCACCCTTTTTTGTGATAAAAATGTCCTATATTTAGGTTGAAGAGTCCAGAGAATCGAAACAGCAACCTTCTGTCCACCATACAGATCTAAACTTACTTGAAATAATTTCAGAAAGTCAAAAAAAGAGTTTGAAGTAACAGAGAAGAAACTCCTCTGTTTTGCAAACTTATTGCAAAGAACAGTGTTATCCATGAACGCAAGGTGGCAGCACAGCCCTAGTTTTTCTTCTTTTGAATCTATTATATCAAAGGCCAGCAGAAAAAGAAAGTGCTTTCACTAGGAACAGACATTGTTCAGGGTAACATTAAACACATGTACGTGCTCAATCTGCACAAGGTATCTAATGTAAATTGCTTTCTTGCAAAGAGCTTAGTGTCTTCTTATACACACACACAAAATGCCTCTGGCTTAGTTGGGAAACTTGGTTAATTCTTGGCAAGGTGACAGATGCTTAGCTTGAAGGAACTTCTTTGTTTATCTTGAGATTATTAGGTTGAAAAAAGACATGCCTGAGCCCTGGGATCAACAGGCAACAATGCCTTGTTTTCTACATAAATATAAAAGTCAGTTTGTCTTGGTTCAAGGCTAATTTTTTCTTTGTGGTATGATTATACTCTGTTTCTGCTTCCAACTTTCCAAAACTCATAGATATATTGCAAAGCTTTACTAAAATATTTTTTGCTACCAAAGGCACAAAACAAGAGGTTAGAGGATGTTTTGAAATCCACCCTTTCCTGAATCTATGTTATCTTCAGCCTCCCCTCAATTCCCACAGTTAAAGAGAAATCAGTGGAACTAAATGAAAAGTCCTAATTAATTTGTATTTTGACAACGTATGAAGCTTGACAAGAACTCTGGCAATGGTGCAAAACCTTGGTCCAGGAAATGCTGGTCTTTTATGCTAAAGCACCACTCTGAATGATAATGCTGCTGGAATATTTGGGATTTGTTCAACTGGTCTTAGTCCAAACCAGATTGCAGTGCCCTGTAGGTTACTCATTATCTCCTTACCCTTGAGAACAGTACGGTCAAAACTCTGAGGCTCGTGGGAACGTGATCCTTGACCATAACCAAGTAACCAAAACATGGGACATATAATGTTGGGAAGGTAGTTTTAAGAACTTGTGGGGAAGTTTTCCCTTACATTTATGATCTATTTGTAAAAGGAGAGCAAACAGGCCCTGGGTCACACATTTTCACTGGTGGCCCCAGGGCTGGTGAATAACCTCCCTGAAGAAACTCACTACGCAACTGGACTTCGTAATTGCAGGCATGCTATTATAACTTTTTACTCTGCAGCTTGTTGGTGTTTGGTGGAAATATTGCTCTTGTTTGCTGTGTTTTATTTTATTACTCATTAGTGCTAGTTTGATTGTACACTGCCTTAGGTATAATTTTTTCACAGAAATGTTATAAATAATATAAAGGTAAAGGGACCCCTGACCATTAGGTCCAGTCGTACCGACTCTGGGGTTGCGGCGCTCATTCTCGTTTTATTGGCCGAGGCAGCTGGCGTACAGCTTCCGGGTCATGTGGCCAGCATGACTAAGCCGCTTCTGGCAAACCAGAGCAGCGCACGGAAACGCCGTTTACCTTCCCGCCAGAGCGGTACCTATTTATCTACTTGCACTTTGACATGCTTTCGAACTGCTAGGTTGGCAGGAGCAGGGACTGAGCAATAGGAGCTCACCCCGTCACGGGGATTCAAACCGCCAACCTTCTGATCAGCAAGTCCTAGGCTCTGTGGTTTAACCCACAGTGCCATCCGCATCCCTTCATAAATAATATATAGAGAGATATATACAGGGCAGACTATCCTGACTAGTAGTGGGGGGGGGGAGAGATCTGGGATACATCCACTTGACTCCACTAAGCTCTGCCAGTGGGGCGTGCATCTGAACTACAGTGGAATGGAGGCAGGGAGAGAAAGAGTTGGGCCACCCAAGGATCTGTTGGATCTTAAGCCTGGAGTTGGCACAGCAAAATAATCAGGGAGGGAGGCTTCTGTCCTAGATGGCATGAGCAGTGGGGCTTCATATATGGCAGTGGCTCCACCATTTTGTTCAGCCCCGCTGCTTGTTGGCCTAGAAGTTAGGATTGCCCCCTTATTGCTCCCTATAACACTAGATCCCTAAGCAAATATACACCCCTGAGCTTACGTTTAGTGGTGCATCATCAGAACTCGCTATGCATTGGGTCCATCTATTTTTTCAGCCTCTAATCTATTTCACTTCTCTTCACTGCGTCACATAACTTGGTGTGAGATTTGGCAGAAAAATAGAACCGCAGCCTAATGGCCAAACTGCCCATTACATGAAGCACACTGTTTAAACCTTCAGTTAGGATCTGCCACTTCATCTCCTTAATGAATGCAGGAGGGCCATGGCAGAATTAACCTCCCCACTCCACCATTTCCTGCTCCCTCTCTAAAATCACCCTCCCTCCAGGTGCTCTTTGCCCCATAAGGTATTGATGAAGCAAATAGCACATTCTAGATGTCTTTGTTGGTGGTAAAGAAACTGGAGGGAGGATTTAACCCCCTTATCCCACATGCCACAACCCCATCTAGTCTTGACCCAACCACCCCCACACCCTTTTCTTACAAAGGAGAACAGGCAAGTCATAAACATGTGTTGCACAAGGACTTTATGTAACATGTAGTTTGGCCCTATGATGGCTCTCTAGTGTCATGGCTAACAAAGATGCTGAGGAATGTGTGAGATCTGCAGAGAATTACCCTCAACATCCTCCCATACCTCTAATCCACAGCTGCACTCCAAGAAATATTACCTGTCTGCTTTTGCTTTCCCCCTTGAGTGGGATCCATGCTCTTAGGTATCCCTGGGTTTCTATGCAATAATAATGAAGGAAAGAGGCCTTTCAAAGAGGTCTCCAAGAAGCAAATTGGGAATTGTAGGAGAGAAAATGGAAATAAAAATATAACAAAATGGATGAGAGTCTCATGGGTAGGGGTGTGAGAGAGGGAGAGGGGAGGGGTAATGGAGGGAGATACTGAAGGAAGGCTTCAAGAACGAATGTCTACAATGAAGATCTCATCACACTGCTCCAGGGTCCTAAGGGCTGTTTTCCTTTGGAGTTAATGGTGATGGTGGTTGTTTTCTTTTGTATGTTTTTTTGTTTTGTTTTTGCAGTGTGCGATATGCTTTTATCTGTGCTTGCATGGCAACAATACTTTTTATGTGTTAAGTTAAAATTGATCTTACCAATGTGCTTGCATTAGTATTTTGAATGCTACAGTTAATATTCCCTTTACATTTTGGAATCAATACCTTTGGAGGGGGGATGGGACAAATTCTCCATCTCTTTTTGTCTTTCAGAACTTTCATGTACTGTATGTTACTGAGGTGCCAGCTAACTGGCTAGGGCTGAGCTTCCTGGATGGTCCTGGGGACAAGAAACACTTTCTGAGGGAGCGGTGTGAGAAGGCAGCCGATGATCATTCCCTCTGGTCCCACTCATCCCCATCTCTTTGAAAGCCAAGTGGAGAACTGCATTGCTAGGTGGGTGCCAGTGTTTATACTTCCTCTCTTTTTCATATGGTTATTAATGATGTTGCTGTTGGGAGAGCATAGATTATACAGTAAACTAGTTAAGCTGATGTAAGCTAGGTCTCATGGCAGCTATCTTAATTGTGGTGTAGGCCTAGCTTGCACATTGATTGGTTGTGTAGCCCAGGGATGTCTACTCCACAGGCTGTATTTAGCCTAAGTTATATGTGGTGGTCCCCAAGACCTCCAATAATGCAATGTTTGTGGTGGCAAAAAGAGAAGGGGGAGGAACCACTCTGCTATTGACTGGCAATGTGTGCAAAGCAACCCTCAGAGGTTTTCAGAGTAGTTAAGCCTCAGCATTTGTGGTTGAGAAGCCAATAACAGAGTCGGCTTCAGAATCATAGGTCTGTCGCCTGTTGCTACTGCAGTCACAACAGCTTGTATCAGATACACATCTCAGATAAGCATCCTGCCACCTTCCATGGGAAAGCTGTGGCACCATTTTGCTTTACTGTGGGCTGTGATGTGTTACTTCCATTGAGTCCTTCCTGGGGAAAGTTTCTTTCTTTTTCTTTTCTTTCTCATGCAAAACATTTTTTTAACTAGTAGCCATTGAGAAGGGTATATGGGGTGTTGAGAAGGGGTAGTATCTCTGGTGGGGGAATCATCGTGCTCCTTCTAGAGTAGTTTGTCTGTCTTTGGTTCCCACCCTGCACTCAACTCTCACCTGTGGCTCCTAGAAGCTGTTAGCATGTGACAGAGGCCACATCCCAGGAAACTGCTTTGACTGGCCGACTAAACCAGTTGAGGGTAGCCAATGGGTCTCAAACCCTTGTTCAGATAGGGGCTTCCCCTGCATGAGGGGGAGATAATGTGAATAAGTACTACTTCAGAATGAATTACTTGGACCTTGAGCAGTTCCTTGGCTGGAAGGCTCAAGGAGCAAATAAAAAAAACTCATTGGTCTAGAATGGATAGTGAGGGAAGTCAACTCAATATGTGTATGCATGAATTTGTGTGTGTATGAGTATGTGTGGGGAATTTGTATTCTGTGTGTATGCATACAAAAGTTAGAGCGAGTGCATGTTTGGTGGCCCAAACTACTTTGTCCTAGTATGTGGCCATTCTTAATAATCAGGCCTAATCATCAGGATTTTAGGCTGTGTACTTCAGTGGAATATTGTAATTCTATAGCTAGATCTGCTCTTAGCTTTTGGATGAGGCCCATATTGCATAGGGATAGAAACAGCACATAACTATACAAAACAAAAAGCAAAGTTAATAATTTCCCTCCCTCTTCTTTTATTTTATTTGATTGTAAACTTTTTATGATTGGATCATATTCTTACATCAGTTTGAAAGTCAGCCCTCTTTTCAATTAATATTTTAGAGTAAGTCACCATTGAGAAATTTCTTCTCTTGATCACTGTTACAGGGGAAGGATTCATTCTGCTCTGGGCTTACTAAAACACAATCATCCATTAAAAAGTTACTTGGTTTTGAATTAAGTTACACAGCTCAGGCAGATTCAATAGGTTTATTATGGGCAAAGAGAACACATATTGAAGAGTTTGTTGAAATTAAAAACAGACTTCCAGATGAAAATCAATTAACTTTTAATGGTTAAAAAGCTGTTTTGAATAGTTTCAAAAGAATGCAAGACATATCTTAAAAAGTAGAATGAATGTGCATTTTTAGGTGGCTAGTGCTTTCTGTACTGTAACAATAGCTTTAAAATGGCATTTCAAAAACCATAACCACAGAATGCGAGACTGCTTCATATCAAGGCTATTGGTGCACTGTTTGCTGAGAGAGAGAAAAGTTTACAAAAGACATTGATAGAGCTTAATGTTCTTCTATGGCAAATCTGATATAACTTCATTGACATATTGTATGCTGAACATGGAGACAAAGATTTAACTGCAGTAGGCTTGCTTGGCCTCAGAGTGGGCAATTGCTTGCACCTGAAAACAAGATTTAAAAATAATCCCAAGCACTGTGTTTGTGGCACCGGAATTGACACATCAGGATTTTTTCCATAAAAAAGCTTCATCAGAAAGAACTTGAGCCAGTTTTGTGTTGAAAGGCTGATAGAAATCTCGTAGAATTTCCTTTGTGATAGGTAACATAGGGCCCAAATTGCGATCTTCAGGCCTCCTAGTGTTTGATGCAGGACTTTTGGTAATTAGAGCTTCTTCTTTTTCACTTAGAGCACCTGTAGTAAAATTAAGAAAAGGAAAAAGATAACCACAAAATATGCTTGTATAGCTTTCTGTAATGCATTTCCTCAAACATTTCCAAATTAAGTGACATGAGATGTATAAACGTGGCTTTTGGACATTATAGCTTGTTGTCTGAACAGGAAGCATGACTTCTTGGCAGTGCCTGAAGCACACACCATCCCTTCTATTAGGACCAAACTATACATGGCATGAAATGTTTGCAAGCATTTACTATACAAGATTTTGGTTTTTAAATTGTTGTTCTTTTGTTCTTTTCGGCTGGTAGGGATAAGCAAGATACAGCCCCATGGAATGTAGAGAGGAAGCTTAGCCTTTTCTGTACATGCTGTGATGTACCCCCATCCGCAACTGCTATTGATGCCAATGGAAACTTCTCTGCTAGGGCTAATATAGCAGCTTTGGAAAGAACATATATGAAGAAGAGCTCTCTGCTGGATCAGGCCAAAGGCACATCTAGTCCTGTGCCCTGTTCTCACAGTAGCAAACCAGATGCTTGTGGAAAGCCTAGAAGCAGGACTTGAGCACAACAACACACTCCCTACTTGTGATTCCCGGAAACTGGTATTCAGAAGCCTGCTGTCTCCAACAGTGGAGACAGAACATTGTCATCATGGCTAGTAGCCACTGATAGCCTTATGCTCCTTGAAGTTGTCATTAAGGACCTTTTTCAGTGCGACTTCATTATGTGAGGAAAGGGTTAATTCTACCCTTCTCTTGCACAATGGCTCTGGTTATGTTCACTTACATTCCCATTCTCATACTATTTAAGGAAGGGAATTCATACATATTGAATGCTTGCCTGCATTTAACCTCAGAACATTGTTTGCCCCTTAGGAGCATGATCTTGAGATGCAGAAATAGGAGTTCTAACCATTTTGTCCTACTCAAGAGTAGGCCCATTGAAAAGATTGGATATAATTAACTTTGGGCCTTTAATTTCAGTGAGTCTACTCTGAATAGAACTTAGCTGGATACAACCCTAGGTATGTTAGTGCAAAGGGACCATGTGAAAACATGAAGAGTGTGGCTCCTGTTCCACTTGCAAGCTGTAGTGTACAAGCCATTCTAAGTAAATATGTGTTCTTTTCTTTCTTTACACAATGTAAAAAAAATAATTCCCTGCTGGTGCTGGATCGTTCTAGCTCAACACCCTAATTCCCACATATTAATACAAGTTTAATGTAACTGTTCTACTCCAGGTTATGTTCTGTAGCATTTAGACAGTTTTTAAATGCTTAAAAATTAACTGCATTTAAAACATAAGATGATTCCATCCCCCATGTATCACTTAAATCATTTTGCATCGTAAGCAGTATGAATTGTTCATCTATTTTTAAAATGTCTAAACCAACCTTCATCCAAACAGAATAAATCCTTATGGCTGATTGTTTTCTCGGAACAATTTAGCATAAAATAATCATGAATGTACATTCCTTCTCCTTTTTTCTTAAAAGTTGTCCTCTTATGATGGAGCTCCTGATGTCAGGAAGCATTTATGTCACTCATGCATAGAGGTCCAGCACACCCTCATGCAAAAATGATAGCAATTCACTTTTGAAATATATTACATGCTGCAACCTTTTGATGATCTAAAGCAGAGGTAGGCCACTTTGACATCTGGGTGGAGCTGAATACAAGCCCAGGAATCAGCTCCACTTGGGAGCTCCTAAATGGAGCAGTTCCCAGCAGGACTTACATCGGTGCCATTTAAACAAAAAACACCAAACCCAAGTCCCATTTGTAGGGGAACAATTGGAACCACACTCAAATGCTCCCGATTGTTCCTTTGCAGCTGCAGCTTTCCCTTACCCACAGATGACAGCATGTGGACATGGCAAAAGAAAAAATGGCCTCATGGGCCAAATTAGAATCCCTGGTGGGCCTAATTTAGCCTGTGGGCCATGGTTCCCCATGCCTGATTCCCAAGCCTGACCTAAAGGCTGCTATTTAGCATAGCAGCACATGTTGATCAGTTTCCACATAGAAATGGTTCACTGAAGGCCATTTTTGATATAGATAATCACTAAATTGCTCCATGTGGAGGGGGGGTGTGCCGCCATAACTTGATGCAACTGCACTACTTCATAGGTCTGTACATCTGCCAGTTCTTACAATGAACATGCAACATTCTTAAATGCAATAGTCTTATACAATCTGTATAGGAAAGCATGTGGCAAGTGACCCAAAGGTAACATGAACCTGTGGATTAAAATTAAATTTAAAATAGAATACCTCTTGGTTAAGATACAAAGAATGGCTAAATTTAAGCAACTTGTTTTTCTTTAAATTTGAATATATGTGATCTAACTACAGAGCAATTACCAGGGACCGTCTGAGAGCAGATTTAGGAAGGGGGCTGAAGCAGAGCCTTAGAAAAACAGGGCAATTTCATTAAATGTGCTTTAATCAGAAAGGTCAGAAAATTTCCTACCTAAATCCAGGAACTGGAACACCATGTGCATAGTAAACTTAACGTTGGATGCATGATCCTCCAAGCGGAGAACTAGTATTTGATCTTTATTAAAAACTGTCAGCCAGTCCAAGAGAAAAACAACATACAGACCAACCTGGAGCCTTACCTAAAAGAATGAAAAACAAAATAAATTATTGTTTTAAGAAAACACTCCAAATGAATTGGCCATGGCAGACAACAATAAGTGAGATTATGCAAGGCATAGCTTTATTGCAGGAATGTGACATACTCATGGGTCACCGTATGTGCTATAGCAGATGACTCCCATTCCTGAAATTAGACTTTGGAAGGTTAACTTCTTATCTCCGCCTCTGCACCCATAGTAGGCTTGAAAGACAGCAAAAAACATTTTTAAAGCCTAAATTGAGATGGGGAGAAAGTGAGTGTGCATGTGTTGTGCATCCTTTCAGGGCTCATGTGTACAGCTGCAGCACTTCCATTGTACCCACAACAGTTTATCTGGTTTGCAAATGTGCCCACGGAACCAGAAAAGTTGGCAACCCTGGCATACATGCATCAGGGAAGCCCAGTGGGGAGGTGATACTTCTCCCTCATCTGGTATGCTGCCCTCCGATACTGGAGGCAGCATGCAGCCACCATGGCGAACAACCATTAGATTTGTTTAATCCCCTTTGAAAGCCCTATCTTGTGGCAGCAAATTTTATATCTTAATTATGCATTGTGTGAAGAAGTACTTCTGACTTTCCAACATTCAGCTTCATTGGATAGTCTCTTGTTCTAGACCAGTGTTCTGAGCAAAGTAGAAAAATGCCCCCATCTTCATTTTCATTATGCCATGCATAATTCTATACACCTCTATCATGTTCCCCTTTACTTCCCTTTCCCTCCAGACTAAAAAGACCCAAATGCTGTAAAGGTTCCTCACAGGGGAGAAAGGGGATAGTACATGAATGCACCCATTAATGCTCTAGCTGGGTGCTCACTTGATGGAATGCTCCTTTCTTACCAAAGATAAACAGTTAAATCCCCAATTTAGAATTAGATCCAGCCTTTTGTCTTCTGTGTGGATGGATTTGTTTTTAAGCAGAAAGACTTTGTCATATGAACCACCAGGTTCAAACACAAGTTTATTAAGATAGTGGTTTTTTCTGGTGGGTTTTTTTCATTCTATAATGTATTTGTTACATACTCTAATATGATAATACCAGCTTCATGAAATTCTATTGTCTAAGAATCATATCAAGTGAGAACTGAAATGTACGTACGGGCATGGCATTGTTAATGGTGTTGTTGTACACACAGGCTCTCAGGGAGTAATCTGCCAGGCAATTTTCAAAGAGCTGCAGTGATTCAGCCACTTTTTCATGGAAGTCTTCTACAGATTTGTTAGCACTTGCAAAGTAAAGATAATCAGAATACAATCTGTAAATGAAATAACACAGGAACAATTGAAGCACAATTGCAGCTAAGCCATCCCACATCATCATCATCATAGTAATAAACCAATAGCTATTGTCCAGGCAAGAAAAGAAAAGGAAGAGTGCTATTTGTATAGTAAGGCTGTGCTTTAATTATTGTTTATTCCAGCAGAAGTCTCACAGCTCCATTCCGAAGAAAATTAAACTGAAATGCCAGGCTGATCCAAGTTGCCTACCTGGCAAAGGAATCCTACAAATACCTCACTTTAGTGGAGTGTACTTCCCAAACATCTTCCCTCCATCTCTTTGGTCATGCCAGGGGAGTCAGATGAGAAAAAAATATTACAGGAACAAGATCTAATAATACTATTACTTGTCTTCTCTTTGCTAACTTACCATTTTTATCTCTCAAACTAGCCATATGAACCACACGATTCAGATCTTGACCCCATATTGCTCCTTGTAGACTATATTCCTTGCTGCTCTTATTCATTCTTGTAGCTTTTGCTACCACTTTTATATTGATTATCCCAGTCGCATGGCCACTCTCATTAGTCTTGCTTGCTTATTAGTCACTCCTTTCTTCGATTCCCCATCTTCAGTTATCTTACTCTCAAGCCTCCCTCACCTCCAAATACCCTTCCTTCAGGGTCTTCTTTTCCAGTCCAGTGCCCACTGAACACTCTTTTTCAGCCACCTCTCCTCTGGTCTCACTATCTGTTGATTCCCTCCTGCTGTGGCCCCTTCCTTGACCTGTGCCTGCTACACAAAGTCACACTCATCCCTAGGAACCACTTTGACCTTGGAATTTTGATACAGCCCGCTGTCATCTTTAGCTTTAAAAGATGTTTTAAGGTAAAACACCTGCTAGCAGCTTCAAGCTTGTTTACTTTGAAAGGTATCCCCCCTTCCTTTCATGTGACGAATAAAAACTCTATTGATTTTCATGAGAAGGAGGAAAAGAGAGTGCAGCAGAGATGTCAGAACAGCCAGAGGTGGGAAAGGAGGGTCTCACTAACTGCTGTGTCTCTGTGTGGTATGTTATAACAACAGAGCCATGTACGAATGGGAAGCTCTGTCTGTAGGTGTAATGTAAACAAACAGAAAAATGTGCCACTCCCAGCTTATATTTCACTGACAATACAGCCGTGCTGAATATTTGGCTGTGCTTAATATTTTGCTGCCTTAGGCAGCCGCCTGTTTTACTGTGCATGAAATAGTTGGCTGTGAAACTGGAAGATATGAGAAAAACAGGAAGGATGGAGCCAGCCGATTCATTAAATGCGGCACTTTGAAACATAAACAATTCCCCCCCCCTTTCCCTGCAGAAATGTGTGTGTAGAAGAAGGTTAGAGCTCACTAAAAGCACATTATCAAAAGAAATCGAGACGAGAAAGGTGAAGTTTGCAATTTCTGCCTTGAGTAACATCAGTGCTAGCTAATAGCGCTTGCTATCTAGGTTAGACAGGCGAGAAGGTGGCCAAGAAAGTGAGCCAAAAGGATGGCTGGCATATGCGGCTCATTTAGATGGCTCTTTCTTGCCAACACCATTTAATCACATTCTCTAGATCAGAGGTGGGGAACCTGTGGCCATCCAGATGTTGATGGGCTACCAATCATGCTGGCTAGGGCTAATGGGAGTTGTGGTTTAACAAGATCTGGAGGACTGCAGTTTCTTTATGCTTGCTGAAGATGGCAGGGAACTTAAACAGATAAAAATAAACAACATATCCATATCCACAACAATACATATCCATTCCAAAATAGAACACGAGTATGAAATTCTGTCTCAGAATTAAAATCTAATCTTATAGGAGGGCATCAGCTTTCTGTACTTACATAACCATGAAGTTACCCCCTAGAGTTTAGGATCAAGAAATAAGAATTGCAACTAAAGCTAGTCACAATTGTGATAGGGCAGAAATTACTTTAATGTCTGGGATAATCTGAACATATGGCAACCCGTGCTGGGAGTGTCATTTAAAAATAGCTCAAAAACTTCCAAAAAAAGGGGGGGGAGCTTAACAACTTTCCTGTCCAGATTTTCACTTTCTGAAATATGGTAACCCTAAATTGATATTACTATTATGCAATGCTAATCTTTGCACTTAAGCAAAATATTAGCTGTTATGGGTTTATCTTGATACCAAGGGACATTCCTCAAAAAACCAGGGATCTGTCATTCATTTTTATTATAATCAACTTCAAATATGTTTCTCTCTGTGTGCTTTCTGTTGTTATCACTTGTCTGAATATTAGCAGAACTATGCCCAGCACAGTATGCTCTGTCAATGGTCTATCAGTTATACTTTTTTAAAACAAAAACAATTCACTAAAATATATATCTTAAAAGACCAATCAGATTCTTATAACCAATTTTCCCATTTCAGGAAACTCATGCCTATATCTTGGTTAAGTACAATGACCTTTAGAAAGGGTCCTATCTCCTTCTCCAAACCCCTTAACTGAAATCAATCTTCTTTCTGATGACCTTTTCCTGAATAGTCTGTTTATGTATGTGTGTCACAACAGAATCCTATATATGTGTCTACTCAAAATTAAGTCTCAGAGATCAGTGGGACATACTCCCAGGTAAGTATGGATTAAGATTGCAGCCTTAGTTTCTCTTGGTAGAACATTTCTCCAAAGAGGGAATGAAATTGATTTTCCCAAGAGTTGTTAGAGATACATATGTCATGTTTCTATGTCCAGATAAAATACGGTTTATGCACAAGCCTTGAGCTCTCAAAACTCCCCTCCCTCTGCAAGGCCAAGAGGGGGACTTTGCAAGATTTTGCTGAACTAAGGAACCTGGTTCACATTGACTATGGTTTATTGAAGCAGTACAGCTTCAGAAACCAAGGTTACAACTTCCTATGTTTTTGAGACGTACCATGATTAGAGTTATACCACAGTCCCTGCCTCAGAGAAAAGGAGGTTAAAACTGTTAGCTAACTAAAGGGTTTATTAAAATGAAAAGCTTAGGAAGTCCTTCTCCCAGATGCAGGGGAGAAGAGATGGGAGTGTGCAAGTCTGAAGCACACCCTACACAGTTTAGTGATTAAACTATGGTACAGAAAGGGAACTCCATGTAGACAGTGGAGTGTCCACAAACTCCTTGTCAGGAGATTCTCATATTCTAATGAAATCTGTATAAGTTGTAGGATATTTCCTTATTTATTTTGCATTGTGGGACATCTTTATAAAAAACAAATCTTTGCTGATGAGAATTTCAGCTGCTCTTGCTACTTATGGCTCACTTGATGCTGTTACCAACTGCCATAATCTATCACAATTAAGTGTAGGTGCACATGACTGCCTCTTCATCAGAAAAGATTGCAGAGGAAATGGAACCTAGCATAAAAAGTGGAACCATTTCTTTCAAGCACAGTTCCATATTTCAATTCTATCAGCATAAATACTTGGTTCTTGATGTGTTCCCTATGTTAACAATTTTGCGGAAGCTGTTTAATGATAGCAAAAATGAAAGGCTGAACCAAGCTTTAAATAAATGTTCACGGGTGGTCACATGGGCCTGCAGCTCTCAACAGTGTGACTGTTCCTCTTCCCTCTGTGTTGTCATGGTACAGAAATGTGTTTTTCCACAACTAAGGAAACATGCAGCTGCATGGTAGCTGCCTGCTTGTCTCTCTAATGCCAGAGGGAAAAGAGAAGGAAAACAAAGGCATTGGAAAGGAAAAGTGAGTGAGCAGGCATGCCATAACACAACAGTCACATGAAGTGCTGGGCCGGAGAAGAGCAACTGCAAGTTCAGCTGCCATAGTGTTCTGTTGCATTTCTAAGTTTAAACTATTAAATAAATTGCTGTATGAATCCCCTTATTCGTGCAGATTCTAGAAAAGGAAAATATGTGCACTGCAGCTACTGCTGGAATATTAAGGGGAATAGCACCAATGAGGAATATCTAGGCATTACCACAACTATGGCCATTGTATTCTCTTCCAGCACCCAAGATAACTCAGATTCTCTTTTGGCCAAATACTAATATCTCTGAAGATATTTACAGCTGAGCTATGTGATCCATCATTATAGAATTCCATGGCTCAAAATGACTGGAAGTCAATTAGTTTACAGGGGGAAGCAATGCTGTATATCAGTGCACAACTTTTCTAGACATAAAACACATTTAACTCCAGTCCAGTTTAGGACTCTTAGTTTTTCTTTCTCCATCCCTACAGCATTCCTCTAAAGAAAACCCCAAAACAATTAAATAAATAGTAACAATAATATTGGTGTAACCTCCCTTAGGTTAGGATGAAACCAGCATGTGGCTCTACCCATCAAATATTTACATTATAGCAAGGCACAGTTATGCTACTTGGCTGTCAGGAATAAAGAATTTACAATTCAGCAATACATATAGGGTTAGATTTATCCCGTGGTGAGAGAAAAAGCACAATCTATTGTAATGGAAACTGTATCCATTACAAGTGGACAAAATTGGTATCTCCCAAGTTAAGGGGTATATTACGATATGAGACAGACACTAAAGCAACAGCTGGTGAATATTAGAGTCATATTGCAGAGCATTTCCAGATCATTTACAGAAGAAAGCCACTTTATCCAGCTCTCTTGCATACAATTACCATCTGTTAACATTCAGAGCCCACAAAATATATTTATCAAGTCAACAGTGCACTGTCTGCCATGCAGGGGGCCATGAGGTGACTTGGGCAATGGGGAGCACTACTGCTGACAGCTCTTATTCTATATAGTGCTGCTGATGAGAATAGAATTCTAATAAGGAAAACATTCACAGCAGGTGGTAGTGTGTTTTCCCTATGACTATCTTTCAAAAAAGAAAAAAGAAATTAAAAGCCAATTTACATTCTGATATTTGATTTTTATATATGTGGCCATGATGCATGAAATGCTGATGGCACTGGAAACTGATTTACCACCTTTTCTCCCATTTTGTAAAAATGACTGATCTGGAAAGAGGCAGAGCTATGGACACAAATCAAATGAGACAAGGCAAATAGTCTATGAGCCCGATGAGATTTTACTTCCTCCCCTACTTCCCAATGTACCTCCTTTTCACAGGGGGGAAATGAATGAACCATACGTTCATCCATTTATTTGAATATGGCATGACTAAAACTTCTTACTAGGAATTTAATGTCACAATGGGCCAGTTTAAGATTTACATCTTCCCTTGTATGAGGAAAAGAACATGTGATCTTGTATGAATCCACAGCTCTCCCTAAGTTTAAGCTGATCAGAAACAGCATATGAACGGAACCTTTAAATAGGGATAAAAGTTATCATTTCCCTACAAAAATAATCTCATTCCTAAATTCCACAAGTTACTATTTTCAACCAGTGGTGCAAGTAATTATAGCCTCTTTAATAGTTTTATACCCCGACCCCCCTTCTCTTTAGATGCTAATGTGTATTACTTCACAAATGTGGTAAGCTAGCCCTCCTATATATAGAGTCTCTCTTGTTCAGTCTGCTGAGTTTGACCCTCCAGCTCTGTTCTAACCAGCACCACTGTGTTAGAGATGAACAAAAATTCCCATGTTCCACTTGAAAATCATTTGAGTTTTCCAAGCATTTCCACTGAGAACATTTTATTTTCAAGTACTCACAAAAGCCTTCGAGCTTGAAAATAAAATGTTCACAAAAATCCAATGTGCCCATTGAACTCAATACAGACATGATGCCTCCATTAGTTTTAATAGACAGATTGAAACCTGTTGTGTACCGCAAAATGGCAGATGAAGGACAAAAAGTGATAACAGCTGGGAGCAGCTCCTGCTTGAAATCACGGAGAGCTGTTATCAGTCGCTGTCAACAAGACTGAGCTAGATGGACCAGCGGTCTGATATGTTAATGTTTCAACAGGCAGATATGAACCTGTGGCATTCTCTCAAACACCTGGCAGGAGGGCAACAAGCAGTGCACTATCTAAGAAACTTTAGGACTATTCCTTGGGAACTGAAGCCAGCACATTGAAGCCTTGGGGAAGAGGGGAACAGAACTGATGCAGGAGACTTGCTCAAGTCACCTTAGAGAAAAGCTTCTGATCCTGCAACTGTAGTATTCTCATTGCACAAAAGTAAGCAACAGTGAGTGATATTGCAGTGGTAGGGAAGCCTGCTTGTTTCTTTTTAAATACAAAAGGGGAGATATGTGCCATGAGGCTAGAAAGGAGGAGCACATAGACTTGTGGGAGACAACTATGTGCTCCCTTGCACCACTTTTTCTTTTCAAGGATTACACAAATGCCTGTATAGCATTGTGGTAGGAATGGAGAAGGCATGGAAATCATAGCTGACAGAACCAAGAAAAAGAACCACAACCACAAATACAAATACACCTTAGAGTTGGGGGTCCTAAACTATGGTCCATAAACTTCACCCAGGTGGTCTGTGGATTTGCAGTTGAAGATGACATATTCATCACATTAAATATAAGTATTGATATTTGAATTGTACTTTTATTGCTTCTTTTGTTTCACATTTTGCATTTTATTATATTACAATCTGAATCCTATGGCATTCAAACTGCAATACAATGAAGTACAACATATGAGAAAAAAGAGCAATTAAAATACAATTAAGAATCATATAGCATCTAGCACAGCACATTTCAATTGCTACAACAGGCAGAAAAAATAATTAAGTGATCCACCAAGATCCTGGGCAATCTTCAAGGGGTCCATGGGGTGGAGTGTGGACAGTTTGAAAACCACTGCCTTTGAGTGCATAAGCTCACATCAAAAGATGTGGCTGAGTATTACAGATGATATTTTCCCTTACTATCCTTGCCTGGGGCCTGCAGAGCAACATATATTGCTTTCCAATATATGTTGCTAGCCTCTGCCTAAAATATACACAAAAGAAGAAAAGAACTGAGCATGCCTTTAGTAAACTGAGGAAACTTAAATATTTCCAGGAAACAAATGTTCAAGCTAGAAATAAGCAATACTTTGACCAAAAAAACAATGGAATAACAGGGTTGGGAACTGAATTTCAGCTGTCCTGCATTCCTCAGATGTCCAAAGTTCTTTGTAGTTTCACCTCTTTCTGCCGTAACAGTAAAAGGATGAAAGTCATGGAATCCACTCCTAATAATGATTTATATACTCAGAGGAATGGTTGTTTGAAATTTAAAGCTTTGTTCTGATTTATCCCAAACTAATTATAAAAAACAGACCTCAGCACTAGTGGGCCTTGCCAGGATGTAAGAGCACCAAACGCCAATGCCAAGCCTGGATGTGGTGACCTTAATATAATATTACTATTATCTGTCATTTTACATATGATGAGACGTCTTTTGAATATATTTAATGAGACCTGAGCTTAACCATATCATCAAGCCTTTTTTACTTAAATCCTTAGGAAAAGACCGTGCTATATTGTTCCATAAAACTGTCTGTACCTGTTGCCATGGGTTCTTTCAGGAGGAAGAGCAGGACAGAAATGTTATGAATAAATAATAACAGAATACCATGTGACTGTTGAAATAAATCACTTTACCATTTTAAAAAGGTGAGAATTGGACCATGCAATACAAGACAAACAAGTCCTTATATCTCACCAAAAACAGGGATATTAAGAAGCCGGTGGAATCCTGTGAAGAGGGTTAAAATATTTATTCCCATATTACTGCTAAGGAGTACATGTCAGCAAATCCTAAAGAACTGTGTTTACTTTTCTTTCACTACAACTTGGAGTGGACTCTTGACCAAGGTACACACTACCTTGTGCAGGGGAGGAAAACCTGTTGACCTTTATTTCTATGCCTTATAGCAGATGGGATACATTTGCCTTTTTCACACTGAAATTGCCCTAAGCAACTGGGATCTCCACACAGTTCTCGGTTTCCATAGTTACCTGCATCTCTGCTAATGTCAACAAGATGAAAGATTATCTGTTATGGGAGTTTTACTTGTTCAATTTTACAACTCTTATCAGTTCAGATTGCATACTGTATTAACTCTTTCCCAGATCATGCTCAAGAATTAGAGGCATTCAAAGTTTCTCCAATATATGGAAATCAGGATTGAAAATGTGATTAAATAATTCAGAATGGGAAGTCAAAGCTACTGGAGACTGTAATTCACCTTATTCTGAACACTAAGCAAAACAAGGAACATTCGTCCTTTGGTCCAGGGCTACATGCCAGTGGTGGGTGTGGCTACTCCACCCTCTCGCATGCACACACACATCTTCCTAAGGTAAGCTAAATGAATTAGCTGACAGGGAGAGGCAGGTGTCTTACTGCCCCCCTCATCAAATGATCAATCTGATAGTGAGGGGGCAATTTGCATCAGGGCTGGGTGGAGAGGTTCAAACCTCTCTGCCCTCTGTCGTACCATGTCTCCTTTAAATTTTCTTTTCTGTATTGCTGTCACCAATGTTGTTGAAGTCTTGGGGGATTGCATCAGGCTACTGGGCTACAGGTAAGCCATCTCTATTCTAGAGCTTCCTAAAGAATCCATTTCTACACTAAAAACACTATAGCTTTCCAGATTGTATTAGCCATATTAAAAACAAGTTTTTAAAAAACAATGGATTCAATGACGTGGTACGAGTGTTTATGGAGTCGAGTTGCGGTGGTGAGTTATGCTGCTCTCAACTTACCAATTTTGAGGGCAGCTGTCAACCATCCATGAGAACAAATAAAAAGAATAAAATACATTTCTTTGATACTATGTAAATATTGTTTGCTAACCTTTCAACAGGATCCCTAAGCATAACAATCAGCTTTGCATTTGGCTGGAAGGCATGGATGAAGTCCTGTATTAAGAATGGAGGCTCCCCTTCTGTACTGTTGTCATAGAAGAAAATCCAAGCATTGTTGTCCCACATTGTCGAAGCACTCGCCTCTCCTAGGAATGACAAAAAGCTGCAGATCAGTGTCACTCTAGATGACTGGCTCATTCTGAGCACTGTTGTAAATGCAGAGCAGGACCAGAACATTAAATGAAATATGCTAGGTCACTTCCTATTCTTGGCTATGGCAGCCAAAAATACACTTCTTAATAGTTGAGGGAGTTGGGTATGTCTTGGGCAGAGACTGAAAGGAAATACAATTGAGATTCCTGCATTGTAGGGGGTTGGATTGCATGATCCTCGGGATCCCTTCCAACTCTACAATTCTATGATCTTCAAATATCTGAAGGGCTACCACATGGAAGAGGGGGCAAGCTTATTTTCTGCTGTTCCTGAGGATAGGGCCCAAGCCAATGGATTCAAATTACAAGAAAGGTGATTCTGACTAATCATTAGGAAGAACTTTCTGACAGTAAGAGCTATTCAATAGTGGGACAGACAACTTGAAAGGTAATGAACGCTCTTTCAAAGGAGGTTTTTAAACAAAGGTTGGATGGCCTTCTGTCAGAGATTCTTTAGCTATTATTTCTGCATTTCAGGGGGTTAGATTAGATAACCCCTTGACTTCCCATCCAACTCAGAAATTCCATGATTCTATTGTTTCATCATCTCTCTCCCCCACCCCATAGCACCACAACACGAATTAATGTTTGTGAGGAGGAATCCATATTTAACCCATGATGAATTAAATGCTGCTGCATTTATATATCAAATGAGAACAGCACAGTCCAAAATATACCAATTTTTCATAGACGCTAAAAGCATACAACATATGATGAAACTGCCTACTTTCATTAAAAATGGCTCTTTAATGTCCTTAGCCAGAAGATTAATGGGAAAAAATCATGTTGTGCTTTCATAAACCATTCTGGTAAATTTATCATAATAAGGATAAAAAATAAATAAACCCTGTCTAAAATGCTTGGAGCTGCAAGGGTAATGTCTTGTGTAGGGCTTCTGAAACCTCCATGGCTTCATCTGGCAATATAATTACAACCCAATAAAGATTTGATTCAGAGATGTTTTTGATTGTAAAATTACTTTCCCTGGTAAAGTTAGAGGGATGTTTATAGTTTTAATTATATCTCTCCATTTTAATCATTTGACGTTTAATAATGTGGCTCCCTAAGAAAATCTCAGATTTTCATATTTCCTATAGATGGATTCTTGACTAAATTGTATTTTTAACAAGGTAATAAAAAAAATTCATTATAATGAGCATATTAATTCAGATGATTTCTTGTAAACTTTATTAAGAAGAGGCCATGTAAACATTTTCCTTAACAAAAAGTTCAGCTCCTTGCAAAGGCAATTGCTCAAAAAAAGTACATTAGCCATTTGAATTAGCATTCTTCCCCTTAGAAGAGACGATAAAATAAAAACTGTAGCTTGTATGTGTCCTTGATAATAAAAGTCCAGAAAGAGCACTTGAGGCACAATATTTGTTTATAGAAAGAGCAGTGAACCTGCTCATATCACAACAAAATAATGAGGCCTAATAGCTTCTTGATTTAAAAAGTCAGGATATGTCAATAATGTCATAATAACTTTCGTAGGTCACAACACCTTAGACTTTCCCCAGTCTCAGTAGACAGTAGAATAAATTGGTCCCTTGAAGGAAATCCAACCTATCCTATCTCTTATGCCTAGCAAATGTTTAGTGTCGCTATATTTGGCTCCTTTATATAACTAAACAGCAGCACAGCAGGCAGAAATTACAGGTGGAGGTTCCTATTAACACTACATCTCCATCCATGAAAAGTTTTATTTCCTAAAGTTTCCCAGGGCATTTGTGGAGTCTGAGCAGACTTTGTTTCCGGCCTGCTGATGCCACACTTGCAACTATCCTAGGCTGTCTTCCAAAAAAACAAAGTGCTGTTGCTGAATTAGGATGACCAGAAGCAAAAGAGGAAACCTGTGCCTTTAGCATTGTGTAGAAACAGATATTTCAGCAAGTATAGCTTCTCATGCAAACTACACCACCTGAAATTCCCTCTCCTACCCAACCATTAAAGGTGCAAAGACGCTGTCCTCTTTGACATCTGGTCAACCCTGCGCTGAATGCATCCTAAGGGAAACAATAGAGCTAAAGTCCCATATACGTTATCTCATATATTCTTCCATACCCATCAAGTTAATCAGATTACTTATTTGCTTCATATGATGTCATTTACTGTGGTTAAATCAGTGGGACACAGCTAGATTTCACTAGCAAGTGAAGGTATTTTTTATTCACAAAATTTTTGCCCGATTCTGCATGTTTGTATTTCTTTGTAGTTATTTTTTATTTTAGATGGACAGCATGTTGCATTGAACACTATATTGTTGCCAAGGTGCTATAAAGTGTTATAAAAAACTAAATAATATTAATGCATTTTTAAACAGCCTCTATTTACATTGAAAACAAGGTGCAAAATTAAAGATTTATAATGCTCTTATTTTCAGACAGATGTTTGCTCAACTTTTCATTACTAGTTGAAGGCACACTTTCATGATGCTGTAAAGCTTGCATTACCCTTCTGCCAACAGAAGTTGTTCTAATAAAATGCCTTATCCACATTTTTGCTATCGTATACTTAGCTTACATTGCTAAGATACAGAGGAGATCAGTGAACTCTTATCTTAGTACAGATAACCACCGATGTTATTAAAGCAAGTCTCATACCAGCAACATAAACCCCTATAAGCAGTAGTTTCTGTACCAATAATTATCTTGCTGGAGTCTTTTGCAGTGTCCCCCTGCAACACACTCTGAATCTGATGAGCAGCCAAGTCAAACAAGTCCAGGTAATCTTCCACTGGGTAGCGATCATGAAATCCATCCCTCAGACGAATTATCCCTGAAATGCAAAAATAAATAAATAAATAAAGTAAGCCTGGAATCTACAGTGGTATAGTTGAGATGTTTACTGCTCTGCCTTTTGGACTATTTGGTGGAAGACCCTGTTCAAATAGCATAATCATAAATAGGATATGATAGTTATTCAATTATACTGATGGTTCAACAAGGAAGTAACATTAAGAACTATTTTCTTGCATGGTAGCTGCAGCAGGAATACTGCTTGCATAGAAATAGAGCTCTCAAATAACACCTGGTATTGAATTAGTGGACACATAACATTTGGGAATTTCTTTTAATGAAGTCAAAAGAACCAGGACAGAGACAAAATGGCAATATAGCAAACTGGATCTGATGTGGTTAAGTACCATAAAAAAAACTTATTTTCTCCAAATTATCAACTACTGCTGTGAAATGTTCTGAAATTTAAAGAACTGATTTATTCTCAGTATATCAATCTCATTTTGTTTTTCAACTTACTTTACTTTACTTTATAAACACTGTATTCTATTATTTTTTTCAAGTTCTTTTTTATTGTAAAATTAACAGTAATTGTCAGAGCTGGCTCCAGGTCCCAGCTCACAGAGGACCAACGCTAGCCGGCAGTAATGTACAAAAGTCTTTATTGAAGTACAGTTTCCATTTTCAAGCCGGAGCGCCCCAGCTCTACGTCTAGGGGTTAGATCGGCGAAGCTCCATCTGAGTCTCCGCCCCCTGTACACCAGTTTAAGATTCTAGCCTTACTCCACCTCTTACGTCTCTCCTTTCTCCTCTGGGTCCTGCTACCCCCCGGGGTCCCTTCCTTCCTGGATTCTTCTGACGCTGACCCCCCTGACTCCTCCCCCTCTTTCGGCGGGCTTTGGGACCTGGCTCCCTATCCGGGCTGCCAACTGCGCCGCCCTCCTGTACATTTGAACTGGGCGCGCGCGCCAGCCTTCAATCTTCCTCTCGACCGTTTCCTCGCTCCCCGATGGAGGCGTGGCCAATCCTGACTCATGTCCTCCCACTGGCAGTGCGCCGCCTGATCCCGATGCCTGGGACTCCTCCCCCCTACTGCACTCTGGTGTGGACGCTGGTCCTGATTTCCAACTGCTGCTCTCTGAGTCCCCTCTGGCCCCTTCTTCCTGGGGTGTCCCCCTCGGCACCCACCTTGCTCTGACCAAGGGAGCCCCTTTCTGTGAATCTTCCGATTCGCTGGAAAGACTCAGAGACCTCGGACCGCTGTCATCGCTAACATTTCCTTCGGACTCCTCCCCCTCGCTCTCTATTTCCTCCCTTTCCTGTGCCTCTGCTCCTGAACCCCTGACATCCATCCCCCTCGAAGCCCCCCTTCCCCCTCCCCTCCTTCAGGTGTGGGTACTGGGTGCTCCGTCGTTGTGGGGGTGAGTGCCGGATACAGTTCGTCCCCGTGGCGTGCATCCAGCCGGATAAGTCCGGCTCGTCCTCCGTGCTCTCGCCGACCTCAATTTCCTCTGCTTCCATCTCTTTGCCGCCGTGCTCGAACCCAAGGTCCTCCCCCAACACGTCCATGTCCGTCTCTCCCCGGTCTCCTCCGGGGACGTTGCCTGCCAAGGACCCCCCAACCACTTCCTGCGCCACTGCTCCTCTGGTTGAGTGTCCCACCAATAGGAACGGTCTGAGGCAGACCCCGAGGGTGATCCCTCCGGGGAACGTGCTTCTAGTGCCGGTTCCTCGTCCGAGGTGAACCCCTGGAATGTGCTAGCTGAAAATGTGGGTGTAAAAAGCCAGTCGTCGAAATACTCGGCTGGCATGGGCCTGTGTGGGAAAAGTGCATGGAACTCGTCCTTGAGCCAAGATTCCTCCAGAGCATAATCTGGCACCCAACTGTTGGCGCTAGCCGGGGTACCTTCCTTGGCGAGGAGGTATTCCACTCCCTCCTCGCCCCATCTCGAGTCTAAAATCTCTGTGACTTCGTTGACGGGTTCCCGCCTTGGCGACCCCCCCCTTGTGGGCGTTTCCCTGAACGGGTCTGGTGCCGTTCCTGGCTCCTGAAATCTATGAGGTGCTTTGTAGGGCGTGAGCACTGATCTATGGAAAACTGGGTGCATTCTGGATCCCTCCGGCAGTGTCAACCGGAAGGCCACTGGATTGACCTGTGCCTCGACTTGGTAGGGTCCTAGCTGCTTATGCCCTAGCTTCTTCTTCGCTAACGATCTGGCCGGCACTGCCTGGGCTGCTAACCAAACCCAGTCTCCCACCTGTATGTCTTCCCCAACCCTCCTGTGCTTGTCAGCCTGCAGTTTGTATGCGTGCTTTGCTAGTTCTAACTGCCTCCGAAGCTGTTCGTGAACCTCCTGCAACTCTGATGCTAAGGCTTCCGCTGCCTGTGGCTCCCCCTCCCCCGCTCTCGCTAATCCCGGGAAGGTTCTGGGATGCCTCCCGTTGTTGGCGAAGAACGGTGTCACCCCGTGGACACGTGCTTCGTGTTGTTGTAGGCGAACTCAGCGAGCGGCAGGTAGTCCACCCATGTTGCCGGCTGCTGATTTGCGTAGCATCGCAGGTACTGCTGCATGATGGCGTTGACTCGCTCCGCTTGTCCGTTCGTCTGCGGGTGTCTCGCCGACGCTAGGTTGATCTTGACGTTCAGGAAACCCATCAGCTTCTGCCAGAAGTTCGAGATAAACTGTCGCCCCGGTCGGACAGGATAGACCGTGGCAGACCGTGAACTCTGAACACGTGGTCTATGAACAGTTTGGCGGTCTGTTCCGCCGTGGCCACCTTCGCGCACGGAATGAAGTGGGCCATTTTGGTGAACATGTCCACCACCACTAGCACCGCCGTCTTGCCCCTCGAGCTGGGTAGATCCGTGACAAAGTCCAGGGCCACCCTCTCCCACGGTTCGAGCGGTGTCTGCAGGGGTTCGAGCAGTCCCGCCGGCGGTTTGTGCACTGACTTGGCCCTTTGGCAGGTGTCGCACCTCGAGACGTAATCCGCGACTTCCCCCCCGCATCTTGGGCCACCAAAAATCTCTGGCTACTAATTCTACCGTCTTCTCTTTGCCAAAGTGCCCGGCGGTGGGTGCGTCGTGCAACTGCTGCAGTACTTTCGCGCGGAGGTCGTCTCCCGGTACGTAGAGGGCCCCTCTGCGGATGAGCAATCCGTCGCGTATCTGGAACTCGTCGTCCTCCGCCGTGCCCCTTTGCACCTCTGCCATCTTTGCTTGCGCGAAGGGGTCCTCCTGCAGTGCTCGACGTACAGCATCCAGGTCCACGGTTGCTGAAGCGCACGCCCACGCTTTCGGTGCGAAAATGTGCTTGGCCGCTGCTGGTGCCGCCTCCTCGAGGTATTGCGGCTTTCTGGACAGTGCATCCGCCATGATGTTGTTGTCGCCTGGGATGTACTCTATCCTGAAGTCGAAATCCGCAAAGAACTCCGCCCATCGTATGTGCCTCTGGTTCAGGAACCTTGCCGTGCGCCAGTACTCCAGGTTTTTATGGTCCGTGCGGACCTGCACTGTGTGTTTGGCTCCAATGAGGAAGTGCCGCCACGCCTTGAATGCTGCATGAATGGCCAGCAACTCCCTGTCCCAGATGGTGTAGTTCTGCTCTGACTTGCTGAGCTTCCTGGAGTAGAAGGCACACGGTCTCCAGTCCCCATGCGGGTCTTGCTGCAACAGTACTGCTCCCACGGCTCTGTCTGAGGCGTCCGTTTCAACCCTCATCGGTCTGCTGGGATTCACATGCAGTAGCTGCTCTTCGGACGAGAAGAGACGCTTGAGTTTCTGAAAGGACTGCTCCGCTTGCTCCGTCCAGATGAACTTCTTCTTCTTGGAGCTGAGCGTGTCGGTAATGGCCGCCGTCTGCATCGCGAACCCCTTGATGAACTTGCGGTAAAAGTTGGCGAAACCGACAAACCGCTGGACCTCCTTCCGATTGCGCGGGCTCTTCCAGTCCAACACTGAGCGAACCTTGGCGCTGTCCATGGCGAGCCCCTTGTCCGACAACTTGTAGCCCAGGAAATCTACCTCCTTCATGTCGAACTGGCACTTCTCCAGCTTGGCGTACAGCCTGTGCTCCTGCAGTCTCTGCAGAACTTCCTTGACGTCTCCCTCGTGGGTCTCCTCTGATTCTGAAAATATCAGGATGTCGTCCAGGAAGCAGACGCATTTCTTGTAGAGGAGACCCGCCAATACGTGATGCATGAAGGCTTGAAAACAGTGGGAGCCATTTTGTAATCCAAAGGGCATAACTCTGTATTCATAGGTGCCCAGGGGCGTGAACATGGCAGTCTTCCATTCGTCGCCCTCCCGTATGCGAATCAGGTTGTACGCCCCTCGCAGATCCAACTTTGTGAAAACGCGTCCTTTCCTCACCGTTGCGAGCAGGTCATCTATCTTGGGCATGGGAAAGGCTGTGGGCTTGGTTTTCGAGTTCAAAATTCTATAGTCCACCACAAGCCTTTTTGGGGCGTGTCCTTCTTCTTCACAAAGAATACAGGACTGCCCCCCACTGCCTTCGACTCCCGGATGAAACCGCGCTTCAAGTTGAGGTCTATGAACTCCCTGAGTTCCTGCAGCTCGTCTTCAGACATGGAATACAGTTTCCCGGTTGGCAGCGTCGCCCCTGGCAGGAGGTCAATCTTGCAGTCATAAGACCTGTGGGGAGGTAGCTTGTCCGCTTCCTTCTCGCAGAAAACCTCCAAAAACGCTGCGTACTTGAGTGGCACTGCTTGCAGCGTGCCTAATTGTAGCTGCGGATCATCCTCTTCCCCTTCCGGGCTAGGCAGAATGCAATGTTCCGCACAGTATGAGGAGCCGAAGGTCAGTTGTCGCTGGTACCACGCCAATGCTGGGCTGTGCCTGTGCAGCCAACTCATGCCTAATACTATAGGCGTGTCCGACAGTTGGGTGACATTGAAGCTGATGACTTCTCGGTGATTCCCAATTTGCATCACCATCGGAGGCGTTTGCTGCACCACCTGCCCCCCCAGCAATTCCCTGCCATCCACCGTGACAACCTTCAGAGGCAGCGTGGCTGGCAGGAGTGCTATGTTGTGCTCTTGAAGGAAATCCAGTCCTATGAAGTCTGCGTTACTACCAGAGTCAATGGTAATCGGCACTTCCATAGTGAGTCCATTGGGTAGTTGGAGCGATGCTGTGAGCTGCACCACTGGTTTGGGCGGGAGGGGGTCTGTGGGCTGCAAAATCTCTGGGGACGGCTTCAGTGACTTGTCTGGTTGGGCCCCAGTGCCTCTTCCTCCAACCAGACTCTGTCGTTTCCCTGCTGTGGTTCTCTCTGCTGAGTTGCTTCTGTTACTGTTGCTGAGGCTGCAGTGTGCTTGTGGAGCCTCTGGGGACACTCTTTCGCCATGTGCTGAGCACTGTCGCAGATGTAGCACTTCCTGTTCCCTCTAGGAGGCTTCGCTTTGACTGCTCCCGGTGGTAAGGCTCTGGTTGCTGACTGAGCCCTGGCGCCTCCAATCTCCATCGGTTGCTCGCCCCCGCCTTGCGGAGGGGGGGATTGCACACGCGCTGTATCCTTGGGAAAGAGGGGGGTGCTCTCACTGGCGTACGTCCCCAACGTCCTTCTTCTCTGTTCCATGGACGTTCTTCCAGACGCACCCCAATTTGCAGCGCCCTCCGGACAACCTCCTGAGTGCTCTTTGGTCTCTCCCCCCTTGCAATCTCATCTTTCACATTTGCATTCAAGCCTTCCCAAAAAAAGGTCTCTGGCTGGGGCAGAATCCTTCTCCCATCCCAGCGCATGGACTAATGCAAAAAGCGGGAATGGTACTGCCTTACACTGGCTCTGCCTTGTTTGAGCCCATGTATGTCTTTTCTGGCGATATCAATGTCTATATTTGATAAAAACACGAATCCATCGCTTTAATGAATGCATCCGCATTTTGGAGCGCCGGATCCTTATCTCTCCACAGATTGCGCAGCCACGCTTTAGCTTCCCCATGCAAATGGGACAAGATAAACCCCACCTTCTCTTGCTCATCTCTAAAGTCTTTATCCAGCAGTTCCAGCGCAAACAGCACGTCTGCTCGGAAGTTAGGGTACTGCTGCAAATTCCCATCGAAATGAGATACCAGGCTGCCTCCTCTTTTCCCCAGCCCAATCCCCTCTGATTTGGGTCCCGGTTGCCCCTGCTTAGCAAGCACTTCCAACCTGGCTTGGAGATCCCTGCAGGCGGCAGCCGCTTCCTCTTCCCTTTTCCTGGATGCGAGTACCTCCGCGTTGAGTTGTGTCACTGCATTTTGCAGGGCTGCTAGTTGCTGTTCTGTAGTCATCTTGCCTGACTTTTGTGAGCTCGCGAAGCACCAATCTCCCCTCGCTGCGTCCACTCACGTTACGAGGTTTTTGGTGCAAAATTTTTGAGATGGAGCTTACTGTCAGAGCTGGCTCCAGGTCCCAGCTCACAGAGGACCAACGCTAGCCGGCAGTAATGTACAAAAGTCTTTATTGAAGTACAGTTTCCATTTTCAAGCCGGAGCGCCCCAGCTCTACGTCTAGGGGTTAGATCGGCGAAGCTCCATCTGAGTCTCCGCCCCCTGTACACCAGTTTAAGATTCTAGCCTTACTCCACCTCTTACGTCTCTCCTTTCTCCTCTGGGTCCTGCTACCCCCCGGGGTCCCTTCCTTCCTGGATTCTTCTGACGCTGACCCCCCCTGACTCCTCCCCCTCTTTTCGGCGGGCTTTGGGACCTGGCTCCCTATCCGGGCTGCCAACTGCGCCGCCCTCCTGTACATTTGAACTTGGCGCGCGCGCCCAGCCTTCAATCTTCCTCTCGACCGTTTCCTCGCTCCCCGATGGAGGCGTGGCCAATCCTGACTCATGTCCTCCCACTGGCAGTGCGCCGCCTGATCCCGATGCCTGGGACTCCTCCCCCCTACTGCACTCTGGTGTGGACGCTGGTCCTGATTTCCAACTGCTGCTCTCTGAGTCCCCTCTGGCCCCTTCTTCCTGGGGTGTCCCCCTTGCTCTGACCAAGGGGCCCCTTTCTGTGAATCTTCCGATTCGCTGGAAAGACTCAGAGACCTCGGACCGCTGTCATCGCTAACATTTCCTTCGGACTCCTCCCCCTCGCTCTCTATTTCCTCCCTTTCCTGTGCCTCTGCTCCTGAACCCCTGACAGTAATAAAAAAAAATGTCCAAAACCCTAAATAAATAAGTATCTGATAAAAAGAGTCAAAATGGTTGCATGATTAATTTCTACATAATCTATTTCATGTAGCAAGTTCTTTGTAGTCTACATGTACATGAACATGAATAAATTGTTTCTACTTTTTCTTTAAGCCACCTTGAGTTCCTGTCAGGGAAAAAGGCAGCACTATAAATAAATATATAATTACAATTATACATATGTGTGTATAAATACGGACATTGAAAATTGTGTATTTATTTCATGAGTGTAAATATTATTTACATCCTGGCCACATAGTAAGAGAAGCCACCTTGGTGCTTGCTAGGGAAGCTCTTAGTGACAAATCTAAATGGCGTAACCTTATGAAGAAGACCACAGGATGGGGACTTCCAGGTTAGCGCCTCCGGCAATGGCGGATTTCCTCTGATCGGGAGGAATCCGCTTCGTGAGAATTAGGGTCTGGACCGCCACGGCGAGGCGGAGACCCATCAAAAACCACAGGCGGGAGAAGCCTGTGGACGTGGGATTTGGCTGGCACCTTCTGCGCCTCCCCTACTCGCGGGGAAACCTGGTTTCGGGGATCCGGAGCGACGTGGGGTGAATGGCGCGGTGCTTCGAATCGACTGCTCTTTTCACGGAGTGAAGCCGCATTGCTGTTGCCGGAGAGCGCTGACTTTTTCCTGTGAACAATTGGATTTTAAACAACTGCCCGTGAGTAGAACGGAAAATCGGACTATGAAACTTCTTAATTTGGCACTGAAGCGGGAAGGTCTAAACAGGAAGTCCGCCTTCTGCTTTTGTAAATAGATTGAAGCAAAGACATTGCAAGCTAGAGTCTGGAAAGTCGTTTGTAAAGGACTAAATTTCCATCAGTTAAAATTACTAAACCCCCCTTGGGAGCAGTAGAAGAGGGGGGAAATCTTAGACTGTTAAAACCTGCAGAAGAGAGAGTAAAGAAAGATAAATTTCCACCGTCTTGAACCTGGGAGCGGGGTGTCAGAGACAGACGTTTTGTCAGTTCACTGACTGTGGATAAAACGTTCTTTTTTTGACAGATAGTTAAAAAAAGAGAAACATTTTGATTCCAATGTTCCCTTTTGCACTTAAAAGGAACAAAATATCTGAAAAAAGAAAGAAATTTTGTTGCGGGATCTGCTTTTTTTAAAAAAAAAAGACGGATACAAACAGAAACTGTTTCCTCTAGAGGGAGCTTGTGAAACTGTTGCTGGAGTCGATCTGGGGATTTCCACAGTTCTAGAGATTAAGATCGTGAGACCAGACATTGACCTTGAACAAGAATGTGCCCAGAAGAAGCTTTAGTGCTTGCTTTTTGCAAGACAAGTGCTTTACTGGAACAGTTACATGAGAAGATGGATTTGATGACTGTTGCAGTTGGCAAATTTGGACAAACAGTGAATACTCATATAAAAACCACTCAGGAATTGGTCCAGGAATGTGCCTTGGCAGGGCAAGTTGTGAGGAAGATGGAGGAGGAGGTTGCTGCTGAACCTCAAGTGGTGGAAGTGGAGAGAGCTGCGGCCTTGCAGGAACATAGGTTGTTGTTTCTGACGACTGAACCTGGAGAAAGTCAGATTTGGAGAGATGGAGTACTGTTTGGTTTGGAGATGGGAAGTTGGATAGACCCCCCTATGCAGGGATGTTTTGACTTCTCGGATTTGGTTTTTGTGTTTTTATGTTGTAAGCCACCCTGTGGTCTTCAGATGAAGGGTGGTATATAACTTTAATGAGGAAGAAGAAGCAGAAGAAGGCTGGTTTGTGGGTATCCTTCCATGCTGATACATGTTAGCATGCCGGTGTTCCACTCAGAGTGGCATACATAGCCTTCTCAGCCAGATGGAAAAGCCCAGAGTTTCTCAGCTTTGGAGATGTACCTGCCTGGTCCTTTCAAATAATTCTAAAACAGTCGCCGTTTGCATTTGGCCTCAGCACATGGAATTTTATTTGAAATAAATTCAGAAGTTGTTTTATTGGGCCAAGTATAGAACTCGTATAAGAGACAAACCACAAAGAATATACTTGAAAGAACACTGCATACCAATTAAAATCCCTCTGAAATTAGTTCAGCTCAATTTTATTGAGTTTGTTGCTTCAACTGCCTTAGTAGAGGAAACCAGTTGTACCAATTTAGTCCATTTCAACTAGATTGACTTCACTCAAACTTGAAGGCATTATCAACTATAATCTGAAAAGCAGTGGTTTCCTATTCAAACCAATTTGCAGACAGAAGAAGCTCTGTTGTGCATTCGTTCTAAGGTTTTATCTGAAGCGGGGGGGGGCGTGCACAACTGAACCTATCCTCTGTGTGGTATAAACCTCAGCCTACTAGGCCATCTATATCACTAATCATAAGCCAAAACACTGGTGTTAAAATCCATAGAGGCTAAACTGTTCCCTTGTGTCTTGAGACATACTGAGCAGAACCAGACTGAAGTGAGTACAACCAGGCTTGGCAGGGAGGGAGCTCAGTTTTCAGTAATAAAAAAATAATGAAAACATACTCTCTACTGCTTTGATATTTCAAGATTTGAATCCTTGCAACTCTTGAAAGCAAATAAAAATAAATCTGTTTCCTGAACTAAAAATCCTAGGAAACCCGTCAGCAGAATGGTAGCAGCGTCAGGGTCAACATCCACGGGCAGAAGCCCAAGGATTCCAGGTGCTGACGCTGGTCCTGCTTTCAGATAATCATTGTAATTGCTTCCAACTCTCACTCCTGCCAAACTGGCACTCAAGCAAGGTAGATATTAGAAACTGTTGTCACTATGTCCTTGAATGAGCTCATCATCAGATGGGAACTAGCACTAAGTCTCTTCACCTTTCAAACCAGGCCAATACAGACTGTGGAGTCAAGCTCTGTTATACAACACTATGCAGCTGAAGCATCTGGGCAGGCTAATCACACATGCCTGTATTCTGAGATAGCTCAGACGGTAGAACACGAGACTCTTAATCTCAAGGTTGTGGGTTCGAGCCCCATGTTGGGCAAAATATTCCTGCATTTCAGGCTGCTGAACTAGATGTCCCTTGCAGACCCTTACAGCTGTATTATTCTATGCAACTGGCACCTTTCCTCCAAGGGAAAACCCATGCAATCTGCCTTATCCTTGTGGCTGCATCATCCATATACCAGCCACAGGCCCAGTACCAGAGCTCCATGGGCAGCTGCCCTTTGCTTTGGGCAAATGAAAACTCTCCAGCACTACAGCCTTAGCAGCTGAAGCACCCAGCGTATTAACTCCACAAAATAAACTACTACAAAGGGACCTCACATACTAAGAGGGGGCTTAAAACAGTGGAGACTAGCAGAACTTGCTCACTAAACTGCCCCCCCCTTTTATGATGCTGCTGCATATACCTGTCACTTTCAAGGTGAGAGTCCCTGGGGGCCAAGAGCCCCACTAAACCTGGTATTGATCAAGCCACATGGAACTGTCAAAAGGAAAAGCAGCTCTCATGTTACCGCAAGGTACTGCCTGAAATGGATTTTTAGCATCAACTCTTTTACCTAAGCCAGAGCAGGTATTTTGAAAGAACTACACAAAAAGGCAGATTTGTATAGACATCTGCTTATGACCAAACAACAAACAGTGCTACCCATCCTAGGTTTTTCTAGTTGATGACAGCTTATTATAAATTTGTGCAATGTTAAGACTTGTTCTGCACACAGCTGACAAGCAAACTGGGCATTATATAGATCAATTAATTAATATTAGGGCAGGCTATTGTTTATACCAATCCAGCTGATAGGCTTCTCTATATTAGGCTTCTGATTTGGGGGCTTGTTACGTGCACTTCCAGTGTGTATCCAAGGCAATTTGCCACAGATACAGACATTAAGGCTAGACCTATTGGTTTCCAGCATTAGGTCTACTGCTAACTAGGGATGGAGAAACTTAAAAATGAAGAGATGCTGCTTCCAAAGGAAGATTTAAGAATTCATTTCTGCAAAAACAACTCTGTGTCAGATAGTGTGTTTACTCACCAAACCTTTTCCTTGTCCACCAGTGAGGCTCCTTAATTGCTGAGAATCTCACATCAGGATGTAACCTGAGCCTATCATAAAGGTCTGTTGTTCCGCACTTCGGCTGGCCTATGATGTAGAAATGGGGAAGGCAGCGTAGCCGGTAGTGCTTCTCCTTGTAATGATACAAATGGCTCCAAAACACCTTTCTAAGGTAATCAAATATTGTCCGAAAACGTTTGGAATACAACGCATATGAGTTTGTAGCATAAGGATCCCTAGTAGTGTTTCCTTTGTATTCTTCATACCAACAAGGATTCTTGCTGTTTGGAAGAAACTTGTTAGGAATTACGGAGAACATCTGCAAAACAGAGAATAAAAGCTCTCATTAAGGCAGGAAACAAAGAACATGGTAGCACTTCCGGTTATGATAATCCTATTGTTTACACATTCTAGACATTTTAATGTTCCGATAGCCTATGCTGTTGCACAGATATAAGACCAGGAGGATATGTAAATCTGGCAGAGAAGAGGAATATATTTGTAAAGCCCAGCTCTTAAACATAAAAAGAAGTAATATGGTTATCTAAACCTAAATATTGCATCTATGCAGACTTCCATAGATAGAATTGTATTTTAAGAAATTAATTCCTAGAGCAGATGGAATTCATCTATGTATAACAAAATTATAATGCATCAACAGAAGGAATAATTTGAGAAAAGCAGCACACACTACATAACACAGCAATTCTCTACAAAAGCTTCTGCATAGCAACCACTCTATTAAATATGAGGGGGGGGGGTTGGGAACCTTTTTTAGCTCAAGGGACTTCTGGGACCCACATGCCAGTGTTGGGTGGTACCAGAAGCAAAAGTAGATGGAGCAACAAATGTGAATTTTACCATTGTACAGTAGGCTAGTTTCTATACACATTCACACACACTCTCATCCATCCAGACAAGCAAACAGAATGATCAAAGTTCAAGGATGCATTTCCTGCAGGGAAAGGGATTCAAGAAGGGTGCAAACCTGGACTGGTGGGGTGTGTGGCTAGAAAAGGGATGTAGGAGGGACAGGCAGAGTGACCTGAATGCTGCATTCAGCCCTCAAATCCTGAGATCATACACCCCTAGACTACAATCAGAAGGGCCAACAGGATTTTCTGGGTCCAGTATACTGTATATGGATTGGCCGCATTGACCTACTCACAAAAGAGACCACAGATTTGTATATGTTTTGCGTGATAAAATGTCTGACAGCTAGAATGTGAATATCTTTCCCCATACTTGCACTTAATCTGTTGAATTTTTGCCTTCCACACAGCTTTCTCCAATGCTAGCCCATAAGCGAAGCCTAGGCTGAAATCATGTACTACTTTTATCTGGGAGTAATCCCCATTAAATATGAAGAGACTTATTTCTGTGTAGACACTGTACAGTACTTCATTGTACCTGTAAGTTAACTGCAGAGTGAATTCTTAATGAGAGTCTGGTCTTTAGTTCCTGCACAGTAGGAGACATATTGAAGACTATTTGCAACAGTTTTCACATTTTGCTTTGGTCATTTCTGCTTTTCATCTTGTTTTAGCATGGGCAACTGAGAACAGAAGACCTGATGCTACAGTTGTAGAAACTGTCACCCTGAGCTATATCTGTAATGAGTTTGCACAGCGATTCACACACTGCTTCCAACATGGTCATATCCCTGCACAAACGTAAAAGAAACACCACATAATGTTCTATAGTATCATCAAGCATTCTGCCACCTGGGCGTCTGACTTCACACAGGTCACTTTCATGTTGCTTCCACTATAGCATCCTACAGCAATAACTGGACCTAGTAAAGACACAAGTTTGTGTTGTATAGGGTTATGATACTACTGGACAGTATACCAATGGCTTCAATAATAGTCATAGATTAATTTATTGGATGAATTATAGGGTAAAGGAAAACCAAGGTGAATTTTCAGAGCCAAAGCAATAACAGAAATCCTTGGGAGATCACCAAGTGACTCTTGTGGTTTATATGGAACTAATTCAGAGATGTATGGAGTGGTTGGGAACATAGGAATCTTCCTTATACCAAATCAGACCATTTTTTCATCTAGCTCGGTTCTGTCTCTACTGACTGACCGCAGGTCTCCAGGATTTCAATTCCCAGGCAATCACTCACAATAACACTAGTTCAATGCTTATCTAAGTGAACCAAAGAGGTACATATTGAGCTTCACTTGATATCGCATAGGAAGGATATAGTTCACCAATATTAATAGTGAACCTAAACAGTCACACCTAAGAGAGTATCTCAGCTTGGTATTGTGAACACTGGAAAACCTGGCTTAAGGTTATTGAAATGTGCAAGTCCAATAATATTATGCAAACTGGAAGATATGCATGCAAGGAATTAATAATTAGGAAACACAGGTTTAAATGAAGATGAAATACACAGATCAAATTAATGTTCAGGTTTAATTAATAAAACTGAACCACTTTCATTGTAAAAAAACACTGACTTCCAGTTGTTTAACATAAGTTCTATACCTTCCTGAAATCCCTCAGAATTATTTTAGCATTTTAGAGTCCTAAAAGTCTAAGGAGTAGATTGTGCTTCAAAGTGTTCATATGGACCTTTAAGCATGTCTCCATCCAATAATTTTCTCTTCCCACATACTCCCAAACATCTGTTAACACTCTACATTCCTGAGCATCTACAAACTGCATATAAGAAACCTCCTTGGAAGAATTAGACTTATCTAAAGTATTCTTAGAACTTTCTGTGTTCACTCTCTTCAGGTCTGATTTACCAATAGCAGTGGCAACCACATCTCTGTTTCCTGTACACCAGTAAAATTATGAGAAAGCATGTAGTGATAAGCCAGTTTTCATGTCTGGTACTTATATAGCAGCAATTGCACAAATTAGATGCATGCAAGGAGGAAATCTTAAAATCTCTTTCCGTGATGGGCTTTGTTGACATGAAAAGAGCTTTTAAGTTCTCATACTTGCTTACTAGGCTCTGGGAGGCTCCCACAAGATTCCATGGGGCCATCTGAAATCTCATGAGATTCCATGGAAGCTCCCAGAGACTGCATGAGACCTTCCCACAACCCAGTAAGCCTGGTTTCATGGAGGGCCAGGCCCACTTGCAACACCAGCTTCAGAATGGTAGGAAGCGTCACACTGGGGCAGTTTTGGGATTTTTCTGACTATACGCAATTTTGGCTTTACTAGCAATCCTCCAGAACGGACCTGTGCAACTTGTGAGTCTATCGTATATACAGTTGATAAAAACACTTCATTTAAGGGTCTGATCTGACCAGCAGAATGTCTATGATTATCCAGCTACAGTAACTACCTCACTGTTTGATCTGATCTTCCCATATTTCCAGAGGAAACTTAGAAAGCACCACAGTGGCTTTCCCTAGGCTCCAACATGTGTGTTCCAGCTTCTGAGACTATCTATTGTTCTCAATCATATCTACTACTGGGTCATATCAAAAGCATGAATGAAGAGATATGCACCTATACAAGTGATAGGGAGTCCCAACACCTTGCTAAATGTCAGTGTTAACCTAAACTGAAGTGCATCTGCCTTGATTCTACAGTGAGTGTTAACTTAAGAGTGCATTGGCTTATAATGGCATCACTGTGTTGGTGTTGAATAGATACTACAGAGAGTAATGGTCAAGGTTACCATTTTTTAATAAATAGTTCTCCCTCTTGTATACTCACATGCATCTCTTGTTTCTTCAAATCTTCTAAGTCTGGAAGATGTCTAGTTATAAACTCAATGTTTGTAGTAATTGTGTCAATAATTACTTTAATGCTTGGATAATCCTTTGCATATGAAATATTCATTTTAGATGTTTGGTAATGGTCTTTCATATCACAGAGGCTCTCATTGTCCATTAAGTTTGAACTGCTAGTAAAAGCTCCATATCGTAGTGCTGGCTGCATCAGCAAGAGGCCACGTTTAGCTCCAGTCAGTATATAGGATGCCATCACTAGCATCATTATTAATAATCCAAACATTAAACTGCATAGTTTTCCTTTCTTCAGGCAAAACAATCCAGTCCAGCTTTCACTGTGATAAGTCCTTACTTCTAGCACTGCAAGCAAGTTCATCTGTTTGCTATCCACGTGCAACAGAACTTTATTTTTATCTCTGCACAGAGAAGGACACTCTTTAATATTGTGAGTTGGCCGCTGGCACTTGAAACACTGTCTGTGCAAGTCATTTGATAACAATGCTATGCAACGTTGAATGCAATGCTTCATATTAGTACCATTAAAGAATTGGTGTAAGGAGCCATTTCAAATGGATGAAAGTCACTTTCTACAAGCAATTAAGAAACTTTGTCAAATCAGTATATATATTTTTTTAAAAATCAGACTAACCAAAATAGATGGCAACTACTGAAAATAATATGGCAATGTATTAGAGGCACATTATACTTGATCTGGACATACAAAATTTTCTTTTTAAGTTGATGATGATGAGTTCAGGTTTTTCCCATTGAACAAAATGAGGAGAGTGGGATTTCACTGTACAGAGTGAAGAGACACAAAAAACAAAAGGAGCTCATTGTCCTTTCATCAAAATTAAACAAATTTAGGTATGTGAGAGAATAGATTCTTCTTGAGATTTAAATATATTCCTTTAAAATGTAGGTTCCAAGACAGAGAAATGACCTGGAGTTCTTCATTTTTATAATCACTTCAGAGGATTCTGTTGTGTAACCTAGAAGAGAACAAAGAGAAAACATGAATAGAATTATCTGTCCATAAGTCAGATCAAAGTGTTACTCACTTTATTAGGCAATGGACTATTAACCCTGGTTGATGAATCTATGCTAAATTGCATATTCAGCAGAAAGGTAAATTCTGAGTACTGGGAATAAGTATAGATGACTTGAAAATGATTTGGACAGGAACTTGAAGGACTAACTACTTGCATGAACTTGCTGAAGTACTCAGCCCCTTTTGAGGTGGTATCTATCCAGTGCCCCATCATCTGAGGTGAGGAGGATAGCAACAAGAGTCAGTGCCTTCACCAAACCATAAAGCTTCCCCCCCCCCAATAATTTTTGGGGGGTTAAATTTATGCTTTTTGCTTTGGTTTTTAATAGCATCTGGTGCATGCTTCTGAACTGAATTTGTTGTGTGTGTTTATCTGCTTGATTTTTCCATGATTGTTTTGTGGTATTGTGAGCCATCTGAAGAATCCCCGTGATTAAGAGGCAGGATATAACTATCTGAGATAAAGAGATAGAAAGATGAGGTACATGGAAGGGAAAGGTGGTGAGCATGTCAACTGACAATTTTATGCTGGGATACTCTGAAGACTATGGTACAGATTACAAATAAGATTAAGCTAAGCAATCATCTGGGTCAAGATTACCCAGTGGGACATTCTAAAGGCCAATCTAATGGATCTGTGGGGCAAGAAAGCTGTTTAGAAAGGGAGCAGCATCTGTGGTTTGTGTGAAGGCTCCACAGGCAAATTTTGAGCAAAGAATAATACTAGCACAGTGTATTTTTGAGTAGCAAAAATTACCAAGTTTGTATTGGGCAGGAAGAAAAAGCCATGGTTAAGGGTTCAGGAACACAGCAGCCCCTAGAGATTCCCAAAAATGAATTGTGGCCACAAATTGATTTCTGTTTTCCAGTCCTTGCTTGGACATACTCATTATTAACCTAAGCAACAAAGGAGTAATAAGTAGGATACTTCTGGAGAGAAAGTAATTGAATGTCTCTCCTTTTCAAGATCGATAAAAAATATTAAGCAGCAGCACACACAAAAATGCATTAAACTGTTGCAAATAAATTTTAATACTGTGGAGGTAGCATATTCCAAGAATTCAAGGGGAAATGAGAATATGGCTATATCAGACCAGTGCATTAACCCTTTCTCTAATGTGCAGTTCAAGAAGAAACACTTGGACCTTTAGGTATGTATAGCACTGGGATTTTTTTCTCTTCCCCACCCCATGAAACAGTTGTGGTACTTGTGGTAAATCCAAAGTCTCACTTAAGTTCACAGAGCCAGCAGCACAACTCTTTGAAACAGAGCCTTAATTGCTTACATTCTATTAAATTAAAATGTTGATCACAATTAAATTTCAGCAGGATAGAAAAGCCTCTGATTCCATTTGGACATATTTAAAGTATCTACAGCATCAACTAACATTTTGTTTATATCCTGAAGGATTTCAGAGATGTAAACATTTTGACCAATCACATTTTACAAAACATAACTGAAATTATGTGTGCTACAAGAAAAAAAATGAACCAAGAAATCACTGTAATGGAAAATTAAGACATGTACATTAAACCACACACTGCTACTGCTTAGGGATGCTATACTCTACGGTTTCATTCAACATTTATTAAGCACACCAACCTGATCCCCACTTCCCAGATGAATACATAAGATTGTAATGTAGTTGTTGCATTGTCTTCTGCTGCTTTTACAGGAACTCTACAAGCTGAGTTAATGGCAAATTAAACTTCATTCTTGATGAGGCCCAGGAGCCTACACTGATCAGTAACCAGCTCCTTCAGCCAGACCACACCTCTGACTCATAGATGTTTCTCTAAAGGTGGCACATGTAGGGAACTGTATTAAGTTGCTAATGCATGCATTAGAGCAGGCATCCCCAAATTTGGCCCTCCAGATGTTTTGGGACTACAACTCCCATCATCCCTAGCTAACAGGACCAGTGGTCAGGGATGATGGGAACTGTAGTCCCAAAACATTTGGAGGGCCGAGCATTAGAGATATCCTTCCGTTTTCCATTAGGGATACTGTTCTTGGCTCAGAAAATGTATCAAAATATGCATTAAAATGTTTAGATGAATATAAGAATATGTTTAATTTATGTCAAAATGCATATAAAATGCGTTTTAGGAGACTATACGGACAGAAATGCATGTTTTGTTGGGGAGAAAACGTCAGTAAATGTGAATTTTCATACATTGCTTTAAAATGCAGATTGACATGTAAACAGGGTGGACTAGATTTAGGAATGGGCTTATGGATGCAAAATACACATGGACCAGAAATAGACATCCATCTATCCCCAACTCTTGAACCACAGAAATAAAATGAAAATTGTGCACATAAGAACTTAGTCTACAAATAGGGTTCCCTATGCTGGCTAATTGGCTATGGAGTTTGAATCATATGTTTGGTGACAGATAACCTTTTGAGGGACACCTAAACAACTTGTGCAAATACCAAGCTTTTTCCCTCCTTTTTGTGCCAACTCTTGAACACTGATTGGACCCAGATCTTAATAACTAACACAGTCATAAGTGTCCCTTTCCATGAGATGGTGATCGAGAAGGTAGTGGCCTCTCAAGTCAAGACATTATTGGAAATTTCTATGCCAGGTACAAGTTGTTATTCACCCAAATTTTTAGTTAAAGTAGTGCTCCTAACTTTGTCGGAGTAAGATCAGTGAAATCTCCAGTCCAAGCTCACGAAGAATCTATTTATATGTTATTTGTAAACCTCCTTTCAAGACTACATTTTTCTGATTCAACCAATTATTCTGGTTCCACAGTAGCGAGAACAAAGTTTGCTAAATAGAACACAGAGGAAATCAGATAAGATTCAATATGGTTTATAGAAATATATAAAAGAAAATTACTACCATGTAGTCTTCTTACAATATACCAAACTAAGTCTTCAACTACCAGTTGCTGCTTCAAGTGCACAACGTTTTCTTATACAGTTCTTATGAAAACCAGCTGAGTCCCTAAGGGCTTAACACTGACTTACAGGCATAATTACTGTATGTCTGAAAAAAGTTTGTAATTAAAATCAGCAAATGACAGAAAGTGGAGCATTTGAACTGCTTCTTGTGCTGAGCACCAGCTTATGTCTGAGTAGAATTATAAGACCCTGAGTAGAATTATAAGACCCAGAAGGAGCCTTCAGAAATGTTCAAAAACATTATTAGAGATATATGTGCTAGTGCATAAATAAGAACCTTCATATAACAACTCCTGAAAATAAGTTTCAAGTTTCAGTATGATTACTCACATTAGTAAAAGGAACACACGGATGGGTTTTAATGACCCTGCAGGCTTTAAACTAAGATGTTAAGAGAAGTGAAAGAAAAGAGAATTGCAAAAATAGCTCTCTTCATAATGATTGCATAATATGATTGTGGAACATTTAAATAAATGGGATGAATTATTTAAATAAACAAGACAAATATGTGATTCACATTTTACAAGGGTTTGTTTCACTGTGATCAAGTAGTGTATTTGCCCACCAAGAACGATGAAATACTGTAAACTGCTATAGTAGTTAGAGAATAGGAAATTACTCACCCTTTAAAATTATCTATTAAGAGCAAACTTTAACAGTGACATGGAACATTTTTTCTACATGTTCAATATCATGGTGTTTTAGTACATAGCACTTGCAAACCCAATGTAGCAATCCCAGCAGAATCCATTGTAGCTGGATTTATACCAAACTGAGCATTGCTGCATCTTGCATTGTGTGCGCATTTGTGTGTGAGTGGCTTGTGCAGTTTATTAAAAATAGCCCAATCAATTATATGCAAAATTATGCTGTGTGTGTGTGTGTTATAAAAGGACCAGGCCCCATGCAGTACTACATTTCTGAAGAGTAATTTTGCAAATATTAATACATACTGTACATAGGTTCAGATATAGAGTTTCTGGGTAGGTTGGTGATGCAGAGCGAGGGCAGACTTCCACAACACAGTGAAGAGAGGACGAGCAATGACTCAAGAGATTCGCATGAGTCTGTCCAGTGTAGATAAGTGGTTCCCAGAAGGGCGCTGGTGGTCAGGGCCAGGGAGCCCCAGGGGCAAGTGTCAGAGCAGGGTGCCAGCCGGAGGATCCCAAAGTGGCAGCTGGGCGTCAGGACCAGCCTCCCCACCAAAGTGCAGCCGAAGGGGTGGAGCTTCCACGTGCTGTCAGAGGGAGCAGCTCCAGCAGCAGAGAAAGGAGGGGGTCAGAGCATGCAGCCCTCCCGGAAGTGGAGGAGCAGTGAAGGGAGATGTAACTGTCAAAAGGAAAGTTAGAGGTCTGGCGCGCGCACCTAGTTCAAATGCTAGAGGCTGCGGAAGTGCAGGGAGCCCGGAGGAGGGGCCAGGTCCCAAAGCCCGCAGGAGGGGAAGAGCAGAGTGGGATTCAGCGCCAGAGGAATCCAGAAGGGCGCAACCCCAGGGGCAGAAAGACCCTGCGGAAAGGAAGGAGAGACAAGAGGTGGAGCAGCAGCAAGTATTCTATATTGTTACAGAGTGAGCGACATGACTGTTCTTGACATTATGTTTGTGTACTAGCCTGAGAGATACAGGCTGTGCACTTCAGAAAACTGCTCCATGTCTTTCAAATGGATGTACTGCAGATGATGACAGCCGTCTGTAATTCAAAAGACGTAGGCGCTGCTCCTTGGGAGAGCTATAGCAACTTGAGACAGTATCTTAACAGCAGACGTACATCACCTTACCATACAAAGGTTCTGGGTAGTTTTCAACAGCCATGGTTTTCCAGTAGTGATAGTATGAGAGTGAGAGCTGGACCAGTAAAGAAGGCTGATCAGCCGAAGAGTTGATGCTTGTGGATTATGGTGCTGGAGGAGACTCTTGAGAGTGCCATGGACTGCAAAAGATCAAATGTATCCATTCTGTCATGAAACTCAGTCCTGAGTGCTCACTTGAAGGACAGATCACTGACAGCTGAGGCTCCAACCTACCTTGGCCACCGTTGTTGAGAAGAGAATTAACGTGGAGAAGAAACAACCATGTATGCCATCTTGAAGTTTTTGGAGAAAAGGAGGGGAATGTAAATGCAATAAAGGATGTTATCAGATTACCACAGTACAAAGCTGGTACATCAGCTATACCTGGTGAAATATGCTATAGGCCACAGAAGTCAGTTGGGCAGCACCACCAAGCTGCAAATCTAATAGGGTCAGCTAAATACTCCTTCCCAAGCCAGGAAACCCCCTACGCAGCAGCAGCAGCAAATATTCTATATTTTACAGACTGAGCTACATAACTGTTCTTGATATTATGTTTTTGTACACCTGAAGATACAGCTGTGACTTCAGAAAACTGGTCCATGTCTTTCAAATGGGAGGAAGACCAGAATAGAGCTATTTTTAATGTGTAAAATGTCAGTGGGTATCTGACTGACTTGGGGATGGAATCCAAGCAACTAAATTCTCACCCTGATCCATCAGCCTGCTCTCAACTTTGTCTGGAGCTACGAAGATGCTATGAATAACAATTTGTTAAAGAGGAGATTTGGAATTTCTCTTCAAGGCCCATCAATGCAACACTTGTTAGGAAGCTCCATTCTTGAAGCCAGACAAAGCTTCTATGACTGACATTAATTCTTATTCTTCTAAAAATGAACTGTCAAAACTATATTAAAGAATGCAGAGCTATGAATCTTGCATAATGCTTCTAAGCCTTGCCCCCGTTCCCCACACAAGCAAATTTATTGTGACACTTCACATGGAAACAAAATGAATAATAATTTATTAGACCTCTACTGGAATTTATTGGAATGCTTTGAAAGGTATTTGCATTTGACGAACTATACCATTTGAATGTGCATGCAATGCAGTGATGATAGATAGCATCGATAGTTGGAGCTTGTTTCAATATGGATCTAATTTGTGTCTGTAGTTCCTAATTCAGATACACATGTGGATCTCCTTAGCTTGATTAGAGTGCTTTTTTAAAAAATGAAACATTCATATAGAATATTACAAACCGGTGTGAGAGCCCCCATTAAATGCTACACTAGTAGAATGATGCAATATAACAGGGAGGCAGAACATGTCCAAATCTCTACAGCTGTTTTGAACTACAACCTTCATCAATCCCACCCAGCACAGCAGGTGTAGTTTTGGTGATGGCTGTTGTAGTCCAAAACATTGAAAGGACACCAGGCAGGCAAAGACTGACCTAGAAGGTGATTTATATTAATTTATTAGGTTTGTGAAATGCTCTCCCAAGGGAGGCTTGCCTAGTACCTTCATTACTTAGGCAAAATCATTCATTTTCAACCAGGCCTCTGCCAGGAGAAAGACAGGTGAAATGTGTCCTTGTTGATTCTCCTTGACCTCTCAGCAGCTTTCAATACCATCAGTGATGGTATCCTTCTGGAGCAGCTGTCCAAGTTAGGGGTGGATGACACCACTTTGTGGTGGTTCTGTTCCTACATCTACAGGTTTGGTAGTGCATGTGCTGGACTGATGTCTTGTCTCAGTAATGGACTGGATGAGAGTCAATAAACTGAGACTCAATCCAGAGAAGACTGGGGCACTGTTAGTGGGCGTTTCCCTAGACTGGATGGAAGGTTGCCCCCTCTTGATGGGGTTACTCCTTCTGAAGGACTGGATACACAGCTTTTGGATCCTTTTCTGTCACTTGAAGCTTGGATGGGCTCAGTGGCACAATAGTGTCTTCCATCAGCTTTGCCTGGTGTCCTATCTGTGCCTCTATCTGGACAGGGATAGTTCCACCTTCTGCTGCTCTAGGATAGAATATTGCAATAGGTTATACATAGTTCTAGCTGGGGCTGATTGGAATTGTAGTCCAAAACATTTGAAAGGCACCAGGTTAGTGAAGGCTGATCTTGAAACATTTGGTTGGTCACTATTTTATTTAATGCCAGACCATATGGACTTTGGACTGTTTCAGCAAGGAAGTTCTTATAAAGCATGTCCTTCTAGCCCATTAGTGTGGAAACTGTGCACTCAGTAGGACCAGATGACTGCTTCTCCAGCCCTTGCCTTCAGTTCCTTTAGCTACTATGTGAGTGTTGTGTATTTATGAGATGAAACATTTATTTTTCCCCCTCAATTGCTCCCACAAGAATAGACAATTCTTAATTAGCTCAACTGGTGCCCTTTGCCAGATTTCAAATATACTGTTTGTCAATAGTTTCTTAACAATCCTATGCAAGGAATGCAAATTTTATTCATGCCTTATTGTATGACATGTCAACTCAGAAATATTTGTGCAATTAAGATTCCAATCTGTAGTATTTATACTACAGATTGCTGTGCAGAGGTCCCTTAAGTTATACAGTAGTCATCAACTGCTCTCTTGGAGTAGCAAATGTTCTCCATTTATTAATATTTTCCCCTCAAGAGCTACTGTGAATTCAGTGTGATAATAAATTTACAAAAAGTATATGAGTAACTAAGTGAAAAGGTTTCTCACAGCTATATTAGAGTATGAATAATGAATTCTTTCAAGTTCAAATCGTGTGACCAGAATAAATTATGTCAATTAAATAGAATAACAAGTTTGCTTGATTAGTGTTATTCTGGTTTCAAAAAGGAGTGGAGGAACATGCAAGCTTGTTTTTAGTACAGTTATACATCAGAAGTCGAATGGAATCCGTTCAACTTCCAAAACATTTGGAAACCAAGGTGCAACTTCTGACTGGCTGCAGGAAGCTCCTGCAGCCAATCAGAAGCTGCGGAAGCTGTGTCGGATGTTCAGGTTCCCAAGAACATTTGCAAACTGGAACACTCACTTCCAGGTTTGTGGAATTCAAGAGCAAAACGTTCAGGATCCAAGGTACAACTACATTCTTTAGTATTTCAATATTATTTTCTGAAGCCAAGAAAGCAGATAAAGACAATATACTTGGGAAAAGGACAAGAGCAGTGGGTCTCTCTCTCAATGCCTGATACAGAAAGGTGGCTTCACCTTTCTACAAAAGTGGTGAAAGCTCCTCGTCCCCCACCCCAATTTCTCTGAAATTTGCACAGTGTTTTTGTGAACTGCTTTTTCCGTTGGAGGACATAGCTGAGCACCAAATCTGGAGTGGCAGTTGTCACTGGTGATGGAATTTGTTCACATTTGTCTATGAATTCTGAAATATTTAGGCTCCTGATGTAAGGCAAAGCAACATTTGCTATCCAGGGAACTCTTCTTTTATAAACCTACATTTTCCTTGAACCAGACCAAATTTACCAACACATTCCTCCTCCATCTTGCTCTACCCCTTTAGAGTAAAACAATTTTTGACTGATATGGCAATCCTCTATTGCAACAACACTGTTCTCTCCATTTGTCATTCCAGCAACTGGTATACAGAGGCATACTCCTATATCATTTTACACAGAAGTAAGGCCCACTGAATTCAACAAGTCTTACTTCTGAGTAGATATGGTCAGGAGCACACTTGTTAGGCCCTTTCAGCCATTTCTTCCCCTCAGCATTACCTGGTATCTCCTGCGGCTACCAGCCAGCTAACTCCAACCCTACTTCCTTGCCTGGCTGAAGCTCCACAAAGAAGACCCAGAACTGCATACCCCAGCCAGCTATAAAGCCTCTCCCCTCCCTATGCTGGCCAGAGCACAAGCACCCTAAAGAAGGCTTCTATAAAGGGCATGTTTCTAGATTACATTCTCCTTGACTCACCCTTTCACTCATGATCATCTGGGCTTTGCCTATACAAATAGCAGTATTTCACCAGAAATTTAATCAGTTCCGTAATGTATTGAGCACTTTGGTGTTACTGTTTCACTCCAGCTCTTGGCTCCTAGTGTGCTTTGCAGCTTTTACAATCTTGTGTTAGCTTCATTTCTTCAACATTCCTGCTTCTCCTAAGCTCTTTCTGTGTCAGTTTCTTGGACTTAAAAAAAAAATAAAAATCAATTGTAATAGTAACAGAAGTAAACAATAACATTCCAAGATGGTAATCTCAGCAGCCATCCATCAAAGAAAGCTTTTTGAAACAATTTTTAAAAAAGATGCTGGCAAAATGTCAAAAGGGAAGTGTCCAGCAGATTTCCTTTAGGAGTATGTCCCAGAGTGTGGGTGCAGAAATAGAAAGGGGGGGGATCTTGTTCCTTTGCAGTGAAATATGAAAGAGAACTTCACTAATCCCAGGGACTGGGGAGAGCCATATGATAAAAGGTGTTCTGATACCAGCTATTAGCTCTGACCTTTTTATGTGGTGGGCTACTAATCTGTATTGTTGTGACAATTTGGCCACATAACAAGTATTTCCCAGGCCATAATATGCAAAGGACACTAGTGCTAGTCCTTTAACAATAGCAGTTCATGGGTAGAAATTGGAAGACCTGAAACTGGTATTATTAAAGACTGGGTTTGAGTTTTTTACATTTTCCAAATTCCTGCCTTAGGTTTAGAGCATGGCATAGCACTGTTACCTACTGTGAATAAATAAGCCTGATATTTAACATGTATGACAATAAACTGTGGCTTGAATGTGGAAGAAATTTCACTGGCCATAGTATATGTGAAATGCACACATGGATAACTTGTGAAATGTTCCTGGAGACCAAGCTGAGTGAATACTTCTCAGAAAAACAATTCTCTCTCTCTCTCTCTCTCTCTCTCTCTCTCAAACACACACACACACACACACACACACACCCCTAGGGAAAAAAACTGCTTCGAAGAATACTGTCAGAATATTTGTGAAGATTGCCATCCACCATACCCTGGCCAATGCCTCTAGGTCCAGGGCACTGTAGAGCATGCAAAATCATGACTCAACACAATTGCTGCCATTGCCACCTAAAGAAGAGGAGGAGGAGGAGGAGGAGGAGGAGGAGGAGGAGTGGAGCCAGAACCTTAGGGAAAGAAGCTGTGCTATTTCCATTACTAATTTACATCCAAAAAAACTGTTAGAGAATTTATCATCTCCCTGAAAAAATGGTGAAATGGTCCCTCCAATTTCTCTGTTCACAAACAGGGTGGAGAATTTCAAGAGTCATTTGTGAACAGCTCTAGACCAAATCCTACAATGAAGGATGTCGTCATGTTCTGTTGTAGTACATCATCAGTATAATGGATGCCAAGTGTTTGGGGCCCATTCCAAGATGCAGGAGCAGCTACAATACATTCACTGCACTTAACAGAAGACCTCCCTGATGGCGTTGTCCATTCCATTCCACATGTACCCCATTCAAAAGTAGCTTATATGGTTCCCAGAAATTCATCCATTCAAAAAGACCTGAGCTTTTTAAAAATTTGTCTTCCAAAGGGGGTGGGGCAGAACCAGCCACCACCATTTGAAAGAGTTTAAGTGCTATTCAAGTTGCAACTTCTGCAAATGAACTGCAGGAATAATAAAAGTGAGCTGTATATGGTTTTTTTTAAAATGTGATGTCGTAGATCAGTAGACCAGTACTCAGCTGAATGTTTAAAGTACTGGGCTTCCCTGATTAACTTTTTGTTAATAAACTTTGTGTGAACTTGTAGCTATTTACTTCTGAGCAATCAACAGTCTGCCAAAAAGAGAAAATCAATTATATGAGAAATCACTACCCTCTGTGACCGTGCCACAAAAAGGCTTGAGTAATGGTTTTGAAAGCCCATATGACATGTTATGCTGGTCAGTGACCTTCTCCAGCTACAGCACTCTGGCTCGATATAAAACTTCTCAAAATTCGGGGGGGGGGGTGGACATTTGTAACATGTCTGTCAAACAGTTTCCTTGAAGGCAAAACTAACAGCTAGTGGAGTTTTAAGACGGCTATTAAAAAGAACATTTGGTAACAGTCAGAAAATATATACACAGCCTGCCTAACAGTTGTTCAGATATAAACTTGCCATCACAGTTAAGTTTTTACAAAGGCTACAAAACACAGCATTTTCGCTTAAATAATAGTTTTATGGATTGCACTGTAACTTGTTACATTTGTCCTAAACGATTCAGTCCAAATATGTTGAAACCTACCATCACTGCTATATTCAGTGAGAACAGGAAGCCATCTGTGTAAATCAGCATAGCTTCATAGTTATCAAGAGGGAAAACAGCTATTTAAGTCTGCTACTCAGGATCATTGTTACTAAATTCATTCCTTTTAGAGGAAGTTACAGAAGTTTCTATTACTAACTACTCTTTGTTTGCCACAAATTCTTATTCAGCTGTACTTCTCTAGAACCCATTCATCTGTTACTTGGTTTTATTTTCAAAAAATATACTTCCTATTAGGATATAAATGAGTACTTTTAATGGCACACCCAAAGTCAGAAAGGTCAGATTAAGTGGAAATTCAGCTCGAGTTTTTCTAACTATGTAATATCAGGCTTATAAACCTCTGAAATTGAGCTCTATATTTTCATGTTCTGAACACTCAAAATGCACTGTTGTTATTGTTGGCATCCTCCTGTCTCAAGAAACAATGAAGTGAGTTAACAGCATCGTAGGGACCTCCCCAGGGTGCAAGCCTGATCAGTGTGTATGGAGGTCCTGGGCTGCCTAGACGACAAGACCGCCCCCCTTGGTCTCACTGATGTGGTCTAAAGGAAAGCAGAGCAATACGTTTGGCACCAGCTTGGCTGCAGAAGCTGCTGGAAAGAGGCATACAAGGTGCCATCAAGCCGTTTTAGGGACTCCACTCTGAATTTATGTAGCCTTTGCTCCTTAGCCTTTTCTTCTCCCAAAGATATCCCACAAGGCAGCAAATGTTTCTTAAAGGTAAAGGTAAAGGGACCCCTGAGCATTAGGTCCAGTCGTGGCCAACTCTGGAGTTGCGGCGCTCATCTCACTTTACTGGCCGAGGGAGCCGGCGTACAGCTTCCGGGTCATGTGGCCAGCATGACTAAGCCGCTTCTGGCAAACCAGAGCAGCGCACAGAAACACCGTATACCTTCCCACCGGAGCGGTACCTATTTATCTACTTGCACTTTGATGTGCTTTCGAACTGCTAGAGCAAGAGTTTATCTTCTCCTAGAAGGGCTACCTATTCAGGTTGATAAACCCCATTTGACCCTCACTACCGTCTGCAGCAGAAACTGCCTTCTTCACAACTGGATCCACTATTGTTCTCATTGGCTCAATCTACCAGATTTAGCTGTCTTCACATGCAGGAGAATCATAGAATTGTAGAGTTGGAAGGGACCCTGAGGATCATCTAGTTCAACCCCCTGCAATGCAACAATATGCAGATGTCCCATATAGGGATCGAACCTGTGACCCTGGTGTTGTCATAACCACACTCAAACTAAGGGTTTGAGACCCATCAGCTACCCTTACCTGGTTTAGCAGGTCCGTCAAAGCTGCTGTCACATGCTGACACCTTCTAGGAGCCACAGGTAAGAGCTGAGTGCAGAATGAGGACCAGAGGTGGACAAACTACCCCAGAAGGAGCATTGTGTGTACTACCACTCCTCACACATCCCAAAATGCACTAGTTCTCAACTGTTGCCCTACTCCCTCAAAGCCTCAATAATGCAACCTTCTGTGGCAGCTGCCATATCAGCATGTGATTCAGGGTGATTACATGTCTCTTACACAGTAGCTTGATAGAGTAATTAAAACTCACCCAGGATACCAAAGTATAAACCAGGTATAGGCAAACATGGCCCTCCAGATGTTTTGAGACTATGGTCCTGTTAGCTAGGGGTATGGGAGTTGTAGTCCCTAAACATCTGGAGGGCCGAGTTTGCCTATGCCTGGTATAAACTAAGCTAACTGACCCTGGCATCAAAGGTACATTTTTTAAAAAAATAAAAATTTATTTTTTAAAATTAAAATTACAAAATTAAAACTAAACATTAAAAATGCTTAGTGTAGTAAATATTCACCTCTTGCATGATTTTTTTTCAGCTTGTAAATTCATGAAAGAGCACAATTGGCACATGTTGGTAAAAATGCTCAAAATTATGTGTGTTTGAAAATATATATAGACTTTCTACTTCTGCAGCCACACTGAGCAATCTTCCCAAGCATCCCACGCTACCCTGGAGATTATACACTAAAACTAGGGGTTGGGGTTAAAAACACATTCCATCTGCAATCTCACAAAGACAGCTTGGATATATTGCTGCAACAAATTCATAACAAACCATACATTTTTACAGCACAAACTTTGTGTCTGTTTAAATAGTGCTGAAAGCTTGCAATATTTCAGTTCCTCTTCAATGGAAACTAAATACACCACAGGCTTAAATGTTATAATATGCTGTTTATGGTAATTAATTTTCACTCCCTACTCATTGAAGTATTCAACTGATACAGAATGACAGCTAGAAAATGCACAGAGACCAACTGGAAACAAATTATGATACAAATTATACCAAAGTAATTTGCATATTCATGAGTTTAGTACTACCGAGGGTTGTGCTGCTGTTTTAAGCAAATCTATCTCCTTTTTTTTGGAATGTAACAGAATGATAGAGAGATCTTTCAAAAGCCAGATTAAACTGGAATGGACAGAAATGGCACAACTGATCCATTACAAAAACACTGTGAAGTTGCAATACTTTCTGAAAGGTCACTAAAATACTATCACCTACTTGTGATATATAAACTCAGAACCTGTTATTCCTATACTCTGTGATTATAATCTCCATCAGTATAGAAGAAAGTGGTCTGGGGTGAACGATTTTAGCAACTATCCCTTGTCATGGTCAGATCACCTTCCGGTAAGATTTAGATTTTCAGTGGTTTTCCTGCTCTACGGAGCTGGGAGACATATTAGAATGGTTCATCCTTGAAAGCTGATGGAACTAATTGATTTTCAGATGGCTCTGGGGGGATTTTCTGACTGATATAACTGGCACTGCTGTTGAAGTCCGGGTTGATCTGTGGAATACACAGATGACCTGGGCCATTTACACAATCACTCATGAGCACCCTCTCCCGCTTGATGTAGCCTAACCGTCTCCTTGGTATGCACCTGGTACACATCGGGGAGAGCAATGAAACAAGCTAGGATATGGCTAGAAAACAAGTGGAGGAAAACTCCAGAAGAATGCAACTGAACACTGGTAAGAACCCACTACTGAGTCTACTCAGTGGCACGGAAGGCAGCAAAGAAGCAGCACTTCACTGTTTCCTTGTATGCTCACTATGCCTTTCAGTAGTATGTGGGCAATAGGGGGTCTTTTAAAGTCTAGCCTGAAGGAGGGGGAAGAACCAACAGTGGTCCACTGCAGACCCATGCAAGGCAGGGTGGGGGAAGCAGGTACACTTGCCTTTGGCATCAAAAGACTAAGCTGGCTGGCAGACACTGCCAGGGACTGGCTGCTTTTTTTGTTTCTAACAAGACTCCTGCCATGGACCTCACCCAAGCTCTGCATGGGCCAGGCCCACTGCAAATCTTTTGCAAAGCACTTTTAGAATAAAATCACTTGCATCTTCTGAGACCTATTATAGTAGGTGAATTTCAATAGGTATCTAGAGCACTGTAGTTCTCAAGTCTCCAAACACAGTTCCTTAGGAGAGCTAAAGGACATCTTCTATAGGAACTGGGACAAAATATAACATTTCCCCCTTGCTTAACTCATTTTCATATGAAAGATGATTACTTCATTTTATCTGAGCTCAAAGGGCTTCCACTTGATCTATACCTGGGTTGGGCCAGTGGGTGGGAAATCAATGACCGATATATACATCCAACAAAAGATTTGAAGGAAGAGGGCCTATAGTGTTTAACAAAGGGTGGAAAGGGGGGCACTTTTGTAACTTAGAGCTGCTTCATATACTGCATATTGCCTACACATATATTTTCCTGTGTGTGGGAAAATACACTGTTGTGTATTAAAATTGCACAAGAGTCTATTTTCCTGAAAGTATATGTGTTTATAAGCCTTTGCAGTTTCTATGCATCCTTCCACAGAACATGCTACCTTTTCTATATTCCTTCCGAATCTTGATTATTTACTGGCCTGTTGGTTTTTGTATTTCTAGACCGAATCCTATTATTTTGCCTCTTTCTTGCTTCATTTCCCATTTCTTCTGTGGATCTCCTATTGTGTTCTAGACTAGAATCTTTGAAGACCTGCATCCCTGGCACTGTTCTATAAATGTTGTAGGTGCATATGCAATGGTGTCTTCTTCTACATACAGGTTCCAGTTGCATTGTTAAATCTTTTTTTTTTTTTTTAATTAGCAAGAAAGACAGCAGTGGGACCTATGGACATTGTTTTTTATTTGAACCTTGGAGACTAGATGGTGTCTGCTTTAATCCCGCAACATAGATCTAGATCCTCCAAAATGCAGAGCAGTTTTGCTCATTTGCATTTGCCATTAGGAGAAGAACACCGGGAGAGGGTATTAATTCAATTTTTTAAAAAAGAAAATTCTGAAGAGACAGAATTATCATTCATTAGTCTCACAATAAACCATTAAATTGTTAAGAATAAAGATCAGGAGGCAGCTAACTAGGGATTTTTAACCTAGACTGACTTCATATGATATGAGTTAATGAGCTGAATACATAAACTTTTAATAGCTGGGGAAATGATATAGCACTTGATCTTAGAATCATGCCTTTTACAAAGATATCTGTGAAGCATACAATCCATAGCTGCCATCAGCTCTTGAAGTGCTTGGGCAATTTTGAATTGACAATTATATAGACACCTAGTCGTACATGATAGACTTCTTATCCCTTTTCTTCCTAGCATATGTACATGAAGTCCAAACACAAGTTGGACAGAAAGAGAAGATATTACAATGAATTTGAGGAAATACATTTCTTTCCATTTTTCAACTAACTGGATTCCATTTAATTCATACAAGAACAAGATGTAACAAAAATGATTAGCTTTGTAAGTGATATAACAGCACCAACATGGTATTGGTAGTACCCATGATTTGACATATTGTAATATTAGCTTTGAACAATTTCTTGTGCTCATTTTGTGTTTTTGCTACAAAAACTTTAAGTTACTCAAGGCATTTCCTGACCTGAAGATACAGTATTTTTTATAAATCTCCCTCTCCCCCTTTTTGAATCCTGAGCTTGATTACATGCATAGGTAATTAACATTCTGTTTGTCTGCAATGCAATGATACTCAGTTGAAAACTTAGATACTGTAATGACATTTAGTAAACATTTTCAGGACAAAATTACATATTTCAGATTCAATCACCACCTTAGCCTCTACATGCATCTTCAAAGTGGTGTGGTAATCCAAAAATAGAATGCAATACCAGACCTGCCTTGAAGGTCAGAATTAAAAGGTGAAGTACATGCTCAATGCCCTTTTCATATTTGTGAAAACTTCAGTTTGAACACATGCTGCTGCCTTATAACAAGTCAGACCACTAGTACACCTAGTTCAATATTGTCTACTCTGACTGGCAGTGACGCTCCAGGGTTTCAGCCAAGAGTCATTGCATGCATGCAGAGCATGTGTTCTGCCACTAAGCTTTGACCTCTCCCCAATTCTGCATCCATTCTTAAGGCAAAACAAAATTCAATGCACTACTTCCCTCAATGTTGAATAGTCAAAATAAAATATGGTGTGCATTTTCAAGGCACCATACTCATTCCAGCTATGAACTGCAACATAAACTGGGACAGTTTATTGCAGCACAAAGCAAAATTTCGCTTAAAGACAGAGTTCACAGTAGCCTTATCCACATGACAGGATAAGCCTTGGTCACAGCTTCTACACATTCACACAGTCTAAGTAAACCATGGTTTCGCTTACCATGTTGTGAGAACCATAATTTTCCATAACTGCTTGGCCTATGCATGTCTTTCCAAAGGCACAGAAACGAAGCATGTAAAATATGTTGTAGTATGATATATGTCTTAGAGCAGGGGTAGGCAACCTAAGGCCTGGGGGCCGGATGCGGCCCAATCGCCTTCACAATCCGGCCCGCGATGGTCCGGGAATCAGTGTGTTTTTACATTAATAGAATGTGTCCTTTTATTTAAAATACATCTCTGGGTTATTTGTGGGGCACAGGAATTTGTTCATTTTTTTTTTCAAAATATAGTCTGGCCCACCACATGATCTGAGAGACAGATTTTTCAGGCCCATGGCTGAAAAAGGTTGCTGACCCCTGTCTTAGAGACTAACATATTATCCTGAAAGCTGGTAGGCACATTCAGGCTGCAATTTTATGTTTATGTTCAAACATGAGTTTATCCTGCCTCTCCCTGCATCCTGCAACACACACCTATTTTTAAAACAACTATCAAACATTTCTGGTCCTAATGTCACCTTCTACAATTCTCAGAACACTTGGGGGGGTAGGTTTGTTCCATCAGAAGTAAACCCTCTGAATGAGTAACGTCATTTACATGTGTCTAATTAAATGTCTTTACATGTATGGAATAGCATTATGAATTAAATCTGGGCATGCCATGATCTGAAGCCTAAGAGAGATGACTTTACAGGACAATAAATGCTAATTACAGACTATTAATATTTTTACCTCTTCCACACTTAGTGCAGCTGAATAGAAGCCAGAGGAAAAGCTTCACTAATTCTGCACAGATTTTAATGAGCCAGAAAGATTCTGGCTTGCCCTTTTGCTGAAAAGACAAATTCCACAACAGCAGGTCAGGTAGAGTTATTTTGTCATCAGTAACTAAGCCAAGGCAAGCTCATTAACGTGTTTTTAAAATGATTCTTTTCCTGTGGTGTAAACCACTTCACTCTTATTAATGCAGAAAAATGTCTACACCAATACAGGCTTGTCAAGTCTTTCCCCCCAACCCATGAACCTCTCCAAGAATTTTGAGTGACACAGCAAAGTGATAACACAAATTTCCCAGGAGCTGCACTGTCTGCTTATGTGCAACCAGGCACCATTCAAGGTGTCAACTTTGAACATACAAAGCCCTGATTGACCTAGGACACAAGCACTTGATGGAGTTCCATGTCTGCCAAGCCAGCCTTGGGGCCTGCAGAAGAGGCACTTCCCATCAAAAGGTATGGCTCATTGCACTGTGACTTGTGTTAGGGCTTTCTCTTTGGTGGCAGACTATTTGTGCAACTTCCTCCCTCTGAAGGCACAGCTGATGATTTTGCACTGTCAACATAAAACATATATTCCCTCCCAGGCATTTGGCCTCGGCCGGCGAGGTCAGGATACAAATATAAATATATATATATATATATATATATATATATATATATATATATAAAATTTATTATTTATTATTTTTATTTATTATTATTATTATTACTCAATCATTTTGAATCCATGCTTACCAAGAGGACATGTGCAAAATTGGTAGCCCATGCAGGGTATACAAGTATCTAATTGTGGCACTGATGTGCATCACCAATTTGTGCAAAAACACCGTCACTCAGCTATGCATAGACATGCAGAAACTAGCTTCTTCATATATTTTCCACATAAGTAGATCAAGAGGCGTGTCTGTGGTATTGTTATAGCAGAGATGGAGAAAAAAACAGGGTGTTCATTCATCTGATATCCTAGAAACGTGATGTTTCATACTGCTCACTTTATAGATATATTTTAGTATTTGCAAACATTATCTGTCTTTTGAAAGATATCTTCACCAAAATGTTCTGTCAGTTATAGCTTATTCTTCAGCAATTATCAACATAAAAATCTAAATATAAGGATATGATTTAAAAAAACTGGTGGTGTTGATTACACAGAAAAAGAGCAAAAGCTACAGCTAAGAGACAAGGACCTCTGTCATGCTTACAAATATCTTTGCTACAAATCAAATGAGAATTGCTTTGTTTTTTTTTTAATAAGATATTTATTGGTTTTACAAGAAAAAATTCCAGAAAATACAAAATTACAAAAATTCAACAAACAAAAAACAACAATAACCATGACAAAGAATAAACAGAAATAACAGTATCCATAACAAAGAATGAAAAAAAAAAAGAAAAAGAAAAGAAACAGAAAAATTTAAAAATATTGTACTTTCGTTTAGCCTTCTTATCTTTACCTAGTTCTTTGACTTCCCCGCATCTCCCCGCTTGCATTTCCATTTAAAACCTCCTTTCAGCAAATCCTTACCCTCCTTTCATTAACTTAACTCAAAAAACTCAATGTATTTATATATAAGTATTTTTACAGCCTTATCCATCAAATATTCCATACTCTTAATCACAAAACTTTTGCCAATACCAGTTATTTTCAATCAGACTTCAATTTAACATTCATTGATTTTATAGTATTTCTGTAGATAGACTTTGAATTTCTTCCAATCTTCTTCCACCGACTCTTCTCCCTGGTCGCGGATTCTGCCAGTCATCTCGGCCAGTTCCATATATTCGATTACCTTCATCTGCCATTCTTCCAGAGTGGGTAGATCTGGGGTCTTCCTATACTTTGCCATGAGTAGTCTGGCTGCTGCTGTTGCATACATAAATTAAGGTCTGTCTGTCTTTTGCACCACGTGGCCCCCCATGCCCAGGAGGAAGGCCTCTGGTTTCTTTAGAAAGGTATTCTTAAATACCTTTTTTTAACTCATTATATATCCTTTCCCAGAAGGCCTTAATCTTTGGGCACGTCCACCAAATGTGAAAGAATGTACCTTCAGTTTCCTTACATTTCCAGCATTTATTATCGGGCAAATGGTAGATCTTTGCTAGCTTGACTGGGGTCATGTACCACCTGTACACCATTTTCATAATATTCTCTTTTAAAGCATTACATGCTGTGAACTTCGTACCTGTGGTCCATAACCGTTCCCAGTCAGCAAACATAATATTATGTCCAATATCCTGTGCCCATTTAATCATAGCAGATTTTACCGTTTCATCCTGAGTATTCCATTTTAGCAGCAAGTTATACATTCTTGAAAGTGTTTTAGTTTTGGAATCTAGCAGTTCTGTTTCCAACTTTGATTTTTCCACCTGGAAGCCAATTTTTCTATCCAAATTATAGACCTCTCTTATTTGATAATAATGCAACCAGTCTCGCACTCTATCTTTTAATTTTTCAAAACTCTGCAATTTAAATTTGTCTCCTTCTTGTTCCAAGATCTCCCAATATTTTGGCCATTTGGCCTCCATATTGGACTTTTTTAGGGCCTTTGCCTCCACAAATGAGAATTGCTTTGAAGGGAGGGGGAGGAATAAAAGGGCAGAAAGGAACAGGTGGGACTGATAAAGAAGAATGGCAAAATACACCAGCAACATAGGTATCTACATTTTGCTGCCTGAGGCCTAGAACACTGTCTCCACCACCACACTGGTATCAGACTAGGGACAAGAGGTCATATTTCTGCAGGCAGCACCCCAGCTTAAAGGATGCAGGGCAGGCTTAGTGGATACAGAACAGCCATATTTGCCAACACCTTGCTGCAATCCTCACCTCCAGTATCTGCTGCCTGAGGCAGTTGCCTCACTCTCCCTAATGGTAGGGCCAATACCATTAGCTACTAAAACTGATATGTGGAATAGTGGGTGCCATTTATCCTGCTAAATGCTGGGAAAGACTGGCGTTGGCTGCTAGTTAAGATGTCCCGCAGCACTACTCAGATCAAACCAAAACTACACTAGATAGATTACACAATCGACCTGTAGGAAGCTGAAGTAAGCTGCAACTCTTCTGTTTTGGACAAACCTCCACAACCATGAATAGCAACCCCATTCCAACCTTATGAGTGTCTTTCTTGGTGGCCAGTCCCTGCATCCTTTTCCTGAACTAGGTAACCCCTAATGTCCTCAACCAACCTGACACAAAGGTAAAAAATATTGCTCCTCTTTCCTCTCTTTCTTGATCTTCCCCCTGAATCCCTGTTTGATTCCCTATATTGATTTCACAGTCCCTTCTCCACCACCAACCATAAAATCTAAAGCTAATAAATGTGCCCACAGTCACGTTCCCTGTTCTTTCTTTCAAACTCAATTAAAAAAAATAACTAAATTGCCCAAAGGCTGAACGAGAAATAGAACTTCCCATTGGGGGCACTTTTCAAAATAAAACCTATTCTAAAAGCAAATCACAGATTATCAAAGTCCTCAGGATTCAAAATCAAAAGTGAGAAAGCGGATTTTATATTATCCAAATTCTGCCATAAGAGCACTGGGCATAACACATGCACCATAGCTATAATTCTTGATCAATGGCATCATTAACAAATTATGCCTTCGGATATGAGAGAGTTGGTGTTTGAGTTTGTATCCACCTGGAACCTTCTTGCGGGGGCAAGGTATGCAAATCTAGCATAGAAAGTACCTGATGTTCTTCCAATATCCTGATCCATTTTGTCTCTTTCTCTGTTCTATTTCACCTGTTTCAAATACTTGGCAACATGGAATTTTAAACCCAGTCATAAAGCTGTATTTTTAAGAATACCACATTGTTCCTCTTGGACTACTCCAAACCAGGTTCCCACCATTTCTTTCAGCTCCTCTGTCAAAGCTTACCAACCCAAGCCTGATCACAGCAGCCCTGTATGGCAGCTCCAAAAGGACTGCCCAAAAGTGTAGAATTACTGCTTCAGATTGATGTCCACTTATTTGGGATGAGCTACCATTTTTACGTTGAAGCTTGCCTGTCCTAACTGATGTCTAGAAAAGGCAGGAAGTGGGCTTGTATAAGTCCCAATTGTGCCACTTGTTCCCAGCACTTGCAAGACACAGGACCAGGCCTTGGCTCTTGCAAAACGTAAAGAGGACATCCAAATCCGCCACTTCTGCTCTCTCAGCAACCTCCCACTCACTTCACAGGCTTAGCTGCAGTTGAAGCAGGGAATTCTTTTTACCTTGCATTTTGGAAAAAGCACTTTACCAACAATCAGTTCTGGAGCACTATGTCTATAAATTAATGTCTCATTCCTTAGTGCTGTCACAGGCAGGTCTAAATTATGTGCATATGTTTTCCACTGTATATAGTCACCATGGCAGGGCACAAAAGGTGAGAAGCTGACAAGGAGAATTATTAAAAGAAAAGTGATGAAAAAGAGAGAGAGAATGTCAAGAGTGATATGTCAGCAAATCCAGGTACCACTTAGTGAAACATTTTAAAATCTGATTTATAAAACCATAACTTTGTTGAAGGACCTGGCATTTGAGGATAGAGATTAGCAAATGGCTGCAAGGAAATAACAGCCTCCATCATGGGCTAAGCGAATCCTAGCTGTTCAGCCCCACCCCTTGCCTCACATGACCTCAGTGGGTTCTGCCACCTAGCAGGCAGAGGAGGTAAAAGGAAAACCACAGTGAAGGCCAGGGGTGCCGACTTGCCTCCCACATTGAGAGGGTGTGGTCATGTGACATGTCATGTCACATGCTGCCATGTTTGCTTGTCCCAATCACAGCCCAGCAGCTCAGAAGCCGGGCTATGGCTGGGACGAGTGAAGCAAAGATCTTCCGCACTTGTCCCAGCCACCGCCTGGCTCCTGGGTTACTGGGTGGAAACTGGGGTTGTGGCACATGGAGGGGTGTCAGCCCTCTCAATATGGGGGGGGCACAGCCGTCTGCCAAACAATACTGAGGGAGCTGAAGTCCCCAAAGCTGCTAGTGAAGGCCAAAGATTAGAACAAGAAATGCCACCTCCATAATCCTAGCACCATAGGGACACATGACTAATATTTCTGTTCCTGATTCCAGACATAAATGTGCTTTTTAATATTCTGAAAATATAGCAACTTGTGCAAAACAATGCGTTGGATCCAGTTTAGCCATTCTGGCAATAGAAGGATTCCTTTTGTGTACTATTTATGAAAGTCCCTGAGATACAGAGTAAAGGCTCCCTGCTAGAGGAAGCATGGAAGCGAATGTCACCAATCATTCATTGCCCCTGTAGCTCCCTGAGCTGCCTCTCATTTCATCTCCTACATTTATCCCACCTTTCTACTGCGATAGAGCCCAAAGCAGCATACATCTGGATTCCACATATGGACACATATGCAGACTTGCTTAGTTTCAGTAAGGTGGCCATCTCATGTGCCTTCAGACCACCCCCTAGAATTTGACCTGCTCTTGAGTACCCCCAAAGCCCTACTGAAGATGTTAATGTCCGACAAAGTGAATGTGGGCATAATATGGAATAGTGTAAGCAGGTGAGCTTAGCATATTTATGTGTGAAGCTTAATTAATTATTATTTAAAATGCTAACTAAATGGCATGTATGGCCTTAAATGGGAATAGCATTTACTCATTGAGTAAATACAATTTCTGTAAGTTAAATTTTTGAACATATTACAAACTGGATCTCAGTCATGCAACTCCAATTAAAGTCAACTGAAGATATGCAACAATAATCCTGATTAGAACATTGAGTTTAGGAATTTAATTAATCTAATACCAATTTCATGTTTTCAGAACACTATTATCTTTTCTGAGAACTCCTACATACACAGCAGCTGCAATTTTCATGCTGACACCACTAGCACAATATTTTGTGAGCAAAATGTGAATATTTTGGGAACATATACATCTTTGCTACTGTTTTTTTCATATGGGCATGCTAGTTCTCTTCAAATCATATACCCCTACCAAAACTGGAATATTGAACTCTGGCACCAAAGTCAAGTATATTTTTACACACTAAGCAATTAAAAGTGGAACCCTGCAACAAAATGCTGAAATGTTGAGTGCTTCTGTTCAGGTTTCAAGCCACTCCATTCCATCCCTACTTTCTCATATTTTTGTTCCCCTGCAGTCAAGCAGCCAGCATTCCATGCTCACAGACCATGCTCGGTCCTCATTGGACTGTTCTGAGGGCGTGATCGCCATTTGAACATGTGTGTCGCTTCCCACCCCCATTTTGGGTTTCTTTGGGGTTTTTTGTATGTGGAAGGGAGAGCATAAGGTGAGATGAACGTACTTATGCTCCCAAATACATTAAATTATTTAATTTCTCTATTTATGTCAGCTCCCTTTTTCATCTCTGGGGAACAATAAAAACAGCTTCTTGATGTGAACCAGGAAGCTATTTATCCAGAATGAGATGGTACTCAGAATGCCCATTCTTCTGCTCTAACAGCTTCAGTGTCTCTTCCCTCCCATCAAGATGTCAGTTTCCACCCACCCCTCTTCATCTCTCAACCTTCCAATCCATTGAGCTATCATGGGACTCTTTTGAGTAATTTGCTTATTGGGGTAAAAAAAATCCTTCCAGTAGCACCTTAGAGACCAACTAAGTTTGTTATTGGTATGAGCTTTCGTGTGTGTGTGCACTTCTTCAGATACACTGAAACAGAAGTCACCAGACCCTTATATAGAGTGAGAGGGTGGGGAGGGGTATTACTCAGAAGGGTGGTGGGAATGGGTGATTGGCTGATAGGTGTGGTAAATGTTGATGACTGTTGACGACTGTTAACAACTGCAATTGGTCTTACAGGAAAAAGCAAGGAGTGAGATGGCTAAAAATAGCTTTATCATGTATAATGAGATAAGAATCCAATGTCTCTATTCAGACCAGGTCTCTCTTGCTTCTTGGGAATTTTTCCTGCAAGTCTTATTTACTTGTGAGTATCTCAAACTTACCCCATGTCTTCTGGTCTGCCTCGCCTGTCCATAATTAATGCAGTTATAACTACATAAACACAGGAAGACTCAATTTGGAATTAGTATAGAAATTATATTATATTATATAGTTAAAACAGCAAAGTTGTCTTTAAACAGTTCAACCAGAAGAGGGAGAGAGGTCTTAGCTATTCAAACTTACTTAAAATACGGTAGCTTCTAGCTTAAAATAATATAATAAATATCTAAATGTTAATAAAAGCTCTACAAATATCATCCTTGTGGAAGGAGATGCAAGAGGTTTGCCACCTATATACTGAACAACTGATGACCTTTGGGACGTACATTAAGAGTAACAGAGCTAAGTTTTGGAATAAAACAGGGGAGGCACTAAAAGGTCTGAAAAGTTTTTAAAGTTCAAATAAATGCATGATCTCTAAACCCATATGAAGATTCTCAAAGGACAGACTCATATTTTTCACTTTCTTGAATTAGAACAAGAACATGGTACAACATGTTCTCCATCTCCAGCTTTGCATCAATATGCAAATTGTGCAAAACCACATGGAACCAAAATATGCAAATTAACAGCCGGCCTCATGGAATATCCATTCAGTGCTGAATGTTCTTGATTCCTGAAAGAGGGAACAATCTTTCCACTTCTGATTAAACACAAAAACAACAGTTATTTCCTTTGCTCACTGCTGATGTTAACTAGAACCATACTAGATGTAAAATCACAACTAGTCCTAAATAAAAGTGCAGCAAAAACTAAAAGTTAGTGCAGCCTAATGTTATAGACACTAAGATATGAGCAGATTTGTGAGTCATATCTTACCTCAGTCATGAACTCAGTTGGTGGTGATGGTAGTAATAAAAGTGATGATGATTATGATGATGATGATAGCAGGCTGTTGTACAGATTATCATGTGTGAATTAATGCAAATCAAGAGGTGAAACATTTCCTGGCCTATACTCTTTAAGGCAGGGATAGCTAATAAGGTACCCCCCATGTAATTTGGACTACAACTCCCAACAGCTCCAACCTGCATGACCAATAGTCACAGATGATGAGAGTTGTAGTACATATCATCTGGAGGACACCACATTGGCCACCTCCAGTTTAAGGCTACAGGTGGGAATTACATATATAAATGTACCCTTACCAAAATAAATAAGTCATCTGGGAACACCAAAAAATAGCATGTTTTGGACCTACCTGGGCTTAGCCTTTTTCCTGACATACTAATTTTCTACAGAGCAACACTGGTGTGGCATGTAACCAAATAGTCTTATCCATGGTTGTTCCCGTACTATAGCTCAAGGACAGCCACTTTAGTGCCCTCCATGTGTTGCCCAACTCCATCTCTCAATATCCCTAACCAATGCCCATGCTAACTGGGGCTGACGGGAGATGGAGTCCAATGGCAACTGGTTGTTGCTCTAAATGTTGGTCAGAACCAGGCCAGATGGCTAGTCTTCTTATCTAAAGTTGGGTTCAAAGGGAGTTAGTTGAACTTAGGTCCCAATAAAATCAATGGGACAAATTAGCATCATCTTAAATCTCACTGCTTCAAATGGAAACTAAGTGCAGTTATCTTGGACTAGACCTACACTTAGGCCACTTTTATGTTTGTTTAAAATAAATGGCCTTTAAATCTGTAGTCATGAGCTCTAGAACCAGATATTGGAAAAAAGATTTGCTTTTCCAGATTCTGAAAAAGAGAGCACTAAACTGCGTCTTGTATGAACTTTGGTACACCCAAGCATTGCCAACTTTCTAAACATGCCATGCTCATGGATTCCCAATTTCTGGCTTTGAACAGATTTCAGACTCTATAGCTACACCCTCTGTAATGGCTAATGATGTGCAAAGTCTCTGTGTCCTTGGAATATACACATCCCTATTTCCTTTGGTATTGGGAAGCGGGTGGTGCTGTGGGTAAAACCTCAGCACCTAGGGCTTGCCAATCGCATGGTCGGCGGTTCGAATCCCCGCGGCGGGGTGAGCTCCCGTCTTCGGTCCCAGCTCCTGCCCACCTAGCAGTTCGAAAGCACCCTCAAGTGCAAGTAGATAAATAGGTACCGCTTTATAGCGGGAAGGTAAACGGTGTTTCCGTGTGCTGCGCTGGTGCCGGCTTGCCAGAGCAGCTTCATCACGCTGGCCACGTGACCCAGAAGTGTCTCCGGACAGCGCTGGCCCCCGGCCTCTTAAGTGAGATGGGCGAACAACCCCAGAGTCGGACACGACTGGCCCGTACGGGCAGGGGTACCTTTACCTTTATTTCCTTTGGTAGCACACGCTGGATTTCAGTAAGACCAGGGTTTTACCTACAGTCTGCTGCCTTTAAATGCTTGAAGCAATACTGTACTGACTTCTTAATAATTCCACATATATTATGTGTTGTGGCTATATTTTTATTGCTCTTTCAAGATACAACAGGACAAGGGACCATAGCTTAATGGAGTCACATGTGCTTTGCATGCAGATCAATACTTGGCATTTCTGCTTAAAAGGATCAGAGAACTGCCAGTGTGGTGCAGTGGTTAAGAGCAGTGGACTCATAATCTGGTGAACAGGGTTCGCGTCCCCGCTCCTCCACATGCAGCTACTGGGTGACCTTGGGCTAGTCACACTTCTCTGAAGTCTCTCAGCCTCACTCACCTCACAGTGTTTGTTGTGGGGGAGGTAGGGAAAGGAGAATGTTAGCCGCTTTGAGACTCCTTAGGGTAGTGATATAGTGGGATATCAAATCCAAACTCTTCTTCAAATGATGGGAAATATCCCTGGCCAGAGACCCTGGAGAACTGCTGCTTGTCAAGGGGACAGCACTGAATCAGATGTACAAATAATCTGACCTGGTAGAAGGCAACTTCCTATATTCCTAATATGTAAGAAATCTTGATCAATTGGAAAGTGCACAGTTCTACCACTCTAAATTGTGTAGATATTGTGAAATGATTCTACATCCTAACATATATGCAAATATCTTTTTTAAAGGTATAACTGTACATTAACTAAAAATTATCTTGATAATTGCAACTGTGTAACAGAAGCACAACATTTTTGTGGTACTTCCAGCTGATGCAGACAATGATGCGCTCTGTCTTTATCTTACATTTATCTCCCACCCCCACCCCTAATAACTTTAAAATAAAGGGGATAAAATTAAACGAGAAAAAAACCTCCTCAGGGATGAGTATACAAATGCACACAAAATATTAGAACAGATTCTGGAATGCTTTTGCAATTTACAACCCAATGTTCCAGTGCTGGAGGATAAAAGCCTGAAAGACTAGGAAATTATTGTGCCCACTTAAAAGGCTACTATTAAGTAACTATTAAATCCTGGCAGAAGCTTTTTATACATTTCATTGTATAGTGCCAGGATGAGATATCTCCAAATTGTAGCTTGTGCCATCCAAAAATTATATATTATTTAGTGAGAACATTTTGATGTGCTAAAACTGTGTTGGATAATTGTTAGTGAGTGGCTGTGGAGGAGACATTCACGGAAAATGCTTCAATCATAAAATTACTTAAATTTGATTTAACAAAACTGAATTGCAGTGACATTCAGCTAAAAGCTACTCATAAAATATCAAGAAACCTAAAAGAACAGTTACAACACACTGCTCTTATGCTTTCACTACCTTGCTGATAAAGACAAGCACTTTACTCATGCTGTGGCAGCCCATGAGGTAGGGCAGAAAATTGTAAACAGCCACAGCCTCTGAGTGGCTATAAGAGGGGGAAGGAGCCCTATGAATTTGCCAGTAACCTTAGGGGAACCAAGGCTGGTGGCAATTCAGGCAGCACCCTATACACCAATGATGAGGTTGTTGCTGGATTACAACTCTCATAGTCATGAGCCTTTGGCCATGCTGGCTGGCCCTGTTGGGAGTTGACGTCCAACAACATTTGAATGGCCACAGGTCCCCAAGACCATTGGACCATACAATTTCAGGGTGCTGCTGGCTATTCACCAGCTGTGCTCTTGTGTCATCCTGCAAAAGACACTTCCTTCCTCCAACAGATGCTTATCAGAAAGGATCTAAACTCTCTTGCCGCTCGGTCTCTGCAGATATTGGTCACTGGTGTTTACTGCCCCCACCTTATCAGCTGCCACTGAATCCATGATGTTTCTGAGACACATAGTATGTCTATAAATTCATCACACATTATCTGCACACAGACTTTAGGTCTCTGTAATCAAAAGCTGGCCATAGCACAGATGGAGAACCCCCACACACACCAAGTAGGAATCCCACAATAGTTTGTACCCACATCCTACAGGTAAAGGTAAAGGTCCAGTCATGGCCAACTCTGGGGTTGCGATGCTCATCTCGCTTTATTGGCCGAGGGAGCTGGCGTACAGCTTCTGGGTCATGTGGCCAGCATGACTAAGCCACTTCTGGCGAACCAGAGCAGCGCACAGAAACGCCGTTTACCTTCCCGCAGCAGCGGTACCTATTTATCTACTTGCACTTTGATGTGCTTTCAAACTGCTAGGTTGGCAGGAGCAGGGACCGAGCAATGGGAGCTCACCCTGCCGCGGGGATTCGAACTGCCGACCTTCTGATCAGCATGTCCTAGGCTCTGTGGTTTAACCCACAGCACCACCCGCGTCCTACAACTACTTAACTAAATAGTACCTGGGAAACAACAGCACTGTAAATTCTGTTATGGAAAATGACTATCTCTGATGACTGGGGAAACAAAAGACATATGGACTGAGATGAAGGAGAAAAGTGGCATTTTAAGTGTTACTGCTAAGCTCTGTAGTGAAAAGTGAATTATGCCATCTATCAGACTACATTGAAAGGTAACACCATATCTGGCTTCTGAAGTTAAACATTGTAACTGCACAATATGTATTTTAGTTACTTATTACTGGACTTATAGCTGCATACTCCTATGCATCAAAAAATAACTCTCCACTTTTTTTCTTTTTCACCCTCTGTTGTTTCTTTCACTCCGTTCTCTTTATCTTTTTATCCCACTTTGTTCTAAAGTATGAGACTACAGACCTTTGCTACAAGTGATCCTGCTTAGTATCTTTGTCTGTGTATAGGATACAGAAAGCAGTCTTCTGGATGCTTCCACATGGCAGTTTATTGTGGACTTGGTGTGGCTCATGCTCAAAACGTTTTTCACAGTAATGATATATCGCTATCATCAAAATGCCAGCCAGCCCATACTCCCTTACACTCTCTGCATCAGATATTAAGGTTTCCTTGCTGGGTCTTAAAAGTCAGGTTAATCCGGGGGGGGGGTGTTGAATTAAAAAATCAATTGGAAGCCTCATCACTTCATCAACTCTGAACCAACCTCAGATAATTGCTGGAGATGTGGTACTGTGGGAGCAGGTCTGTACCCATAGGCAGACTGAGGGGAGCATGACCGATTTAGTCGCACGGGGGCATCACAGGGGCACCACAACTATTATATAGACTGGAAGGTGAGAGGCAGAATGAGAGTTGGGGGTGCTGGATTTTGGCATTGCACAGGGTGCTGCTGAAATTTGAGACCCCAAGATCTGCCACTGCTGTACCATATGCTTTTGGGGTATGTGGTGATAGCACCATTGTGGAAGGAAACTTTGATTCATATATGCATGCCAAGATGCTTTACTTTGCACTAAAACAGCCATACCTTTCTTAGGCATATTTTCAGAATTTGTTATCCAAAATGTTTGAAGACTTCCTTGCAGATTACTGTCAATATATGTATTTAAAATAGCCTTACAAAATGCATGTTTTTATGCATCTCTGAGTCACCTGAAGCTCATGTTACTTGATTACACATCACACATCTAGCAATTCACTGAAACAGTTTAAAAGCCAATATAGTTTTGGAAAGAGGGGAGGGAAACATCTACAAGGGAAAACTGTCAAGCGTGACAGTGTATTCACAAATGTGAACTCTTTACTGCTAGTCTGATTTATTCTGACTCATTTCTTCAACCTGAAGAAATGTGTTTTGTGGCCTTCTAAATGTGTGTGTGTGTGTATAATATCGAAACTATTTGAACAGATGGAGAATGTATTGCAAAAAGCCTTACAAGAAGTATTGTGGTGAATTATGCAGAACTATGTAAAATGGTTTCTGCCATATGCATGTCTTGGATCCTTGAACCCTGTGTAGGCCTTATCTGAAATAACTGTGATATCAGCTCCTGAATCTATTTTAAAATTAATGGTTGAACCAGATTTGTTTGTTTTTTTCTTGTTTGGTCAAAACACACATTCCCCACGGTAGGAAAAACAGAGGAAGGAGGAGTGGAATTGCACGATGTGTTCATATCATGAAACGGCAATGTCCAAAAAGCACACGTTACAGGGTAGATAAAAGTCAGCAACTCAATGCAAAAACTATCGCATTTCGAACCAACATAGTTTATTGTCAAAAACTGGCAAAAAGACATTGCAGATTCCAGCTACTGTTGTTATCAAATCTAGAAGACTTAACAGAAACTGATGACATCTTTTTTCACAGCATAAAGGAAAGAACTGCCATGCATGCTTTGTAACTATACAAAGTTAGAAAGAGAAGCAGTTCATGTTCACTGCAAATGTGATAGAAGATCATAATCTGGATAATCTCCTCAGTAGTGGAATGGCTGCCCCAATTCAACTGAACTATTCATTTTTCCTTGTACAGGAAATGGTTCTGTTTTCTTTGTCAAGTTAGGAATCTACAACTTTTAAAACTTAAATTCTGACAATATGTCAAGGAAGACTTCAAGGGCACACCAGCCAGTAAGCTAGTTGGGGAGGGGGAAATTCTATTTTAAGCAAGCAAAGAACAGACACTACTCAATACAATTCCACACAAATACAGTGCTACAAAGTTCAGTGCAGCATAGGAATTAAACAATATAAGGATAAGGCAAGGCTATTGGGTGACCACAGATTGAATCTACTCAATCTGAATTCCCTCCCCAGGGAGACCTGCCTGGCTGCAACATGCTTACCTCTCAGCACCTTGTATTCCCCAAGGCTTTTAACTGTATTTGTTTATTGTGTTGTTATTTATTTTATTGTAATTCAGTTTCGTATTTTACCACGGTTTTTGTGAACCACACTGGAAACTTTGATGAATTATATGAGCGTTTTGAAGAAAATAAGCAACTTATGTGATTATGATTTCTAGTGTGCAGATAGCAGGGATGGGGACAAGGCAGCACCTTTGTTAAATCAAATGCTTGCCTACTGCATTGGTGTGGGTGCTTCTCTACCCTTTGAAAGCAGAACACATATATAGCAAGTGAGATGTTAGCATTACAGGCACACACCATAGGTTTACTTTTTAGCCATTTTCATCTATTCGTTTTACCTTTCCTAGATCCCAAACAGTTAATTCTCTAAAGCTATGGCCATTAGAGTTGGTGTGTCTTCTCAAGAACTCATTCTCCTTAAAAGAGTCACAGTTTTTCACAGCATTTCAGAAAGGGAAGGGGATGGGAGAGATCTGCCAATAATTTTCAGGATGTGTTTCTTAAGAGTAATCCCTGCAAAGTGCAGTATACATTTGGCTTTTCCTCTTAATGTCCATGATAATAGCATCACGGATCCCACCCTTAACCTCACAGGAAATAACATTTACCATCTGGCACAAGTTTGCCTTCACATAATAGCTATGTGAGTGGCAAAAAAAGGCACAAACCTAATCTGCTGGCACTAAACCAAAACATTGAGCAAGCCTGTGCAACTAATACAGCCTGTGCCCTGGTTATATTAACATTAAGTGTGTGTCTCACACACCATGATCAATAACATGTCAAAAACAGGAATGTAATTAATGAACTTCCATGTGCCTTCTGAATGCTAGAAGGCTGCTTTGTAAGCTCATATAATTCGTCAGTTACTTAGAGCTTTCCCCATCACTCCCAGCAAAAACCGTTCCTTTTTGCCTATTTTTATGTGATTGCATATTATTCTTGAGAAAGGTTCTTCAGCTACAAGATTCTTACATACACCAAAGGAAACAATGCAGGCAGTCATAAGATGACACAAGATGCCCTTCACAGACCATGACACAGTACAACTACAGAAACAACTCAGTTAAACTTGGGGGGAGACCTGAATAGCTCCTGTATAACAGTTCTGGGAAATGACACCAAAAAAAAAAAATTCAAGAGAGGCCTTCTTGGCACCTACTGGTAATTTTTGTACTTACCAAGCAGAAATTCAAAGTTAATAAACAATAGGACTGCTTACGAGCCTCACAATCTTTGTCAAATCATTCAACATTTTGAACACTAAACCCATCCTAATCTCAAGGTTGGAGCCCCATGTTGATCAAAAGATTCTGCATAGCAGGTGTTGGACTAAATGACCCTTACAACCCATTTTCTAGGCCACTTATCTCAAGTAATGAAATAGCATTACAGTAATATTGAGGTTAGGGACGCGGGTGGCACTATGGGTTAAATCACAGAGCCTAGGACTTGCCGATCAGAAGGTCGGCGATTCGAATCCCCGTGACGGGGTGAGCTCCCATTGCTTGGTCCCTGCTCCTGCCAATCTAGCAGTTCGAAAGCACGTCAAAGTGCAAGCAAATAAATAGTTACCGCTCCGGCGGGAAGGTAAATGGCGTTTCTGTGCGCTGCTCTGGTTCGCCAGAAGCGGCTTAGTCATGCTGGCCACATGACCCAGAAGCTGTACGCCGGCTCCCTCGGCCAATAAAGCGAGATGAGCATCGCAACCCCAGAGTTGGCCACAACTGGACCTAATGGTCAGGGGTCCCTTTACCTTTACCTTTAATCTTGAGGTTATGCTTTATAGCACCTTAGAAGTTCACACCAAAACTAAGTAGCTGGTTATCTTCAGAATATAATACAAGGAAAAGCCTATTCAAGACAAAATATCCACTTAGTTCAGTAAGATTTTCTTAATTTAAAACAGGGTTCATACAGAAAAGGACTATTCACCAATACTGCTGTATACGCCAAAAAAATTTCAGGAGTCGAGGCTGATGAAAATAGTTATTACAGGGACAAATGCAATACAAAATGTTTGTACACAAACCTATTTTAACTATTAATTAAAAATGTGTATTTTAACAGAACAGGTTGAACCAAGATCAAGGAGCAAGATGATAAATAGAAAATAATCTGCAGATTAGACTGATATCACTTTTTTCAGAATGATTCATCCCTAGGCAATGCCCCAGGAGTTCGGTTTGAAGCACCCCTCTCAACTTAAACATTTTGAAAAAATAAACTCTATGAGTCTATGATTGTATGATATATGCTTACAAGCACCTAGGGAAAAAACCACACTGATTTTATAACAGTTCCAACGAACAGCCAACCAACCTTGAGTTACCAACCAGGTATGGCATTAAAACTAACTTGATTAAGGAACATCAGAAGTAGACCCAATTGACTCTCATGACTGCTAGGAGAAGCGCACCTACTCCCTTTATCCAAAATTAATTATGCCTTGAATACACAACAACAGAAAAGTTAGACTAAGGAAGGTAAGAAGTGAGAAGTTTCAGTTAAGTTAGAAGTAAATGTAGAGTAGGAGTAGATGACTTGAATCAAGAAAAAGCTAAGACTGAAAACTCATTTATAAAGTGCTTCCTTTTATCATGAGAGATAAATAAAATTAATTTTGAACACCATATCATGAATCATAGTTAGCAGGGCAAAGCAGCATTCCCTGTAGTGTTTGAACAAAATGTTGTACTATAATTTATTACAGGGGATACAAGGAAATCAAATGTGTTTGCTGTACTAAAACCCAAGCAATTAAATGGATATTCTCCATGTTTCAGTAACGATGATATTCAAGGAATCTAAATAATTATGATTTCCATTGCATTATTATTTTAAAACTATTTTTTCCAAGAAAGCATCCTTTAATAAATGCAATGTGGAAAAACTGTTTTTATGGGACTGCCAAGAAAAACAATTGTTTCATTAACGTTAACAGATTTACTTTCTCAAGAATCACTTGCACTTGGAACACAAAGGGCAGATTAGAATCAGCAACCTTTCTATAAACACAACAATGCTACGAATTAGCTGACAACCTGACAGCATGATCCTTCCCCTCCCTATTGCCATTCTGAAGCTGTGTGCTGCTTCACCAAAGGCAATGCAGTACACCCTGCCAGTGCACATGTGGTGCTCGTATCCCCCGTATTCAGCAACCCAACAGCCAACATGTATTGGGAATTTGAAGAGAACTGAGTTGCTTGATGGTTGGATGTGAAGGGTACAAAGTTATCTGTGAAGCACTGAGCATAATCCACTGTGACCCCGCATAGTGACAGCCAACCAAGCTCAGGGCAGGTAGGAAGGAGGGAGATCCACATCAGATATATGTACATATGAGTTGTGGCACACACTCCCCACATCTTCATTATACAGTTTCCGGTAAATACTTAAAATGCACCTCTTTACCCTGGCTTCTGACACTTTAGGTCACATTATTTTTCAGATTGCAAGGTGTTTTAAAACTGTGTTTCAAGGTTGTAATCAGCCCTGGGACCTTAGGGTGAAGGGAGGGTAATTGTAAGAGCTAAACATGCACAGATTCTGCACGAATGCAAGAGAGATTATGTCATTAGTCTGAATATATAAGTAGGTTTTCACTGGATGGATTCTAATTATACTTAGACATATGCAGCTAAACATATATAAAAATAGCAAACTAATTGTCCGTATGCCAATCTAACGTTATTTTCTTGCCCATAAATCAATGGGAGTCACTCTTTTCAGATAAAGCACAAAGAGATGCAACTGAGGGCACTTACAAGGAGGAAGGGGGTGTTCCTGACACTTCCCAAGGTCACAGACGTGAGGTGCAAATTCAGTCTTCATCAAAATGATGTCTTCAGTAGATTTTCTCCTAAAACTAAAGTCAATGGTTCCTATTGACTTCTTTGGGAGCCAGTAAAGGGTTGTCCACTGGAGTAATCTCTCCCCCCAGCAACAGAAATGGAGGTAAAGATTTATGGAGACAGGGGAAGATATTAAGAGACAGAGAGAGAGAGATAAGTGGGGACCTACTTGTGAGTGCTGAACCAATGCGTTGCCTTGGTAATGGACACAATGAGAGCCAATAAACTGAAGCACAATCTAGACTGAAGCAATGAATGGCTAGGAGGTGGCCTGCTCCCAATGGGGTTACACTCCCTCTGAAGCAGTAGGTACATAGCTTGGCGTTTCTTCTGGAACCATCACTGTCTCTTGAGGCTCAGATGACCTCAGTGGTGTAGAGTGCCTTCCACTGACCTTGGCTGGCGGCCCAGATACACTTCTATCTGAACAGGGATAGCCTAATGTCTGTTGCCTATGCTCTGGTAACCTCTAGGTTTTAATACTGCATTTTTAAATAGTTCTAACCTGAGCTCATGTTGGAGGATGGGTAAGAAAATAATTAATTAAATATAGTAGTAGTAAGTAGTAGTAGTAATATATTTTCCTTCCAGCTCTTATTTTTCAATTCAGTGCCTGCTGAACTTCTATCCTCCAGCCACCACTCCCTTTTTCTCCCAACCACTACCTTCCCTTTCTTCCAAAACCTCTTCCTTTTGAGCTTCCTAGTACTCAGTCTACCTGCCTTGTCCAAACAGATCAACCTGTCCTTTGGGTTTGAAATGAGGTTTCCTCAGCCAAACCTGAAGTCACAGACAACTTCCCTCAGCAGACAGAATGTATATGAACATTCTGTGGAATAGCATCTGCTCAGCCAAAAGGTACCAGGGGCATCATTATCACCTCAATAAAGCACACTGCAATCATGTTGGATGAAGCTAGTAAATTATTATTCCAAATAATTCTCCCCCCCCCAAAAAAAAAATCAATCCCTGGTGTTTTGTCACAACTGCTGCATTGGAATTTGATGACGATGCCTTTGGCTGCCAACTGAGAACTACTATCCTCAAAACAAGCAGGTTTTTTTGTCAGCTGGAACTACTGGGCATTCTATAATTATAACACCACTTAGCAATTATATAGTATTTTCTGAGTGTTGAAAGTAGAGGTGGATGGATCAAGCTATTTCCAGTTCATGTCACTTTTGTATGTGTTCATCCACAAATCCTCTCTGTCCCATTTTCACATTAATCTGAGAGTTTTTCTTTGGCCAGCATGAAAAATTACATTTAAATGTGTATTTTGAGCATATTCTCTCACAAAATACGCATTTCAAGTGGAACACAGGCAAGACTGAATAGGTCACTGTTCCCCACCAACTTGATGATAAGCAGTTTTCATCAGGATCTCCTGTCCTCAATGCAATTACTTATATTTTAATCCGTTTTATGTCATCAACATATTGGTAGACATGGAATATGCTCTCTGCAATGCAGAAACTACTTTCAATATTTTGTTTCTCAAAACTACTACTACCCTAATGTTGAATATTATTTTCACAGTGTTTCCACATTTTCTGTTACTTTCTTGTCTTCCCCAACAAAGAACTAAATGCAATTGTATCAAAAGCCAATGTCAACAAAAGCAGTACATGCAGAAGAGAATTAGTCAAGTTAACTAAATCTATTTGTAAATGCATATTTCTATCAAGTAAGAGGTATATTTAAAATGTAGCTTTTATTTATAATGCTTTTGAGTTATACAGTTTCATATTTTTCTTTGACTGTTTGAAATATCATAGTTGAAATTTCTTAATTTGCTCACTTGCTAGCCTTAAGTCACTTCTTGTTGGGCAAAGATAACAAAATCTGTTACAGGATTTTATATTGCAATTGGAAGCATTTTATAATGCAAATTCAAAGTTTTAACCATATTCTTATTTCAGTTAAGGTATAAAAAAGTTGGTTTTGATGTTAAATTTTGTATCAGTTTCTAAACAAGGGCTGGAGAACCTATATCAGCCTTGGGGCCACATTTTCTCATGGGTAACCTTTCGGGAGCCACATGTCATTGGTGGGTAGGTCCAAAGGGAAAAGTGAAGGCAGCCAGAACCAAAAGTGGCGAGAGCAACAGATGTGATTCTTATTTTTGAACATGACTACATTCCAGTCACGCAAAAGTCGGCGGTTCCTACACCCACACACCTCCAGCTTCCATCCAGACAAGGAAGAGAGATCACCATTTCAAGGATGCTTGACAGTCAGGCAAAAATACTCAAGGAGAATGAAGAGCAGGGCCAGTGAGTACCATGGGCTGGAGAGAGGGGCATGGCCTAGGAGTCTCAAAGGCTGGACAGAAAGGATTGTGGGGGCCACATTTATCCACACATCCAGCCTGAAATTCCTTACCCCTTTTCCAAACTGTACAATTACTGACTTCAGACATTAGGCTTTGGCTCCATGTTGAGTATATTTATAAACAGTGGAATGGTTTTCAGGATACCCTCAGGGTCCAAGCACAATATATACTGTTGTGTTCAGTGACCTTTATGTAAGCAAAGCATTCTTTTCAGCATGTAAATTAATTTTCTTCTCCTGGCTTGTAACAAGCCAAATGACTATTTTGACTCAGTGCCCAACTGTAGGAGAAAGTAAGATAGTGGCAGAGAGTAGAACTGAAACTTTTAAGATATCATAAGACAGCCAGTTTTGAGCAATTATATTCAGCACATTTAATGAAAACTGGTAATTATAGTGACTGGTGATTTCAGGAATTCCCCTCCGTAATTATGGTAAGCAGAAGACTAATGTTGTTCACTGAAATGTTTGTCTACAGAAATGAATAAACAAGCACATCTTATTCTGTCACCTCTCCAAAATATTTACTCTTCATGAAAAATCATTGCTAATGTGCAAAATTGAGTCATTCTTTGATTAGCCCAGATTTACAAGTTGCCAATGGCTTTATATGTCAGAAACAAGAGATATATATCTTAGATATGCTTCACATAATGAAGGTAATTCGCAGCTATATAAATTCAGAATGGATATTCACTGACATAAGATCTGAAACTGTTGGAAGAAGTATTGAAGCCATGGTTTATGAAATGAACAATAAGTGACAGTATTCTTTATGTGAGGACTTCAAGAATGACTTTGCTAAAGATACCAGTATTTGTCTTTCAAGCCTACCAATAATTATGATCTAAAGGGTCAGATGTCTACAGAACAAAGTATCATAATAGTAAAATGGAAACATTTATCACCAATATAGCAATGCTTAAATTTAATGGTGATTAGATGCTTAAAGTTTTTGTGTTACAGTGGTACCTCGAGTTACAAACGCCTCAGGTTACAAATGCTTCAGGTTACAAACTCCACTAACCTGGAAGAGTTACCTCAAGTTGAGAACTTTGCCCCAGGATGAGAACAGAAATTGTGTGCCGGTGGTATAGCGGCAGCAAGAGGCCCCATTAGCGAAAGCACGCCTCTGGTTAAGAACAGTGTCAGTTTAAGAATGGACCTCCGGAATGAATTAAGTTCGTAAGTAGAGGTACCACTGTACGTAAGAACTTGTTAATGAACTCTGAAGCCAGTTTCAGCAGCAACAGACAACTATTCAGTTCATCAGTTGGATGTGAATATTTCATTATTATCAGAATATATTTACTAGTTTTATCCCCATAAACACTTTTTCTGGAAGACATATCTATCTTGATTTGAGTTAAATGAGGGTGGCAGCAGGAAGAACAGCCAAGCCGCACTTGAGATACAGGCTATTTCACAATTCTTTCCTGACAAATCACCATAAAAATGCTGTAATTAGCCAATCAGCAATTCTGTTTTATAGTGCTGAGCCCAACAGGCAACCCAGTGAGGTGGCAACAAAATTGCATTATCTTAGTTATTATGCAACTCTTCTAAGGCCTTGCTTCAGACACACAACATTTTGAAAGGGCAATTTTATTTTATTTTTAAATCAAATACCCCTTTCATTTCACAGAGTGTAAATGCTGAGTAGCACAGCCTGTCTACTAAATTAATGGATGTGTGTATTAAGAAACAGACACAATGCACTGCACACCTCACTATTATCAATAACTTAAGAAGAAGTGAGAAGGGCAATTTTAAAACTACCTAAAAGAGGATTTTAAAGTTTCACATGCCAAATGCAAAACAATGTGCCTGCTTTTCTGACTTTTCAATGCTCCCCCCCCCCAGGAAATTGCTATCATGTGTTGCTTTACAGAAGAAGATGGAAATGAGGGGAAAGTTAAAAGCATTTCAAGTTCATCACCAAGTTGTCGCTGAACAGTGACTACCACTAGCAGAAAGGACGAGCCAATGACTGACCAGTGTCTCGGTGTCAGATGAATCTACAAATTGTCTTCTCTATAGATGCTGTGGCCGATATTGTCATGGCAGAAAGCTTTTTAGCAAGCAGTCTAATCAAGCAACCAAACGGTACTATGTGAAGAAACACAGCTCTCCACAAACTGTGCTAATATATAAAGGCCACTTATAGACACATTCACCAACTCAAGCACACATGCATTCATATATAAATGGGTCCAATCAAACGATACGTTAGAATGATTATTATTTCAGATAGGCTTATAAAAGCTGGCATTCATTCAACAGCCAGAATGATTTAGCAAAACTTCATCCAAAAACGTGTGTATCTCTATACACCCTCAAGGCATTAAAAAGAAGTAAATGCTTCCAGTTAGCAATACAGTATGTTTCATGCTTGTTCTAATATATAGCAGTATAATATAGTCATATAGGTTTATGAAGCAGCGAGGGCTTATATGATCCTGTTTAAATATATGCTACTGCATTGACAGAATGCCTAATCTACATGCTTCCCAAGGATTTTACACAAATACTATCGACCACACCACACTCCTGTACAAAGAACTCCTACAAGCAGCCAAGCCTGCAGCACGCCAACTCAGCGTTTGTGAGTGTCAGGACAAATATCCCAATCACGACTGTGCTTCTGGTAACTTGCCATGTGCATGCATTATGCCTTTGCTCCCATCCCTTCTTATCATACTGCTCTAATATACCTTGGAAGTCCAAAGAGAGGGCAGCACTTATCAGAGCCCTATAGCCTGCCTTGGGTATGGCTGGTGCTAAATAGATGTCAGGAGTACAACTATCCGTGGCACTAAGCGGGCAGGAGAAGAAAGGCAGAAAGAGCCAGTGCATTATGACAGAGTTCTGCCAAAACAACTCATCCATGTTCCTTACAGCACCCCAATAACCCTGTTTGGATGAGTGCACGGTTATTCTAACGTCTTTTAATTTCTGAGGATTTCATCTACTGCATCTCCTTAGCCTGTTGACTGTCAGCGCGGTATAGTGGTTAGAGGGCACCCTGGTTAAAATTCCTGCGCTCCCTTGGGTAGCTTTGGGCAAGCCAGCCTCTCAAAAAGCCAGCCTATGGCAAAAGGCTCTGGAGGAAGGGAAAAACGAGCTAAGATCATACAAAGTGCAGAGCACAACCAAAGAAGCCGGGGCCAAGTTTCCTTTTGTTGCTACACCTGTGCCAGCCTGCGCCTCCTGCCAGGAGGGTGCAGAGACGACTCCCAAGGCGCCCCGGGCGTCTTCAGCGCCTCTTCCCCACGCCCAGTCGCCCGTGCCTGGCTCCGCTTCCCTCCGTGCCCCTTGGGCTCTCCAGAGGGGCACCGCGCGCTGCCACCTTCCCGGGCAGGTCTGGCGCTCCTACGCCTGCGCACTGAGGCCGACCCCCCCCCTTCCAGCGCACCCCACCCCCTCCTCGACTTGCTCCACACAACTTCTTCCCACAAAGTGGAGACGAGAGCCGGGGTGGAGCCCCAGTTCGCGCGGACGCCGGAGCTCTCGCCTGCCGCTGACCTTGGGGCGCTTCCCCGGCGGCGCCGCGCGCTCACCAATGCGGGTCCCAAACGAGACCCGGCGGCGGTGGGGCGGCACGTGCTGCGGCCTCCTTCCCCTCAACTTCTTTCCCCTCAGCGTCGCCTCGTCGAGCCTCCACGGCCAGCATCTCTCGCCGCCCGCGCCCCTCCTCGCTCCACTTACCTCGCTCTTGTTCGCCCCTTTCTTCTCCTCCTCACACTTTCCTGACGAGGGGACGGCGGGATGGGGGGGAGGAGGAGGAGGAGGGTCGAGGAGTTCGCTCCGCTTCGCAGGCAGCGCAGCCTAAGCCTCCCGGCTCCGGCTGGCGGCGGTGCTGTCGCGCCTCCAGCCGCTTGTTCGCTCGCGAAGCCGCGCTCTGCACCACACGCCGGGCAGCGGCTGAGGGGAAGGAGGGGCGGGGCGAGAGCCGGAGCCGGAGCCCGAGGGAGGGAGGAGGGAGGGAGACGTGGTGCCTCGGACCTGCCGCCTTCCCTCCGCGAACGGGCGCGAAGCTAATTGCCTGCTGTTACAGGGAGAGCGGCGGCGGCGGCGGCGGCTGGGGCTGCTTCCCTCGCGCTCGCTCCGGGCTGAAAGAATGAAGGCGTTTCAGGCGGTTACCGGCGGCGGCGAGTGCCACGAGCCGAGCGCCAAGAGAGCCCAGCCCAAAGCTGCGGGCTGATACTTTCCGAGCCCGCGGCCGCCGCTCTCGGGTCCCCAGAGGACGGGGAGCGAGTGAGTCTCTGCGAGGCTAAAAATAAAGAAGTTTGATTAAAGTTCCTTGGCGCTCTTCGGAGCAGCCGCCGCAGCTGCCCAACCCAAGGGTGGCACCCTCGCCACAGCGCCGCCGCGAAGGGAAGGAGAGGAGAGGCTAGCTTGGACCCTTCCTCGAGGCGCCGAAGCCCGGGCTCTGAGGAAAGAAAAGCAAAGGCACGTTTCTCCCTACGGAGATGAGATGCTGGGAGCCTGGGCCAATCCAGTTCCTAGCGCCATATACCTCTTCCCAGCGCGTGTGCGAGGAGATATACACGCCGCGTAACCTAAGCTGCCGCCGCCGCCGCCTCCCTTCTTCTTTTCAAGCACTTCCACTCACCGATTGCAGTGTCAAAATCCTGAAAGAGGTTTCCTTATCTTTGCCTGAGGAGAGCAGATCTGAAGGCTGCTTCACCTGTCACAAGATCCTTACTGAAAAGTCGGAATTGGCATGCAACCCATGCCTTCACTATCACATGTATAAGATGTTGCTGAATGGCCAGGCAACAAAAAAAAAATCACCTAAGTGTGCTGCTGTCATATGCAATGATCTAAATGCAGCATGCAGGCAAATTATTTGTGTAGAAATGCTTGTTCGGTGCATTTGACAGTTGTGCAGGAAATGCAATGGGGTACAAGGTATCTTAGGTTGTGCAGTGCAAAGAACAGAAAAAGGAACACTTTTTTGTTTGTTTTAGTTCAACCAAAGGTATGGCCAGCCCCATCCCATGGGGGGGTAATACAGCAATTCCTGAATTCTCTGGCTCTGCCTCTCTATTCTGAACCACCAAAAGTTTGGACTGAAATGTATTACACTGCTTCTGGAAGATGCCCGGCTTTGTCAAGTTTCCAGGACATGAGAAAACTTAAAACTTAGTGCATATTTTGGAAGCAAAACCTGAAAATCCATTCAGATGTTATCTTTACTCAACAAATAAAAGAAAGTTCATCCCAGAACTGCCTTTTCTCCAAATTACACTCGTTTCAGTTAGCGCTGTTGATTTAGTAGCAGAGTTTCTTGATGATTAGCCCTCTTTAACAATTCATTAATTGAGTGATTCAATATTACTTTGTCCCCATATTGAAAAACAAAAAGTCTCTCAGCCCCACTCACCTCACAGAGTGTTTGTTGTGGGGGAGGAAGGGAAAGGAGAATGTTAGCCGCTTTGAGACTCCTTAGGGTAGTGATAAAGCGGGATATCAAATCCAAACTCCTCCTCTTCTTCTTCTTCTTCTTCTTCCGTCACCCTCTATCTGAATTTGCATCTGAACAGATGTAAAAGACTAGGATTGAGGTTGAATCCCAACAAGACAGAAGTACTGTTTCTGGGAGACAGGAGGCAGGCAGGTGTGGGGGACTCCCTGGTCCTGAATGGATGTGCTGCTGAAGGTTCAGGTGCACAGCCTAGGAGTCATTTTGGATTCACAGCTGTCCATGGAAGCACAGGTTAACTCTGTGTCCAGGGCAGCTGTCTACCAGCTCCATCTGGTATGCTGGCTGAGATCCATATACTAAACAAAGGAATCAGTAGGCCTGAGAGAACAGCAAGGTTTGCAGAAGTGTGAAATATCCTTAGAAAAAAGCCCCAAACAGAGAGACCCTAACAAATCTTATTAAGGTCTCAGTATGCTAAGTGGCCACAGAACATTGGGGGGAGGCTGCAGTTAGTGGCTTGAATCCTGAAAAGAGGGTATTTCACACTCTAGTATTTTGTTGTAGGTGCCATTTGTCATTCAGTAACAACCAACTCTTTATCTTAGATGAATCAGCCCAAGACACACATCAGTGACTGCTCTAAACTGCATCCACTATTTTCAGCAGTATTTATTAAAGCATTTGTTTACTAATTTTAACTGTGTGTAAAGGAAATTGAAAATTCCTGCTGCTTTCTTGTATGTCATTTATTTATTTTTAATGGCTAAGGCTGCAATAATAGGTTAACTAGAAAATAAGCCCCAGTTTGACTTATTTCCATAGAAACATGCATAGGAATTAGTTAGAAAGATAGGCATCCCTGTGCTAACTAAATCTCCTTCATCAAGACCAAGCAACATACCAAACTATGGCCTTACAGACTAACTTCACTGAGCATCCATAGACCATTCTGGATGCTACTCTTCTGTACTTGCAGTTTGAAAATAACTTTCAGAGCACCTGAAGCTGCCTTTGCATGTCATATCTATTCAAACAAGTATAAACCTTTGCTATTTTTTCCTTGTTTCTCTACCCTAGTGGTAGGAAAAGTGAAATCTGCCAAATGTTTATGTAAAATATGGGTGATCAAGTGCAATGGCTTCCAACCAGTTTGTCACGTAATGGACCCCTTGCCTTTATTTTATTGTATTAAATTTCTACCCCACCTTTCAGTGCCCAAGGCAGCTTCCAGAATAAAAATGCAAAAACACATTAAAAAGTAATGAGATAAAAACAAATACACCACTTAAATCATTAAAAACAGCTGCAAGAGAGGAGCATAAAACAAATGGGTCCGTTTAAAAATACATACATTGCCACAGCAGGTAGCACATGTTAAAAGCATGGCAGCGGGGGTTTTTGAGGGTTTGTTTTTTTAAAGGTCTTTGCCATCCTCCAACATTCCCAAATGATGAATTTTTCAAGGAGTGTAAATCCCCACCCAGCATGGGCCTTCACTTCAAGCCCAGTTCAGATCTTCTACTAGGTGGAAGTATTTCTGTCTTACAGGTGCACCTCTGTTTATCAGCTCAGGTCCTTTGCTACAGAGCCATCAGTCCAATGGGATCTTTTGATTATAAACCACTTTCTTATTGATGAATACATATATCTCTGTCCCAGTGACTCCCAGCTGCAAATACCATAAAATGTGGTTTCATGCGTTGCTTTAAATTCCTGCTTCAGGGATTACCGTTTGAAAGCAAAGCAAATGTAATCCTTATAAGATACAAGATGTCTCCATTCTGAAGAAAATCAATTCCGTTTTATAATTTGAAAAGCACAGTAACAGCATGAAAGATTGAGTAAAAGCACAGAAGTGGATGTACTTGTTATGAAGAGCATCTGATCCTAGAAAGTGAGACAACACAAGGCTTTCATTCGGCCATCTATTCACTCCATGCTTCTGTCTAACCATTTGAACTTTGGGCCTTACCCAAATTCTTGGCCCAGTTTTGAAATTGTAAACCTTCTGAAAACCCTTTCCAATACTGCTGCTGAAGAACCCCGGGGCACTCACATCCTCCCAATCGATACTGCTTCCCTCTCTTTCCTAGTAAACAGCAGCAACTCACCTGTCAACTGTTTGCCACTCATCGGCTGAGAGTATACCTGCTCAACACTCCCCTGCAGCTTTTTTCAAGGAAGCATGTCCACCACCAATGAACCAGTGTTAGAAACTCAGGTGTATAAGCTCATTGCCAAATGGGACCTTAAAGCTAGGTTACTGTCGTCACAATGGAATGTCTAGGTGCCATTTCATTTTGCAGTAGAATTTCTTCTTATTCTTATTTTTATTATTCGATTCATTTCTATACCACTTTATATTTTAATGGGAGGGGAGGACTCAAAGCAGTTCACAACACATTGAAACAGCAAATAAAACAATCCAGAATAAAAACAAATTCAAGCTTCAAGGAAAATATTTTAGATCCTTCTCTAAGTGACATTTTGTTCCCCCTTTATTTATTTATTTATTTATTTATTTATTTACCTACTTAAATTATATAGCCCCACAGCAGAAGTACTCTAGACAGCCAGTGTGGTGTAGTGGTTAGAATGTCAGTCTAGGTCCTGGGAGATCACGGTTCAAATCCCCATTCAGTCATGAAGCTCACTGGGTGACCTTGGGCCAATCACAGCCTCTTAATCTATCTCACAAGGTCATTGTAGGCATTAACTGAGGAGAGGGGTGAACCATGTACTCCTTGGAGAAAAAGGTGGGATACAAATGAAATAAATAACCTATTCTCCTGGACCTGCACCAGTTGCAAAATGTGCCTGGCACCTTGGGAATGTCAAGCACTACACATAACTCCAATACGCTTTCAAGGAAATTCAGGATCTACCAGACCATAATTTGAAAACCACAGTGTCTGTCAAATAAGAGCTATTAACAGATAACTATATTAAATACGCAACAGAACACCACAAACTTAACCTCTGGCATTAAAGATCACTCAAAACAAAGCAGTCTAACATTTATTCAAAAAGCAGTTTAGTGGAAAGCAAAGCACAATAAAAGTCGATTGTGTCACATGCTCAAGTTGTAATCTACCAGTCTGAGTTTTTGCTCCTTAGAACAAAGCAAATCACTGTTAATCAGAGAACATATGCTTCAGCCTTGCCAACAGTGCAATCCTATACCATGTCCACTCAAAAGTAAGTCCCACTAGGTTCAATGGGGCTTACTCCCAATCTATGGGATCTTGTTTCAGGAAAAGGCCAAAATATCTTTTCTGTTGAATTCAAGGAATCCTGAGCCTTCTTTATGTGTTCTTTATAAGCGTGTGAAAATATAGAGTCTTGGAGTACAAGGCTGCATATAGCAGCCCATGGACAGCGTTTCTGTTCCTGCTGGTTCCTTTGCATGTTGGGTAGGAAGGTCTGAAGGGCGATTCTTTGTATGGTAGCCAAACATGCTTAGAATCACCCCTGATAATGCGGAGTTCCTGATGACTAGAAGGATCCTAAGCACACTCACTTGAATCCAGGTAGAAGATCCCTTCAGATTTTTTTGTGCAATGCAGAAAGTTCAGGGATGAAATGGATGGGACCAGAATGCTGGGATGGGGCTGGCACACACCCCCACATCCCCATCATGCTTTAACACACTTCTGAAAGATGCCTAAAAAGGGATGTAATGGGTATAATGCAGCACTGAGATATAGAGATAAATCTACTTCTCGATAGCCATAGGATAGAGTGGGTAGGGATGCAGACTTTCAAAGCATCCCAGAAATCTTGATGGAAACAGCTGGCTCCATTGAAGGCTCCTAAGGCTTCTCTTTATGCAATTCACAAGTCTGACTAAAATTAGTTCGCTCTACATAAGAGGCGAGAACAAGGGGAATTGTGCGGCCCAGCTCCATTATAACTCTTTCTGCAATGGTATGCATAAAAAGGCATTTCACAAATTCTAGCATATTTTCTTTTTTTAAACCCATTGCTGCAGCAAAGAGTTTAAAACTCTTACAATTTTGCTCACAGAGAATGTGAGGACTCCTGCCTAAATTTGCACATCAAGTGATTGATAAAAGTACTCAACCATCTCACATATTGCCCTGGCTCCATGTATCTACACTTTGCATTGGTTTTTTCAGCTCCAATCCTGTTTCCCTGCAGGCTGGGGTGAGCATGGGGCCAGTG